TGTTAACAGCGCAATCTGTCGCCCAGGAATGCGCGATTGTTACCAACAACGAAGACATTGTTATGGAGGGAGAGGTATTTAGGCGCCTGACAGAGGAGGAGCAACTAAAGATTGCACCCCGTCTCAAAGTTCTGGCGCGATCTCAACCAGAGGATAAACGTACGCTTGTGCGGCGGCTGAAACAAATTGGGGCAACAGTTGCTGTTACTGGAGATGGAACAAATGACGCTCCTGCACTCAAAGCAGCTGACGTCGGATTTTCCATGGGCATCTCGGGGACAGAGATTGCTCGCGAGGCTTCCGCGATTGTGTTAATGGATGATAACTTTGGCTCGATTGTGAAGGCGATCATGTGGGGTAGGGCAGTCAGCGATGCGGTTCAAAAGTTCTTGCAGGTAAGTCGTCCGATTGAAGATACTCCAATTCTCGGTGCGCCAGCTGACCGCCTGGTTTAGTTCCAAATTACTATCACCTTTACCTCTGTCGGACTGGCCTTCGTCACATCCGTGGCCAGCTCCAGCGAAACATCAGTGCTGACAGCAGTGCAACTGATGTGGGTAAATCTAATCCAAGATACCCTGGCAGCACTCGCGCTCGCCACCGATCCGCCGTCCCCCAGAGTGTTGGACCGAACGCCCGACAAGAGAACAACTCCCTTGATAACAGTGCCAATGTGGAAGATGATAATCGGGCAGTCGATATACCAGCTCGCCGTGACATTAGTGCTCCACTTTGCCGGCAACAGCATATTCTCATACACCACCGCGCACGAACACTCCCAGCTACAAACAGCCGTATTCAACACATACGTTTGGATGCAAATATTCAATCTATACAAGTAAGATCCATTCCTCCACATGCGCTAGTTGACGCAGTGCTAACTATTCGCAGCACCCGCGCCCTCGGCAATAACATCAATGTCTTCGAAGGCATCCACCGTAACTGGCTCTTCATCGGTGTCAACGCTATCATGATCGGCGGACAAATGATCATCATGTTCGTGGGCGGGCGCGCATTCTCCATCACTCGCCTCACCGGCGTGCAATGGGCCTACTCTGTTGTTCTGGGTGTCTTATCTCTTCTTGTCGGGGTAGTAGTGCGTTTCGTCCCGGATAGCCTCGTCGAGCGATTGTTTGCGGACATGGGATTTGTTATGGGTCCCTTGTGGCGGTTATTGAGGGTGAAAATTGAGTAAAGGGATTGTTTATTCTTGATCTTGGCGGAACTTGTATATATTGGGTTTTGTTTCTGTTTGTTGTTAGTACTGGGTGGGCTCGGGAGGGATAGGTTATTCTTCACTTCTTTGAGGTCAATCTATGCAGACTTTTCTTGACTCACTTAATGGTTTTCCTCCCTTATGACTTCGATGCTGACGGACCTAGTATGGAGATGATAGTAAGTACTGACTTAGCTGGTTACAGGAACTCACGCTCATGGTGAACCCATGTAATTACTTAGGAAGCGGATGACATTTGGTCATAATGTACATATATATATATTTATTTGAAGTGAAACTACTGACCAAGCTTTCCCTCAACAGTGTGTATAGCTCTTCTAGTTATATATGTCTTACTACTACAGTTGTCGAATTGTACAAAAATAACCGCAACGAAGAACAAATAATCAAAACTATAGTCGCGTGTTTTATTATTCGCCAGCTTGACGTGACGTCACTGTAAATGGGCTGAATATCACATGATCAGCACTACCAATTCCCTCCATCAAATTACTACAGAACTAGTGCTGCGTGTCAAGAAGAGTCCAACATACTGTACTAGTGGCTGTACTTGCCAATATATAGTCATTCTCTAATCTATCTTCCCAACCATGAACAAATACTAACAACATGAATCATAACAACGCTAACATGTGATTAATTTCCAAGACGTCTGATGAACAAATGTCTCCGCCCCAGGCTCTAGATTGGCAAACAACTTGTCAAAAATATCCTTGCCTCCTTGATCATGCACGAGTCCAATCCAAATGAATGAGGAGAGGATGGCCCGCATCTCCTCCCACGAGCGGACACGACAGCTTCCTAGGTAATACAGCAGCCAGTGCCGGAAATTCCGCCTGACGGCGGGTAAAAACACCACAAGACCACCGACAGTTAACAACCAGATCCAGAGTTGAGGAGAGACATCGTTTCGCTTGGCTAAGCCATTTAAGCAGCGCTGGTACGAGGCAGCCAGGTGGACGTACTGGGTCGGGTCGCTGCGGAACTGGAGGAAGATGTCAAATCCATAGCTGAGTAAAGCTAGGCGGATCGCCTCGTCGAGGGACCCGGGCTCGAAACTCATGTGTAACAGAGGGTACATGACGGAGGCCATTGTTTTCATGAATTCCGTCTCTGGAATCATGTCATTCGTCTTGGTGGTCAAGTTGACCTGGGTACAGAATCCCTGCATAATGTGCCACATCCGCGCGAGACTGGGGTCAAGCTCCCGGACGAACGACGGAACGGGGCGAGATCGCGGCGTGAAGCAAAGGTCGGATGGGACAAAGATGTCGAGATCGCGATTTTCGAAAAAGGCGGGTTTTTCTCCACTGTGGATCGCTAGTCCCACATCGCATCTGATCACAGGTTAGGTTGCAACCATCGAGATAGTCTAATACGAAAAGGGAATATAATAATTGGCAAGGACAATAGAGAGATGAAATGGAGGGAAGACCCACCGGATAAGGTCAATGACTAGTTTGTTATTGGATGTAAATGCTCCTAGTCCCCCGCGCAGCCGGACCATCTTGCGTAAACCCTGGGTGTGGTGTAGTACGGCAGCGTAATCACCCACGATATGCGCGTGCAGAATCAAGATAATGACGACCATTACGGTTGCATTGGACACGTGGACCTGCTCTCCTCCGAGCCGATTCCGTAGCAGGCGGATAGCTTTCCCCAGATGAGGGGACTGGGCCGCTTCCGGCCCCTTGTAGATACCAAAGTATGATTGGGTGGTGATGACCATGGCGTTGAGGTAGGCTGCGTCTAGTGACAGCATGTCGAGAACCCATGATCGACTAGAGGCGTTGAACACTATGCATACGGCAAGCGGGTAGAACTCTGTCTTTGCCCGTTCAGTGACTATGTGGGTTTACATTTAGTGGGCCCGATTGAATCACCAGCAGGTCGAATCGGGGACGCGGCACCTACAGCGAAGGATAGTGGCTAGGGCAGCAGGGCTGGTGGTGTCATCAGCCAGCTGGACGAAGGACATGTCGTTGCCAACTCTGCGGGGAAGATCTGAGGCCACGCGGGTGGCTGGCACTTGTGTAGATGGCAATAATGATAAATCCACCCCATCGGCAGGAGGAGCCGAAGTGTCGTCTGTGCACGCGTCCGCCGGAGTCGATGGATCGGCCTCTGCTTGGCGATAGCGGGATTTGCCACGGTTCTTGCCAATCATGACATGGCTGCGAATGAGTTTGCGGGTACGAGGATCGACTTTCTTGGTGCCGGTGGAGACGATAAATGGCATGTCCGCCATGGCAACTATTGTGCGAAAGAGGTAAGATAGGCATTGAGTGGGCTACAACAAAAGCAAGGAAAACTTGGTATTGGAGACGGCGCACATACCAGACTGCTTGGAGGGCGACATGGCGGCGATCGAGCCCCAGTCCAGGGACAGAGGGCGTCCGGCGCACGTCCCAGACCGGTGGGATAGATCTCACGAGGATGGTCCAAGGACAGGTGCCTGGACGAGGCTAAACGAATGGGACGAACGAGTATTCAGATTGTTGGCTGAAAAGGGCAAGCAATTCGGGGGGTCTCGGGAGTGTCAGGAAATATAAGAGACGGAATCCTCGGTTGTGAGAGAGCTGGACTTGCTGCAGGCTGCCCTTAGTACTTTCCTTTCCTAGTTGGTTCGGATTGTTTCCGCTGTCACCTGCCGAAACTGTTACCATTCAATTGGACGATATGCTACATGTGGGCCTGACATTGTTGCCTGCTTTGGGGTTAGCCTGACGAGCATGTGATACAGCTTGGCAATGAATCGAATCGGGAAAAATAATCTAAGTCTCGTTCAAAAACCTACAACTTCAATATATATAGTGAACAGCAAGCAATGGTCAATTCCCCATCTTCTTGTACTATAGCACATATCGCCACCTTTCTGAGATACACGATTACCGCCCCCTTCACCAACGTCAGACTAGCACTTATAGAGCCCGATAATCCCTTGCATCCCCGCGCGAGAACTATTCCTTCATCTTCTTGCGTTTATGGTAGTCCTCTGCCTGTCGTGTAAGATGACCGAATCCCTTCTCGATCTGCTCGTAGCTCCGCTTGGGCAACTCCTCGCCCTTGATTGCCAGAGGGGTCTGAGTGTCTCCGCAGGGAATACTATAGATCCACCGCGCAACTACTTCATAATTTTCACGACAGTTCTCAGTGAAATCAACAAATTTGCTTTTCAAAATGTGAAGATGCTCTCCGTCGTGATTCGTCTGCAAGAGTCGGGCCTGAGAGCGGAAGATGGAGATTACTAGGACCTGTGATACAATAATTGCGTTAGAGCAGGTATTTGTAGCTTCTAACGATTCAGGGCTACTTGAATGGTGTGAGGTGACTTGGAACCCAATCAAATACACGACACTCACCGGAAAAGTGCGATGCTTGATATAATCAAATTGATTCAGCCGCCATCGCATGAATCCGACAATAGGCAAGACTTCATTCCGGCGAAGGGGTTCTTCGGGATCAGCGTAGTTTTACACCTGAACAATGCAGTGGGGGATATCCAACGAACGCCAATTTCACTCCATGGTCCGAGCGATTGAGGAAGAGCAAAACAGAGCCAAGCAGCAAAAGCTTCTCCGAACAAACTCAAACACATCCTTATGCGACTCATCTGGCAGAATACCTGAAGATCATATGGAGATCCGGAAGAGCAAAGGAAAGGAACACATGAACTACCATCAAGCAGTGAGAGTCAAATCTACCAGTCGTCCGAAACTGCCTACATCGATTGGAAGACTCTCCACAAGTCTCTGATGAGATCATGGTGAATGCATACTTGCTGGGTCTGGCAAGTGTAGCAACCTTCTCTATCGAAGGCGTCGAAGCCCATTGGACCCCAGAACGGAAGGGGTACAAAGTCTGTGCTGAGAAAGGCATCAAGCTGTATGAAGCACGGACGGATGGCCATATGTACCTAAATAGTAATGGAAAGACCAAAGCCATTCTTGAAGTCAAACCCGTGGTGCGAGCCGAGTTACCCCGGGTCATGATGCAGGAAGTTGCTCAACTGGCGGCATGGATCCACGCCGAAAAGGACGTTATACAGGATGAAAACCTGGCGGAACAATGGTTAGTCACCACTGCACCCATTGTCTATGTTTAGAAGTCTCTTACGCCAAGTGAGAGAGAATGTGGAGGAAGCAGCTAAGCATCTGACACCATAGGTTCCGTCGCTTGCTCTGGTCGATGAATCGACATGAGCTCTATATAATCATTGCCGAGTATATTGGGGACTACGTCGACTATTTGACGAATCCACGACGCAAAGCGGAAGGCGAATCTTTCATGACGATGAACCAGTTTGGCCCATGGGACATTAGAAGCTCCTCTCAGGTTGCTGAATTTGCTGCCATCTTATTGGCAGTAACTTTACCGTTCAGTAAGAATCTGCCCCTTATCTGAAACTCAATCGGAGATTCTCATTCGGCACTGCTTGATTGTCCTCGTATCTCTGAGTCTCAAATATGCGGCCACTGTTCGAAGGGGGATCTCGATTGGCCGCCATATTGCATGAACCAACAGAGATGTATTATTCTACACTACCTCCACTGCCCGCCGCTTATATATTGATGGCCGCGTACCTACATCTTTTCCTATCAATTATTTGATAAACATACAGCTCATTGTACTGTTACGATAAAGCAGAATGCTTTTTTAAAGACACCGGCCTCAGAATACTATCGCAACGGGTTGAGTGGAACCAGAGATTGCTGGCACCAGAGTATGAACAATTACCCTACATTGATATCGGAAGTAAAATGGAACCCGAATATTCTAAGTCTATTCCGAACCGTCAACGCTAATGAAGAATATATGAGGAGCAGGTCATGCTTCGGAAGCGGAGCCGTGACAGGGCATTAGCCAACAGGCCCTTCACTCATCGATCAAACCACCATTTCCAATTAAGCTGCAAATGACCTCCACTCAGCCGAAAATGTAAACCGGTCCAGATCCGCGATGTGCGGGGTAAGATGTGGCCCGCTGCGGGTTCCGAGAAGTTTGAGGGAGTCACGGCGCGTATACCATCCCTGTCACGCTATAACCTTAAATGCTTGCCGCTCGCTCACTGTGCCTGGGTCAACCACAATCTCACCCTCTTAACCTCATTTACCCACTTTCAGCACACCATGCACATTGTCTGGCGGGATTCGGCTGAACCAGCCGTCTACGAAGAGGCTCGTGTAGGTCGCGTATTCAATCACCGTCGTCCCCAACGCTTTCCCTTGGCAGTTGTCAAAGCTACCAGCACAAAGGATATCATCGCTGCAGTGAAGCTAGCCGCCGAAAAGAACTGTCGCGTTGCTATACGATCGGGAGGACATTCATGGGCAGCATGGAGTGTCCGCGATGAATCCATCCTCATTGATCTGGGGAACTACACGCACTTGGAAGTGGATGCAGAGAACCGCATTGCGATAGCCACTCCCAGTATGACAGGAAAGGAGCTCAATGGACTTCTGATCAAGGATTATGGTTTGATGTTCCCGGGCGGACACTGTCCCGACGTGGGGCTGGGTGGCTTTCTGCTACAAGGCGGTATGGGATGGAATTGTCGTGTCAGTTAATGCGCTTCCACTATTGCATCTCGACCAGCTAATAAGTGTTTGACAGAATTGGGGCTGGGCCTGTGAACGAGTTCAGGCAGTGGATGTAGTGACAGCCACAGGCGAGCTGCTTCACTGCAACGCCACCCAAAACCGCGATCTCTATTGGGCAGCCAGGGGAGCTGGTCCTGGCTTCCCAGGTGTGGTGACGCAGTATCATCTGGAACTAATTCCATATCCTAAGGATGGTTTCCGCTCGTCTGGCTATGTCTATCCCATTCGACAGTACCGACAAGTCTTTGACTGGCTGCTCTCCATCACTCCTAGTTTTGACGAGGACACTGAAATCGCCGCTGTGGCCGCGTACCCAGAGGGGATTGACGAGCACTGCTTCTTTGTCCTATTCGTCGCCATGAAGTCAACCCCTGAAGAGGCTGAGAAGGCTTTACGCCCAGCGCAGATCACCCGGCCAACGGGGGCGATCCAGGAGTGGTTCTGCCAGGTGGATAGCTTGGAGAATCAATATATTAACCAAGCCAAGGCTAACCCAGAGCGACACCGATACTGCGCCGAGAACGCCTACATTCGAAATGATGCCGATGTCCCTGCCGTGCTGGAGGAGGCGTTTACGACACTGCCCCACAAGAAAGCGTTTGCACTCTGGTACGCCATGTATCCCTGCAGCCGTCGGAAACTACCCGATATGGCATTTAGCATGCAGTCGGACCATTACTTTGCACTCTACACTGTGTGGGAGAAGGAGAAGGACGATGCGAGATGTCAAGCGTGGGTGGCTGATGTGATGAAGGGAGTTCAGCGACATGGAGTCGGGTCTTATCTGGGGGATGCGGACTTTCAGGTGCGAAAGACAAAGTACTGGGCGGATGATAATGCACGACGGTTGATGGACATCCGTCGCAAATGGGATCCTCAAGGGCGCATCTGTGGGTATTTGGACAAGGATGATCGGTCTGGAACGAGAGGGCTGGACAATGCCAAAGAATCAAAGTTGTGATTGATTACTGTGTTACGTGGCTGCTTGCTTACCGGGTAAATATTTTCGAGGCTTCTTGGTTAGTCTGGAACTACTAGTCTCAGATGGGTGCTTGAGAATTAATGTCATGGTGTACATAAGTTGGAGAGTGCTAGAGGTAGATATACTATACCAGCAATAGACCACTCACTGTGGAAACAAGTAATCTAAAACAACTATGCTACAACAGATCGGGCTGTCGAGACATGTAGCCCTGGCTTGGCGGATCATCAGATGTCACCTATTTGACAGCTCACAGAAGACATATTAGGACTACTACCACTCCTCTTGGTATTGTCCAAGTGTAATATTGGAACAGCTAAGCAGCTAGAATATGCTTTTCTTCTTTCTACGGTGTCCAGTCGCCGATGTAGAATAGTTTAAGCGCGGAATACTCTAGGACGCAACTATTGGGAGCTTCCGCCACCCCTACGTTAATACTATCCGACACACAAGAGAAACTCAATGTCTCTCGGTGTGCCGGGACAAGCGGGTTACCTGAAGTCGGGTTGTGGAGAGCGAGAGCACGAGGAACTGCGGGCGGCGGGAGACACTCGGATAGCGGGGGAGCAATTGATCTCCAAGCGCCGGGACGTTGAACCGAACCGATCATATATGGCACTCGGCAGGAACACAACTACACAAGGTTATATCCCACTCACCATGTCTCCTACTACTCGACTGGATCTAATCAGCAGTCACGTCTCGCCCAAAATGGTTGAACAAACTCTCCTCCACAAGGTCGCTATCGTCAGCGGCTCGTCCTCAGGGATTGGCGCCGCCATTGTGCGGGAACTCTCTGCCCGCGGAGCGAGCACAGTTGTCAATTATCCTTTTCCGGCTCTCAAAGCTGAAGCAGTCGCCCTGGTGGCGTCTTTGCCATCTCCGTCGGTCGCTGTTGAAGCGGATATGGGCTCAGTGTCTGCTCCACAGGCGCTGGTCGATGCTGCGGTATCGAATTGGGGTCGGGTCGATATCGTGGTCAATTGTGTTGCACTAGCAGTGAACAAGCCGTTTGAAGAGCAGACGCTTGATGACTGGGACAGGCTGGTCAATGTTAATGGACGCGGGACGTTCTTGTTGACTCAAGCCAGCTTGAAGCACCTCACCAAGAATACTGGGAGAATTGTCAACATCGTGAGTGTTTCGGCACGAGGACCTCCGCCAAATCAGACCATCTATGCCGGTACCAAGGGAATGGTCGATTCTTTTACGAAATGCTGGTATGCCTTACTCCTCTTGAATACACTAGGCATTGTTTCTGATTCATTCAGGGCCAAGGAGCTTCCACCCAAGTATGGCTGCACTGTCAACGCGGTCAGTCCGGGCCCAACCAAGACGGAAGGTTTTGCAGCAGCAGGTGAAGAACAGATGAAGATCCTGCAGCCCATTATTGATCAGACCCCAGTTGCGCCACGGATGGCTGAGCCGGATGAAATTGCGTATGTTGTGGGATTTCTGTGCGAGGAAAGGTCAAGGTGGATAAATGGGGCACATATTATTGCATCTGGTGGACTGTTTGTCGATTAGCATGTTATATAAGCAGTGAACATATTTAGAGTTCTGATTAGTCTGATGCAGCCTGATGCAGCCTGTCATGGATGAACAGACGGGCTCCTTAGCATTGTGTCTAGCACTGTCAATAACAGCTATTGCGTAGGCCGACCCCTGGTTAAGCATGCCGTGATTCCGTGTATCAGAAAGTTGATGGCTATCAGAGCACGAGGCCATATACTGGTCGCATTATCGTTGGCAAACTGGCGCTTTTGAGTTGGATCACTGCTGGTCACACATTCAGATACTTCACACCAGTCAATGATAGAGCACAATCATCTACCACAACAGCATACAGCAAACATACAGGATAAACCATGTGCAGATTTACAATTCCATGAATCTCTAAATCATTGTGCGTTGTGCAGTCCAGGGCAATGAAGCACGTGAGGCGAGCACCGAAGAGGAAGTTCACATTCACGCGCCCTCGCTTAACCCTGAGTGTTGACCTTAGCGCGTCTAGTATATCCTCATGCCTTTGTTGACGCGCCTCTGTCATAGATCGTTTCTTCACATCTATTCTCTTCATCACACCCGTTCTCTGTATTCCGTCATCCTTTGAGCGTTATCCTTCAAGAGTCAGCGTTCCAGCGTCAGAGTTCAAGCGTCAAGTTACATCAGTCGTCTTTCAGCGAGATGCCTACCAACTTCAACGTTGATAGAGCGATGGCGGTGATTCGCAACGAGCATAGAAAGCTCCTGACCTTGACCTTCAGCAGTCATTTTATCTATCCAGGTCAGTTCGTCTCCAAGCGTGGTAAGTCATCATTCCCGTATCTAGATTCCTGATCATACCCGAACTAACCGACCAGATGCTGCCCATCCACCACGTATGTCGTTCCCTCGCCTGAAGGGCAACGGAACCTATATGATTGTTTGTCTCGACCTGGATGCGCCATTTCCTTCCTGTCGGGTGCTCGGCCCTAAGTGCCACTGGATCCAGTCTGGTCTGGAGCCAATCATGAGCGAAAATGGTCACTTCTTCCTCAGAGTGGCTGCACCTTTCATCGCCAACTACGTTGGACCTAATCCTCTTCCCGGAAGTTCTCCGCACCGCTACCTGTTCATTCTCTACGAACAGCCTGCTGGATTTGAACTCACTCGATCTTCTCCCACCGGCGGCAAGAAGATGGGAGTCTGGTCGCGCCTCCGTTTTGACCTCGACGGCTGGGCTAGAGAGATTGGCCTTGGCCCTGTTGTCGGAGCCAACTACTTCGTCAGCAGATAACTGTTGATTAATCTGTGATTGCGTCGCTCGTTTCTGAACTTGTTTATTCGCAACATAAGACCTGAACTTTGTGATTTCTTGTGGTGGTGAAGTGAAATTTAGTGGTGCGCTTGTATATTTTAGCATATGGTTGGGGCGTTGTGGCGTTGCGTTGTTCACTTTGTTTGAACTTGCTTCATTCGCACACAAGATGGGAGCTTCGTGAAGCAGTGGAATCGGACCTGTATTTATGTATATCTAATGATGTGACACGATGTTGACCAGGTGTCAAACAGGTTTCTGAATAACAGCAAATAAAGTAATGTCTAATTGACAAGTCTCTAATCACTCGTAGCCCGGTTCCAAATGAACATGTAGGTAGACCCTCACTCTCAAGTCACTTATGCAGTAGCACAGACAATCACACTCATTACAACTAACAGCAAATCACTTCGCAATCTCATCCACCCACTCCTTCGAACTCACAACGCGTCCCTGGCGCGTGAAAACCTTCTCCATCAAAACCCGATGCACCTCCGGATCCAGATCCATACACCCATCCTCCAAGACACTCACACTGTAATCGAGATCCGCAGCCGCACGAACGGTCGACAGCACAGCTCCACTGGTAATGAGCCCTGCCATTACCACCTCTGTAATACCCATCGACCGGAGGATAAGATCCAACTCCGTGGAAGTAAAAGCCGAGACACGATACTTGGTCACGATAGGCTCTTCGCCGCGGGGTGCCACGGCAGGGTGAACCTGGGTAGACTCATCGTCGTTACGGAAAGCCCCCATTTCCTTGGCTCTGGCCACACTGAGGTTACGAGGGTTACATTCTGGATGACCAGCACGGAAGGCTGTTACCACATGAATGATGTTGAGTTGGGCGTTGCGGGCCACCTGTGTCACTGTTGACAGGGTTTGGAGGTATTGGGAGGTGTTTTCGAGGCGGTTGACGATGCCGTTCTGTACGTCGAGGAGAAGGAGGGCGGTTTTCTCGGTTGCCATGGTCGTTGACCTGCTTAGTATATTTGTAGTAGAAGAGTGATTTTATGATTGTTTGACTTTGGAAATGACCAGTTGCTGGGTATATTGGATCATTTTATGCTTGCTGCTGGAAACCCGGTAACGGGATGTATGGATGAGGATCTGTTTTTTTGATTGGTGGAGAAGCCCGGTTCCGGGATGGGAAGCCGGCACCGGGATAGCCTCGAGCTGTCACAATAATGGACTGTGGGCATCATTTCTTTTTACTCCTTCAACCCTGCTTTTTCTTGAGGAATGAGTGGACTTATCGTTTGTTCATATCTGAGAAGAGCTTCCGCAAAGAAATCAAGTGTCCATTATGACCAACAACCCATCCTCTTCATCGGCTACAGAGGCCAACGCCCCCGATATAGAAAAAGAGCCGGACCAGAATGCACCACCAAGGCTGGATGTATTTTCAGTCTTCACAGTTAACCAAAAGCGAGCCATGGTAGCGACTGGCTCTATGGCAAGCTTCTTCTCACCACTCTCCTCAAGCATCTACTTCCCTGCCATGGACACGATAGCAGCAGCGCTGAATGTCTCCACATCCAAGATTGACTTGACTGTCACGACCTACCTGGTGAGTCTGAAATCCCCTTAAAAGCAATTTAATTACTAACGGTATATTCTATACTGCAGATAATGCAAGGCGTTGCTCCCATGTTGATCGCTGGATTCTCAGACACCGCCGGCAGACGTCCCGCCTACATTATCTGCTTCACCCTCTACATCGCCGCCAACCTCGGCCTCGGCCTACAGAACGACTACAGCTCACTACTAGGTCTACGATGCCTTCAAAGCGCAGGGAGCAGCGGCACCGTGGCGCTGGCCAACGGCCTGGTCGGAGACCTGGTGACATCTGCAGAACGAGGAACATACATCGCATTTGCTTCGTTGGGGAGCATGCTCGGGCCTTCTCTATCCCCGATCATTGGTGGACTCCTCAGTCAGTACCTCAACTGGCACTGGATATTCTGGTTTCTTCTCATCTACTCGGCCGCCTTCTTCCTTCCACTCTTACTCTTCCTCCCCGAGACCTGCCGCAAAGTGGTCGCTGACGGCTCCGTTCCACCCCCAACGCTAAACAAAAACCTCAGTGACACAATCCGGCACCGCAACCGAAAGGCCAAAGGTCTCGTCGTAGAGGAAAGCAAACTCGCCGAAGTACGCAAGAACTACTCCTTCCGGTGCCCATCACCCATGTCCACACTGAAAGTCACCGCCGACCTCGAAACGGGCGTTATCCTACTCGCCACGGGGCTAACCTTCGCATGCTTCTACGCAGTAATGACTGGAGCTACGACCTCATTCCACGATACCTACCATCTCAATGACATCGAAACAGGACTGATGTACCTCCCTATCGGGGCCGGCGGCATCGTATCAGCATTCACCACGGGCCGTCTAATGGACTGGAATTATCGTCGACATGCCGCCAAGGCGGGACTCCCCGTTATCAGGAACGTGCGACAAGATCTCACTACTTTTAATATTGAAAAGGCAAGGCTGGAAGTCGGGCTGCCGATGTACTACACGTGCATCGTGTCCATGATCGCCTACGGCTGGGTCCTCGGTCACAAAGTCAATTTAGCTGCGCCGATCATCCTGCTCTTCATCTCGGGGTGGAGTCTGAATGGCACATCGCAGGTCTTGAACGCCATTCTTGTTGATCTGTGGCCTAGTCGATCTGCAGCTGCAACGGCAGCGTGTAATTTATTTCGCTGTGAGTTGGGAGCTGCAGCTTCAGCGGCGATTACGCCAATGAGTGAGGCGATGGGACAGGGGTGGGCGTATACAACGCTGGGGTTAATTTCTGTAATTGTGTCGCCAAGTTTGTGGGTAGTTATGCAGAAGGGCATTAAATGGAGGCAGAGAAGATTGAGGAAGGAGCAGGAACGGGCAGCTAGAAGTCAGTAGGGGGGGTGGATGTGAAATGGGTGAAAATGAGATGTATCTGACTGGGGTATAGCTTGTTTAGAATTTGTTAGATAGTGGATAAAAGTATATGTTTATCGTTTGACTTATGGGAACCTTATCCGGGATACGCTGTGTTGTGTGTGTTCACTTACATTAGACTACGTATGCATCTGACTATTCAGAACCACAGAAAGGTTGAAAAAGGCTTGATAGGCCTGCTACGACTACATGGTATGTTATACAGTTGAGGGATCAGCTTGATTGCGGGAAGAAAGCTCCACTCAAAAGTGGTGATTCATTAATAAAACAAAAAAAAAAAAAAAAAAAAAACTACCCAAAGGGGAAGCGAAAGGAAACAGTGCAGGCAAAATAGAATTAACAGGGAACAAAGGACAAGACACTTCAAAAGTCAAGACAATGAAAGACTAGGCAGACAGACAGTATGCTGCAGGAGGTTTATACATGAGGCCTTTGGGTGGTACAGAAAAGGTAATGAAAGACAGCAGACAGGAGAAGGGCATGATAGTGAAACAGGGCGAAGAGATATCGAAAATGGGAGCGGGGGCATAAGGAGATAACAGACGAAAGGGAGGTGGAAAGTCAATGAATGGTATGTGAAAATGGTAGTACAGAATGCAATGGGAGAACATTAGAAAAGTACGAACGGTGAGGTGATGAGAGGAAAAGCTGTATGAAGGATGGAAAAAGCCATAGACGGTCGGCAAGAAAATATTGACGCAAAGGAAGGGGGGGGTCAACTGGCGACGGGGATATAGAAACTAAGGAATTCCTGGGAAATCTGCCTCCAGCAGCTGGTAAAATCGCAAACAAACCATAAATCGGCCCCATTGATAATTCTGTTTGGCAAATCCCGATTTCCCTCGCCACAAGCTTCCTCTGACGCCAGATATATGAGTTAAGTGGTCAGACTTGGAGTAGACAAATGTGGCTATAGAGAAAATAAGATTGTCAAAAAAGAGTTATCAGTGGAGTGGCATGGTAGTCAGGATATGGCTGTGCCAGGTATAGTGTTAGACTATACCGGACCGGCCGACAACCCCACAGAAACACTGATGAAGTCACCTCCTCAATGATCCCAACCCGCATTGCCCACATCTCCCAGTCACAAGCTTCCTCTGACACAAGGTATATCAATTTAGTAGTCAGAATTGGAGTAGACAAATGTGGCTACGGAGAAGGAAATGTCAAGACGGTGTCATTTTGAAGATGACATGCTACGGTCAGTTTATGACCGTCTCTCACGGCTCGTGTGGTGTAAGGTATGGCGTTTGACTTAACCATCGAAGCCTAGGCTAGACTTTCCAGATGGTCCACTGGATTCTAGGTTAGATGTAGACAGTGAGCCTCGGTCGATTCAAACGGGTGATTCTATTCAGGTCTTATGTAGACAAAGCTTATAGACACGACAATAAACCCCCATTGAACAGAGACACCCATCGTCTAGTCACAACAGCAATAGGAGACAATATATTCCACATGACCGGCAGTAAAGAAACATGGATATAGATGATGTTGGCAAAGAAGAACGGGACGATACTGCCACACAGCCAGGCGTTCGTTCACATTCTTCACTAATGTCACGCCCACTGTCTACCCTGGAAGGTAAGACTTGTTCCCCCGAAACGTAAAAGCTTGCATTTTCACTGCAGACAGAGATCCCCACCGCCTTCCATCTTTTTCAGTCACACCCTGAGCTATAAGAGCTATAACTCCATCAAGAATGACCCCAAAAAATGACGGTGGCAGACTCTCCGTCCGCTTGAAAACATAGCCTTACCCTTAAGGGCTTGATCAACCTTTAAGGGTAGGCAGACGGTAGGGAGAGCATGGGCGAAGGTCGATGTGGAGGGATCCTGGCTGGTGTAGCCGTAGCGCCTCCTTAAAACAAAAAGAAAACAACGTAAGAGAAATCTAGCAGTGCATACTGCTAAGAGCTGCAGAACAGTGCCAGAGCGTATTCCATGCGGCTCACTACACTATTCAGATGCACCATTAGAAACCTCCATCGTCAGAGTCATACCACTCAAAATGATGGATTTATTGACTAGCTGTTGAGGGGTTAGAAGTGCACAACTTTCTGTGTAGGTGCATCATGGTCAGCCAAGCACTGTTGAGCAGTGTGATGAAAGAGTGTGGACGAGGAGGGAACAGCAGGTCCTATTTATGCTTGGGACAGGTAGCAAATCCATGACTGGCAGGTGCCTGAAGCAATGGTGTTAACGGGGAGTTCCTGAAGTTTTGATGAAATTTCCGTGTTATTATAGGCAGACCCTATGCACTGCAACTTCACCATTGTCGGTAACTCTCATATGGTAGGCGTAAATATAATTCCATGAAAAAAGGGAGTTCCCACTCGATCATCTGGGACTTGGAATATTGGTATTGCACCTAATTGAGTCTCCCTGTCTGATATTCTTAATATCAGTGGAACCATAAGACAGAATAGGGAGTTGCCGCTTAAGATGTCACATAGACTATGACTAGCCAGTCCGGCCTAATAGGATTTGGAAGACAGCTAAGATAGAGCAACTTAAGTGGGAGTCATATCTTCTAAAACCATTCCACTTCTGAAGACACACAATTCCTTGATACTACCGTCTCAATGAATGTAAGAAACACTGGGACTTCCGAGGCCTTAAACCAAATCCACACTTGAAACTCCTTCCACTGATATTCTTATTACGTGTCACAATATATTTAGCCGGAATGTTCCGTCAGACTTGCATATTATCATTACGTGAAACTCCACTGTGAAGACAACTAACAGATAGTCAACATTATGGTCCCCAACCCGGCATATCCCTGTGGGACAGGATCTTTACCATCCAACGATGGCCACCATGTATACATGGTCATGTCCTTCTCAAGCCAGTCTTTAAGTCTGCCCTGATGAAGGAGGAAATATGAAGGGATGAATGTGGAAGGAAGGTCTATTGGTCACTCGTCTTAATTACTTGTCAAGAAGATGGAGGATGATGGGACGGATCTGTCCAGCTGAACAATGCTAAATTTACACTCTGTCCCGTCTGTTCTATCCTATGCGTGTGAACTGTGTGCCTGATATTTACTGTCTTGACTTTATCTAGCAGCATACATTTCTACACTCAGATATGCGTAATTAGGCTACTGCAGGTCTCTCTCTATTGTACTCATAGATAACAGACTGACGTCTTGTGATGTATTTATAATGTACTACATAATGTATTTCCCGTTATGACGGACTTAATTCATTGCTACTGCCCCAAACCGAGTCAATCCCCGAATTTCCGACACTTCCGATGCATCACTTTCATTTTCCTGGTCGAGGGGGTTCGGAGGAAAGATGTCCCCATAATCTCCTGGAGTCTGTCTGACCCAACTTTCGAAATCTTTACTGAGATCATCGATACGCTTTTGGATATCCTCAATCACTACCCTGCAGAGATGCCAGCGCCACTTGACATAGCCGTTCAGGACCATCTGCTCAGCGTGTTCGGGACTGAACTCAAATGCACTTTCGACTATCACATAGTTAGTAAGACGGAAAAGAATCTCATCGCTAGATGAGAGGAATGAGGACTCAACTCACCAATATACACCAACTCTTCAAGTTGCCCACACAGGTCAACCAGAAGTTGATAAATTGCGGTCTGGTGACGCCAGACACTCGGCTCAGCCACGACTTGGTAGAAGTTAATCTGTTTGAGAAAGTTCATTGATTCATCATAAACAGTAAGTCTGCTTTGGATGTCATATACCCTGTCCAGTGAGTCAATCTTGACAAGCTTCCCAAGGCATTGTGAGGCGTAAATATCATTTTGATCGATCTGGAGGAACATGTGGTTCTGGTCTTCTTGGGCCTTCTGGTGGAAAGATGCAAGCCCAAGCTCCCATTTGTAATAGGTATCCCACTCTTCGTGGTTGCATCCGTTAGTTACTGTCATATTGAAGAGCCTGGTAAGATAGGATATAAACAGCGCTAGGTTCAGATACAGCTTAGTAAGTCTGGAAGTGATGTGACCGGTAGATTTGGAGGTGAATATGAAGCAGCTGTGGGTAAGTTGTTTATATATTGGTGAAGGCAGTGCGCATGCTGAAGGGTATATGAACGTTCATTGAAGCCATGGGATGATATCTGAGATCATATAATATGTCCTATGGAATATACCACCAAGACCGGTCGTGATACTTCCAATATGAGCGCATATTGCCGGCTACGCATCAGATCACATATAGGTGTATCAGGACGTAAGATTGAGGGTAGCAGGTAGGATCAATTGCCAGGACATTCCAAGACGCTGCCTCTAAAACAGAAGGATATGACCGGAGGGTCAATATGCCTTTCTTCGGTTGTAGTCTCTGCGCCACAAACGTGACAGAAAGTCAAGGTAGCAGCTGAAGGAGACCTAGATACAGACCTTATCGCTGCTAATCAGGCGCGTATTTAGGCTTAATGGGGTTACATTAACCTCCGGTTGGTAAGAGTGTTAACTACCGATCCAGTCAGCCGGTCACCAAAGTCGAGGGGAAAGCTAGGACTTACTATTTGTTCAGGTCTTCCCGTAAAATGAGGCAAGATATCAGATGAATTACGATAGAAACTCCGTCTTTCATGTCGCTGATCCAAGCAAGCCAATAAGTTCGGTTGGAAATGATTTCAGGTCCAGATAGCAAGAAAAGCAATTATAAAAGTCGTCACATCCGCGAGCTTAGCGTAGCTTGAGTCCGCATGAGACTACTTGTCAGTGCAGTAGCGCCTTCTCAGTTAGGCAGGTGTTGCTTGTTCATGAAGCTACTGTGCTAGTGGCCAGCTGAAATATTGTAGTATGATCACGAAGAACGTCCGTCCAAAGACAAATGATATATTATTAGCAGTTCTAAATGAGATAGTTCTCGTTGCCTTTAACCCAAAGTCTTGTCCGTTCCTGGTAGCCAGTTCTCCATTTTGTAGATACTGTACGGAGGGGCTCTGATCAGTCTCGGACGTTCCAACACCATGACGACAGTAATCTGATTCATAGTCCATTTAGACTTTGCCTGAGATATCCAAGCCAGTCTTGGCACCTTTCTCATCTGTGACGACCACCGGCAGCACCGTCACCGCCTCAACTCCGTCTACCCGATCGGGATCGAATTCATCCCAGTATTCCTTGGGCTCTTTCCACCCCTCCGTCTTCTCAGTTCCAGCAGGAGGCCACACGAAACATCCGAGGTAATACACTCCGAATGCGATAAGCAGGCCGACAGGGTACGCGACAAAGTAGAACCGTTGTATACCCAAGGGTGCCTTGACACCCATCTGGTTTAGGAAGCCGTAGAAGTTCGGCGCAACTGCTACAAGATAAGCACCGAAGCCGCGGAGATTAAATCCGTGGAAGAAATAATAGACCCCATCGGTACGTGCTGTGTATAATGCCGGAATGTCAAGCCGTCCCCGTCGGATGAGATAGTAGTCGCATATCAGAACACCAGCGATAGCAGAGAGAAATATTTGATAGGAGGAGAGGAAGGTGATGAATACGGCTGCTGTGGCGAGGAGGTACCATGGGCAGATAGCGAAGGACAGAACTACATCATATCAGTAACTGCAAGACTAGACTCGTTAGCCAATACTGACTAGCACAGATAAAGAAGCCTCGTTTAACGGTAATGTACCGAGGAAGTAAAGCTGCAATGTCATTTCCGGCGCTGCATAGTATGAGCGATTAGTCAAAAATATGCCATCGAAAATATAGGATACTCACGGAATAGAGTTCTCGAAAATGGCGGAAAAGACGGTCGAGTACACGAATGCCAATGAAATGAACGCACAAGCAGCGCGGTTGCCCGGCGTGTATCTTTCTCCATCCATCAACTTGTCCAAAAATGTCAGGGGATTCCATATCAGCTGACTTCGTTAGTATATGGCCTATATGGAGATTCGTTCGGAATAATAGACGTACCTCTCCAAATATACTTCTGCTACATCCAGCAATGATGTTGCCGATGACAGCCACTAATAGTCCAGAGAGCGGAAAGCTGATGACCTGTGCTAGGATCACGTCGCTAGGCTTCCTTGCGTACCGCTGGAGGTCCGCGGCATTGGAGATGAAGGTCCCGCAGCTGGCCAGTCCCAAAAACAGGAACTTGCAAATAAGCCAGCTCTTGGCTCTCCCATGAACTGTCGATGCCTCATGAATAGCAGGAGGGTTACCCCCAGCCAGGCGTACTACCCAAGCTAACATGGCGAAAGCGCCGCCATAGTAGACTACTACTTTGATGTAGATAAGCTTCTTCATCTTAGGCACAGGAACCACGAGGAATGCGCAATTGATAAGCCTGTCGCCTATTAGCGTCTCGCGGCTATCGGGTGGTCTCGTACTTACCAGTAAACGAGAAAACAGATCATCTGCGCAGACGACAAGGCAGATTTTGGTCCCATTTTATCAGGAATACGAGCGATTGATGGGAAGATTGCATGCAGGAAAACACTGGATCGGTCTCAGCCATGTGCGTCGGAAAGGGACGCGACACTTACTATAAACACTGGGCTCCTTGGGTGACATTGACGCCGTTCCACACTATACTCATTACTGCCCGGTTGAACGTTGGCCAGAGGGCACCCCAAGGACCAAAGCTAGAACGACACAAGACTGGAAAGGGGATTCGATACATCGCACCAGCCCGCCCATTGAGAGCCATTAGGCACCCTGCGAGGAACTGGCCGGTAAAGGAGCAGGCGATGGCCTCCCACATGGTCAATCCCATGGATACGCCGGTGCTTGATGCGTACAAGTTGCTCACATTGGCCGTAGCCGAGAACCAGAAGAAGAGGTATGTGAGGCGTGTCCATTTTCGGTCCTTGGTTGGAGTTGGTCGGATCGAGTCATTGTCCAGAACCCCCACTGGTCTGGTGTTACCATTTTGATCCACACTCTTGACAAGCAACCACTCGTGGATCCCTTCCCATATGGAACTCATGTTGTCGGTTCTAAGATCTGCAGTTTGACACAGATTGATGCAGGCCCTCGGCCGCATTTATTCAACTGACGACACAGGCCGATAAGGAATGCCATGATTCTATAGCGGTCAGACACACCTTATCTCTTGGCTGCGACCTAAAGCGGCTTGGAATGACTCCTTTATCATCTGGGCAGACCTGGTTCCTCCTTGTGCCAGTGTCATTTAAGCTCGGGCCAATGAGGCGTTGGCATTGTGTCGCCATGCTTATCAACTCATTCGGCCTCGACCGTCTTCCCCACCAAAGAGATTGCGGGGATTGCCGTGGCAGCACACCATCGAAGATATATCATCACAATCCAGAAGCGCCAGGGAGGCCAAATGGACAAATAGCCTTACAGGGCCAGACCAAAGCAAAAGGAAGCGACCGTGGGATGACCTGTACGATGACTGCTATGGCTACGCCCGAATATACCCATGTCGAGCTATTGACGCTGAACGGACCGGAATACCGCAGGGTGTCAATTGCCCCTCCCCGCCTCCCCAGCGACGATGAGATTCCTGTTATCGATCTGGTCGGTATTGATGGCGACCTGGACGCACGTACTGTACTCGCGGGGAAGATCTGCGCTGCTGCTCAGAATACAGGATTCTTCTACATCAAGAATCATGGGATTGCCGAAGAGATGATCGCGGGCGCTCTTACACAAGCCAAAGCCTTTTTCCATCAGCCGCAGGAGGAAAAAGAAAAGGTATCCAACTTCAAGCTGATGCATATGGATGGATACCACGCGGTAGGAACTACCCAGGTCAACAAATCTGAGACAAAGGGTCAGCCTCACAATTAATAGTGTGCGACGGGTCACTAACTACGTGACAGACCGGAAAGAAACCTTTTCCCTTCGCTACAACGGCCGCAATGACCCAGCCACGGCACCAGACACCCCCGATGATCGGATGTGGGATGACTCGGCCCTTTGGGCTGGGACCGCTCATCTCCAAAACTTTCGCGAAACCACCATTTCGTTCTGGCAAGCACGTTTAGCCTTGGCGAGAAAATTGGTCCGTATCTTTGCGCTTGCCTTGGATCTCCCCGAGGACTATTTCGATAGCGTCGTCACCCACCCCGGCGCCGATGGCCTATACATCCACTACCCCGGTACACCCGAGGCCGAACTCAAAGAAGATAGAATCGACGTCGGCATCGGCTCACATACCGACATCCAATGCTTCACACTACTCTGGCAGGACATGTCGGGAGGTCTGCAAGTTTTGTCGTCATCTGACGAATGGCTAGACGCTCGACCCATCCCGGGGACACTTGTCGTCAATATTGGGGATTTTCTGCAGCGTTTATCCAACAATCGGTTTAGATCTACGGTGCACAGAGTATATAACCGGCAAAGCACATCACGATATTCGATGCCGTTCTTCTTCGGGTTCAATCCCGACACAGTGTGTCAGGTGGTGCCGTCTTGTATTGATGAACAACATCCCGTACTTTTCGAGCCAATTTCATGTGGAAAGGTAGGCAGATCTGGTCTGAATATTGCCCGGAATATTTGGCTAACACGAGTAGTGGCACCGCGATCGACTGGCTCTTGCTCAAGGAAAGCTGGCTACTGCTTGAGAATCGAGGGTTAGCACATGTTAGTTCTTGTAACTGGGAAACATCACTAATCTGCCCCCTTCAGGAGGCTAGATCGCTGTAGTTATTACCCTTTTTTTTTTTCCGGGTTTTTCACTTTGCCTTTGGCTTCCCTGTAGCAGCTGTGACCATGTCTTCACGAAAGAATGACCTTCAATAGATATTTCATGCAAGACAAGTTTATATGCACCTTTGTAAGTGTAAATATAACAATCAAAACAATGTCTATGCTTGTTGTGGCACATCATTGTTCGAGAAGAGACGTGGGAGGAGGGTGAAAAGATGCGTAGCCTGGGGGACTACGCCTGTATTTGCTGACCTGACTCCGACATGTGACTTGGGTCCATTCAGCACAAAATCTTCCTTTCATGGGAGTTTCATTGATAGTACTTCCTGGTGTTTCGTCTACTTACAGCCTAGGCACCCTTGGCAGGTATCAAACACATACCAATCCCTTTGATTAATAGCCATGAAAGAGTTTGGACGGACAACACACCAGCAGTATCGTCATATTGGATCTAGCTGCAATCAGGAACGTTTGTAAATGGATTTGACTGCTAATTGGAAAGACATGAGTTGTTTTCATCCGATGCAAACCACTCTACCGCATAATTGAACGATCCTCACCACCAACTCCTCACCGCCGAAAATGCTCACTTTCCACCCTCGAAAATGATCTTCTGCGATCGCATATGATTAAAATCGTCATATCTGCTAATGATTAGTCTCATTTCATAGATGTGGAACACATACTTACGCTCGGACAGCCTCCGAGAGTGGTCGCACATCAGTTACCATGAAACTAGATACGTTGTCAGTACAATGATATATACATCCCGCATCCATCCATCGAACTTACTCAAGAGTATCCTGCTTCTGAACCAGCAGCTTCAACGCATCCTCAAAAGTGCCTATCATACAGTTGTCAGCATCATAATAACCTACCAATAGAACGATCAACCTACTCCGAACTGGGCATCGTCCCATCTGAATTTGCAGATTTTTCCCGTACGCCTGATTGCCCGTCCACGGGATCTCGCCATTATGCACTCCCACACTCGAGATCCGACCCCAGGGCCGTAACATCTCAAACGCCATAGCCAGCGCACTACTATGTCCCACTACCTCAATCGCCACATCGGCACCTCTGCCCTCCGTCAATTCCTTCACCCTGTCTCTTAAACCATCTGCCTGCGTCTGGAAATTCCACGGCTCGGCCCCTAGCCGTCCCGCCAACTCCAACCGATCGGGAACACTATCAATGGCAATAAGATGCCTCGGTCGATACTCCAGTGCACTGATCAACGCACAGATCCCTACCGGTCCACATCCAAACAGAATTACCGTACTCTCCTGCACCGTAGCTTCATCCATCCCCTTGAATGCATTATTGGCGGCAAAATAACCCGTGGGGAAAATATCCGCCATAAGCACAAGCTTTTTCTCGTCAATCTCCTTCGGCGCAGCAGCCAGCGTCGAGTCCGCCAGCGGGACACGGACATAATCTGCCTGCCCGCCATCCAGGACCGCAGAGCCGTAGAGTTGGCACTTAGCGCAGCGAGAGGAACAACCTCGCACGCAGTAGAAACATTCCCCACAGCTCACAGTGAATGGTGAGACAACTAGGTCACCAGTATGGAAATTGTGGACGTCTGAGCCGGTTTCGACGATTTCTCCGGTGAACTCATGGCCCATGATGAAGCCGGTTGTGGAGGGCTGGTGGCCGCGGAAGACGTGTAGTTCACTGTAGAATATAGTTTATTAGGAGAAATCCTTTTCGTTTGGGATGTTTGGGACACTCACCTCCCACATAGTGCAGTGTAGCGTACTTTGACGATCACGTCGGTGGGATCCTGGATCTGAGGAATGGGACGCTCCTCGAGAGCAACCTCGAGAGGACCTTTGAAAACAACGGCCTGCATGGCTATCGATATAGTTGTAGCTATGAGTAATGGAGTGAGAATTGCAAGATGTGCAACGTTGAAGATGAAGTGGTGATGTTGTGAGGGTGGTGCCACTCCCCGCTTTTGGCATCCCCGAGCCTCGGTTGACAGGGATGAGGCGGGATGACGAGAACATCTTGTAGATCAGAGAATTATCGAGCGTGTCTGAATACTTCAAAAACTTATAAGAGGCTGAGGTCCCTAGTGTTAATACTACAGATATTGCTTCTTTACTCATGCAGCGCTCGGTGTCTGTCTGGAGATGGTCGGCTTTACTACACTTGCTGGTAACCCTGGGTTGAAGAAATACTTTAAATTTCCATCGGCGTTGAAGTTACTTTCACTTATATCAACAGTTAGTATACAACGAACTTACTTGGTACTCACATCTGGAACACTGTGGAACACCAATCCCCAGGCTGCACTTATCCTTCTCGTATAAGGCTAGACTGCCACCGAAAACACCAGCACTTGGCACTAACAGTCATACCTCGACACGGGGTGGCGGAATCCGGAGTAGGCGAGGGTGGGGATTTTCAGATCATCGTCGGCTACGTGCACTAGGGGGCCCCGCAAATAGTCGGAAGGCGATGTGCGTAATGCTCATTCCTTAGCTTGGAGAAAGAGTCTATAAGGGGGTGTTCATCGGAGATACCGGGGTATCGGACAAATCTACGCGAGGGGCAAACAGAGGGTCTTTCCCTCCTGCCTCGAAGCGCTAGGGGAAAGGACTCTACAACCATGTACATTGATTTGGACATTGATTATATGGGGTTCTTCAGTAAGATTCGTAATGTCTCATCCAGATGAGACTCAAATATATATACACACCAGCCGCAAAGGTATAGATATGATCCGCCAAGCATGGAACGCCACCCGGCTGTGAAGACAATTCAAAATAAAAGCAGGGGAAATCAAAGGAAAGCCAATACCAACTATTCGGACGCTTTGAACCACTTTTGTTTAGGTTTTGCCGACCAGATCTTCGTCTCGAACGATTGCCCCAGCTGGTCCACGGTAAACGGCGAGGTGAACCCGGTTGCCGTGCCCGCATAACTAGGACCGAGCCGCTGGCTACTACCCGCCGTGGACGGCGGATCGTAGGAGCTTATTGAGTCACTTGCAGTTCGTACCCGCGATAGATCGAAACTGGCGCTGCGATCACGTAGACTGGGAACAGACCCTTTGGAGGAAGTGGGTCTCGATTGACTCAGACCAGGGACTAAGCACCGGGGATGCAGCTGCCTCTCATTCGCCATGGATGATGTTTCACTGTTTGTGGCAGAATCCGGTATGGAACACGTGTCGGCATTGGATCGAGACTCTGCAATGGACCCCGTCTCCGCGGTTGACCCACCACCAGTGTTGGGCCTGGTCTCGGGTAATGACCGCGCATCCGGGTTGGGTTGAATGTCCGCATAAGAATGGGGGTCGGGGATAGATCGGGAATCGGTGCTCGATCGGGTATCTGCGGTGGATCTTGTGTCTGAAACACAGGAGTCGGTATTCGAGCCAGTGTCGGTGTGTGGCGGCGCTCCTCCTGTGGTTGGCGCTTCACCTGGGCTTGGAGAATGATGGTCAAACTCCTGACCTTCGCGGATATAACACCTCGAGATGAGGTCGTTTTGGATGGTCATAATTTTGTTAAACGCTCTGATCAGAGCAAATTTGAACGGATACGACATCTCTGGATGTCCGGATATTGTTTCGTATGCGAGCTCCTTGACGTACCCCAGGCACGTGTTCATATGCATGTACTCGATCTTCAGTGGGTGCATCAAGATTTTACCTGTGTGCATCTTTCTGAATCCCCGATATGCAATCAGTACGTCTGCCCGGCTTCTTTTCACGAGGGTCTGAACGAGGAGATCAGCTCAGTGGACTTACCCAACCTTATCCAGGTACTCCCAATATTCGAGTCGGCTGGGGTCGGAAAATAATCGGGTCAAATACCACTTCCAGAAGATTTTCCTGCGCTGCACATGTGGACCGTCCAGAGTGAAGTATTCATCTACTTGGGCGTCTGATTCAGTGCTTCGAACCCGCAACGCGCGTGCTGTTATGTCGAAGTCGAGCATCTTAGCGTATAGACGGTGGGTAAGTACTGGTAAGGCTGCCTTGAGGAATTTGGCGCCTTTGTTAAAGACGATAATATCATCTGGAGTCGCAATCAGCATCCTCCTCCGGTCCATCACCAGACTAGATCATACCGTCTGTGAAGTCCAGGAACAACCGTAGAAAATCCATTCGTTTACTGAAATCGGTGTACAATTCCTTCCGCGTCACCTGCTTGATGCCATCCTGTACAGGAGACAGTGAACCCATGGTGGATCAGACTAGCGGTGGATAATCTAAGGAATGTATAGACTGCAATGGGTATGGAATGGTACACGGAGCGTCAGCAAGGGTAGAATTGGCTTGCACGCTCTTGGTCTGGATGGTAATAAAGAAGCAAAGTGTGTTGCTGACCAGCCCTCCCCCCAGAGTCCTTATATTTAGCCGGCCCAATGACCCCTGGCAGGATTTTGGGCCAGCATGCGCCTCCGATTGCGCCAAACCGATGGAGAAGCCGACTGCGGCTGACGTGCCATACGATTGGCACAGCTGCTTGTCATTCCGAAACTGTGCCGTCATCCAACGCTTGAGGGCTGTTGACAGGGTGGTCCACTACTTTACCCGCATACGTGGAACTCCGCGGCAGAGTTTTGCAAGGTGTAATCCGACTAGGCAAGGATGCTGAAGGCTGACTGCCAGCGTCCATTGTGGAAGCGATTGATTGGGGGGGAAGGGGGGAACCAATGGTGGGCTGTGTATGGAGACAATAAGTTCACGTATATTAAGTCAACGAATTGCGTCCCCACCAAGGTAATTCCGCGACGGTGGCCCAGACTCCAGTGTTCAGCTGCGCCGTCGCGATCCCTGGACGTCCAAGGGCATCAGAGGGCCCGTTTGGCCCGGAGTGGACCCGCTAACGATCCCATCGCGTAGGATCCAATACGTCGGAGATGTCGGAAGTCCCGTCCCAGTCATGATTCGCCGCTCGCATCCAATTGTGATCGTGCCGGTCTGTGCTGGTCCCCTCGAAGGAACGAACTGTCCGTCAGCTTCTTGGCATCAGAATCGGCTCTATGATGCAGGCAGGATGGCGACCACCGGGGCATTTCAGCTGATGCGAAGGTGTTGCTCCTGTGGCCGGCAGTGTCAGCTCGCTTGTGTACTACACTCCTGACAATAAATAGTATGTACTATGTCGATCGCAACGTGTCTAGAACAGTCGCAAGCAGGGTTTAGTAACAGTAGTAGTTTGGGTATGTTATAGCAGCAGGGATGGGCTGAGATGTCCCTCACACTTTCCTCACTGAATGTGAATCATGCCACCTTTGTTGCGTTGCCCTTTTGGGTCTCGTTACATTTGGGATCTCGTGGGCCCCGTGATCGCACTTATCCCAACTGGGACAGGCCTCGGCGTGACCGACCAACAGCACATGACTAATCGCTCCACTGCGGATCTCGGCTATTCGCCAATCAGCAGAGTCCGTTTAGGATCTCCAGCTGAGACTCGCTTTTCCACAAGTTCATTTGACACCGCATATCCGTTGTGAAACAAGGAATCGAGCAGACAAGCAATTCATGATTCAGCTACCAGTCGGCAGTGGAATGCCGGTGGAGGAGGATATATAATCAGATCGGTGTACCCAACGCGATTCGACGTGGGAGATTCAGGTTTGGCACCTCTCATGCAGGTCCCTCGGGGAGCAGATGGTCTATCCCCCCCAGCCAATTTACAGGCGGGGCGCTGACAGGCACCCTGGTATTCCATCTAACCGTCCTAAGGCATAGAAGACATGGACTAATGCACCGGATGAGACATCCTTTTCAGTCAGGGATATCCCGGACTCATTGGGCGCAGGACTGATAACCACCACCGACTATACTAATGCATCTATCCCCGATGGCAGCCCAACGGCACCGGCTGGATTGGCTGTCCTTCGCTCTTATCGCATCTGCCCCTGGCTCACTCGATGCGAGAGATATAGCTCAGTCGGGGATCTTTTATTATTTCCGGTGGTGATTCGGTTCCTGAGCAAGGACCAATTGGCTCCCCAAGCTTGTCCGCGATCCGGCCGAACCCTATCCCGGTCGGTGCAAGGGCTGGAGTTGCAGTGCGAGTTGCCTACTTAGTAGTGTTCTACAATGAAGGACACCTTCAGATCGGTCCGCGTCACATTTACCATCCCTCCTCTTCTATTCACAAGCAACAACTTCTGAGAAACTCATGATGTTGATCTTTCTCCTCTTACGGCCTGGATGACACGTGACTGACCTCGGGATGAGCCTTGACCGAGGCTGGGTGCCAATGCGGGGATGGCTAACCCGGCTCGGATATACCGCATATGCCTCCTTGCTCAACAGCCTCTTCTAGATATTTCACTCCATTGGTTCTATACGTATCCACGGAAGTGTTCCCAAATAATCACCACGACAACAGCAATATGTCGCAGCTGTCTTCTAACCCAATTCCATTCTCGGAGCCGCCATATCTCTGCGGTCTCCCTTCCCCCTACTACTCGCCGGGCCATCGTCGCTTTCAAAAAGCCTGTCGCGATTTCTTCTGGGAACATCTCCACAGCCATGCTGCCGAGTATGAGAAGGCCGGAAAGGTTCCCGAGCATGTCTTCCACACGTTCTGCAAGCATAATATGCTACTCCCGAATATCGGCGCACCCTTGCCCGTGGACTGGCTGAAGCGCTTGGGAATCGCCGACATCTTGGGAGTCAAGGTGGAGGACTGGGACTACATGTACACGGGGATTTATTTCGACGAGGTAGGTATCCTGGGCACGCCATAGGGCATGACTTGACTGACAACTTCAGATGGCGCGAGCCGGTATGGCTGGGCCGGGTTCATCCCTGAACGCCGGATTCAACTTTGCAATTCCACCTATTCTGAAGTATGGCAGCCAGCAGTTGCAGGAACGCTTTCTCCCAGATCTTTTGACTGGTCGCAAACGCTGCTGTATCGCGATTACAGAGCCGGAGGCAGGCAGCGATGTTGCCAACATCATCACGGCAGCCACCAAGACGCCCGATGGAAAGTATTACCTGGTCAATGGCGCGAAGAAGTGGATCACCAACGGGATCTGGTCCGACTTTGCGACCATGGCTGTTCGCACTGGTGGTCCAGGAGCGTCTGGTCTCTCCGTCCTGCTCGTCCCATTGAAGGGACACCCCGGCGTCACGATGCGCCCGCTCAGGGTTACCGGCCCGATTACCAGTGGAACCACCTACATTGAATTGGACGACGTCAAGGTACCTGTGGAGAATCTGGTCGGCCGAGAAGGGGACGGCATGCGAATGATCATGACGAATTTCAACCACGAACGCCTTTCGATCGCTGTCGGCGTCACTCGCCAGGCTCGCGTGGCCCTGTCCACCGCCTTCCAGTACTGTCTGAAGCGAGAGGCCTTCGGCAAAACGCTGATGGACCAGCCAGTTGTCCGAAACCGTCTGGCTAGGGCGGGCGCCGAGCTGGAAACGTTGGGGGCCTTTGTCGAGCAGCTCCTTTACCAATTGTGCCATCTTCCCAAGGAAGAAGGAGATCGCAAGCTGGGTGGAATCACAGCCCTCGCCAAGGCCAAGGCGGGGATGGTGTTGAACGAGTGTGCGCAGTGCGCGGTTCTCTTGTTTGGAGGAGCCGGATTGACGCAAAGCGGACAGGGCGAGCTGGTCGAGTCGATTCTCCGAGAGGTGCCAGCTGCCCGGATTCCAGGCGGTAGTGAAGATGTTTTGCTTGACCTGGCCGTTCGACAATTGGTGAAGGTCTATCAGACGGGGGAGCGGAACTTGAAGCAGTCGAAGATATAGTCCGGTTGGATAACATTGTGGTAAATAAGGTGTATACAGTACTAGTGTCAGTGACATGTCATATTGAATAGCAATTTTGGCTGCCAACTTATCTTCCTTGAAGCCTTGGAAATTGCCATTGTTCCATTTGCTGCAGGATGTTATCAAACGTTATCTTCTAATCCTGATTTGCTGAGCAGGTTACACGAGACTCCACTGAGCTGTTTTGCAAAGGCAAATGCCACTGCCAGTGCTGTGGCTGGCAGTCTGAGCGGCATTTGATATCATTGCCAGATTAACTCCCGATAGCGCCGGTAACTGCAATCCCGCGTCCCAATGGTGGCCACGCAGCTTCCCTGACTCGTCACACCTGTCACTTATCATCGGCCGATCCGACTTCTTATCTGCACCAAGAATGGAAGCGGCCTCAAATAACGGCCCCTTGCCGAAACCTCAACAGCCCATTCAACGCGCACAATGGGTCTGAAGCAGCAGCTACAAGTCAAACATGGGGAGGTGGTGTCGGGAGTCGACTCCAATGCCGATCTGGATCCTATTCCACGGAATTCAGCCCGGCGGACTTGGGGATGGGTCAGTTTGACAGGTTTTTGGATTTCGGAAGCATTTTCGATCAGCATGTACCAGGGTAGGTTTCCTCTGCGCAAAAACGAATTTCACTAATCGACCAGTCACGTCCACATCGGTGTCGAAAGGGTTGAACGCGGGTCTGGCGATCGCGGCAGTGGTTATCGGCCACATGCTCGTGTACATCCCAGTGGTGCTCGATGGGTTGGTGTCCAGACAATCACAGAGAGCCATCTAACAGAAACAGATACGTGGGTTCTATATATGGCATCAACTTTCCTATCCTCACCCGTGCCAGCTACGGCATGCGAGGGAGTTATTTTGCTGTCCTCAGTAAGCCATCCTCAATTTATCGACCAAATCTGTCTGACCAACTCAGTCCGCGGGCTCGTCGCCATTATCTGGTTCGGCACTCAGACCTACCAAACCGGAGAATGCATCTCGTCGATGATAAGTGCCATCTGGCCATCTTTCGAACATCTACCCAACCATCTCCCAAGTTCGGGGCCTATAACTTCCGCTCAGCTGCTTTGCTTCTTTTTAGCCATTATCGTCCAACTCCCACTCTTATATCTCAACATTCCTCAGCTCCGCTATCTCTTCTTAGTGAAGATGGTCATCATGCCCATCTTCGGCCTGGCCTTATTTATCTGGGCCGTCGCCACTGCCCACGGATTCGGTCCCGTCTTCTCTAAACCTAGCCAAATTACCGACGGGACACCTGTGGCAGTGGTTTTTCTACAATGCGTAACCAGCGCTATTGGCCCTAAAGCCACCCTTGCGTTGAATATGCCCGACTTTACGCGGTACGCGCACTCACCTCGCCAAATTATCTGGACGCAAGCTTTAGGTTTGATAGTTCTAGTTTCGCTCTGCGGCGTTCTGGGTGCGACAGTCACCTCTGCCAGCGAGATTATCTATGGCGTGCAGACCTGGAACCCGCTACAAGTGGCTGCACTGTGGAACAACCGTGCCGCGCAGTTCTTCGCCGCGTTGTGCTGGTCTCTGGCGGCCGTAGGGACGAATCTGTCTGCGAATAGTGTGTCTTTCTCGAATGACCTATCCCTTTGGTTTCCCCGGTACATCAACGCACGACGAGGTGCATATGTTTGCGCGGTGCTCAGCATTCTGAGCTGCCCGTGGTACATCCAGGAAGAGTATGACATCCTTCCCCTTAAACGGTCAAGTCTAACCTTTATCCAGCGCGGCATCCTTCTCATCCTTCCTAGGCGGCTATTCTCTCTTCCTCGGGTCCTTAGCCGGTATCATTATAGTGGACTACTGGATCATCCGGAGACGACAGCTGCGCGTTCACTCTCTCTATGATCCGCGAGGTACGCACTTTTTTACGCGGGGATTCAACCTCCGCGCTTTTGCGGCCTTCCTCTGCGGGATTGCACCGAATCTGCCTGGTCTGGCGAATGCCTGTGGGCAGAGTGGCGTGCCGGTCGGCGCAGTGTATCTGTATTCGCTGAGTTGGTTGGTCAGTATTCTCGTATCAGGAGGGGTGTACTGGGGCCTTTGCAAAGTTTGGCCGGTAGCGGTGGATGACGACGAGGGAGGTATCTGGGAGGGAGTAGAGGTGACTACCAAGGAAGTCGAGAGTGCTGCACAATAGATTGGATATCGCACTAGATAGTTTATCATTCCAATACAGCTACTTCAACTCTAAACTACAAAGGAACAAATTGCTATCACAGATATTCCTGTCCCCTCGCCAACCTCCCCACCTTAGAACTCGCATACACTCCTTTCTTCGCAGTCTTCACTCCCATCCGCACCAACCCAACAAGATGTTGCACCCCAGCCACAACCCCATCCACAACCTGCACATCCCCATCACCTCCAACAGCCTCCTCCACCGCCTTCTTCAACTTCATCATCCCCGCACACCCCAGGACAATGACATCCGCACCAGCACCATCCACCAACCTCTTTGCCGCACCACACATTGCCCCAACCACATCCTTCCGGCCATCAGCACCACCCTTATCCAGCTCCAAAACCCCCATCCCACATGCTTCCACACCGGCACACACCCTATCCATTCCGAACTTTCTCACCGCATCGGCATGAATAACCTTTGACCTCTGAGAAGTCACCACAACCCCGAACCTCCCTCCAACTGTCCTAGCAGCCATCAACCCAGCCTCCATGATCCCTATCACGGGGACGGATAGCTCTTCCCTCAGGGCATAAACAAGCGGATGATCGCTAAAGCACGCAACTAGGAATGCATCGTATTGATCTGCGATAGGCAGAATAGCCCTGACGGCAGCGGCAGCGGACAGAACAGCATCGAGGGATCCCTCAATTGCCGATGGGGCAGGGATGGGAGCAGTGAAAGGGACAACTTCCACGTCCGGTGGGAGGGTCGGTTTCACCATTGAGATGCAAGTATCTGTCATGGAGGGCGTGGAGTTGGGGTTAATCAGGAGGACCCTTATCTTCCCTTTCTCCTCCGTCTTTGGGACGATAATATTCGAGCTGGTAGTGGACGGGGGCTCCACCACCCCCGTCTGCCCCGTGATCCTCCCATAATGCTCAACCCTGCGATGTCTCGCAAAATCAAACGTACGGGTCTTCCCCGCGCGACAAAGCCCCAAATCACAGTCCGCAATGATAACCTCATCCCCCTTCGTGTTCGCCTCGGCAATAATCCTCCCCTCGGGATCAACAATACTCGACCCCGCGATGAGGGGATACTCCCCATCGTCAAGCCCACAGCGTGCAGCACTAACGCTGAAACACGCATTCGTGTAGCTATGGCACTGCATGACCAGTTTATGATGAAACAGGGACAACTCCTCCGCTTCCTTGGGAGTCATATCGGTCGACTGGCCCCAGAACTGCGGCGCATAGCCATTGGTATTATATCCACAGGCGACGATTTCAACACCTTGCAGGCCATATTCGCGCCAGGATTCTGCCCAGCGGCGGTCATTGCAGATCATCATTCCGAGGATGGGGTCTGCGTCCTTTTCGCCTTCCTGATGATGTGAGAGTGATGGGGATAGTAGTCCGGGTACGCGAAATGCCTGGAATCCCAGGTTTCCCGGCTTGAAATACCTCTTTTCAAGCTGATTCACGGCTTTCGGATCGGGAAGTGGCTCCACATCACCGGGGAGATGGACCTTGCGGTATCTGGAGAGAATTGACCCTGTCGCGGCGTGGTAGTACACACAGCTGTTGAAGTGCTCGCCTGTGTCGGTAGCTTCCGCGAAGCCGACGATGATATCTACCGCTAGGTCGTGAGCGGTATCGAAGAGTGCCTTGGTGCGCGGCGCAGTGAGGATGTCGCCGTGTTCGAACCAATCTTCTATCTCGGCTTCGTCAAGGATCAGATATCGAGGGAAGAATGTCGTGAAGGCGATTTCGGGGAAGAGGACGAGTTTTGCTCCTTGGGTGGCGGCATCCTTGAGGAGGAGGATCATGCGATTCAAGGTTTCTTCGCGAGAGGACCATTTGTTGGTCGTGCCCATTTGGGCGGCGGCGAGGCGGACGGTGCGAGGCATGATGGTCAATGATTGTGTGGTATACCTGTGATGGGGAGGTGTTGAGGGGTAAATTGAGGTTGATACCGTATCCCTCGGTATTGGGCTAATACTAGGTGCAGATATACTTCTTGGTTTGTCCGGATATATTTCCGCGTGATCGTTGTTGAGCCGGCCTGAATAGGAAGGTCGGGGTAGACCCTATCGCTATCTGGGAGTCAATCTTATCGTCGGCCGATCCGATGACCTCCAGTAGTATTAGTAAGGTGGAGGTGAAAACGATAGTGATTTATTATCGTGAGTCTCTCTATGAGGTGAGCGACTCTGGAAAAGCAGGAAAACAGTCGTCGCAATGAAAGCTACTCCAGGAATCGACTTGATTATCATCAATGCTACAGTTGTGAGTGCAATTCTAGCTACCATACACACAAATAGCTCACACCAGCAGGCGACTGCCTCCGATGTAGTCCCCAACCAGGATATCGCCATCTCCGGCGGCAAGATTGTCCTTCTTGGACGGAATCTCCCTGCACTTTTTCCTAGTGCAGCAACACTCGATGCAGAGGGCGCATACGTGACGCCTGGTGGTGTCGACAGCCATGTGCACCTGCAACAGGATAACTCTCCAACTGGCGATACCTGGGAGTCAGGGACTCGCTCAGCTATCGCAGGAGGTACAACGACGGTTTTAGCCTTTGCGAGTCAAAAACGAACTGACGAGAGTTTATTTCCCGTGGTCGAGGAATATCATCGAAGGGCTACCGGCCAGGCGTACTGCGACTACGGCTTCCATCTCATCCTGACAAACCCCACCCCCAACATCCTCGATGAAGAGTTGCCAGTGCTAGTCAGCAGTGGTATCAGTTCTGTAAAGCTATACATGACTTATCAACCAATGCGACTTGGGGATGGCGAGATTCTGGATGTCATGGAGTCCACCCGCCGGCTGGGGATGACGACCATGGTTCACGCCGAGAATCATGAGATGATCCAGTGGATGACGGAGAAGTTGGAAGCACGCCGCCGTACCGAACCATATGGTCACGCTCTGGCGCGTCCCAATATTGCAGAAGACGAGGCGACATACCGCGTCATTTCTCTGTCTGAGCTGGCTGATGTCCCCATCCTCATTGTGCATATGTCCTCCAAGCTGGCTGCGGCACATGTGCGAGCGGCTCAGACGCGGCTGCTGCCAGTCCACGCGGAAACCTGCCCTCACTATCTGTTCTTCACGAGTGAGCGGCTAAAGGGTGAGAACTTCGAAGGGGCCAAATGTGTATGCTCGCCAGCATTGCGAGAAGATCCCATGGACCTGGAGGCGATGTGGGCGGGTCTGGCCAATTCAACATTCACGACAGTCTCCAGCGACCACGCACCATCTAAGTGAGTACCACATCTGATTATGTTGATGATTGCTGACCAGGAAGATTTGATCACCCCCTCGGCAAGAAGAAGGGCACGTCTAGCTTCACCCAGATCCCCAATGGACTGCCCGGGTTGGAAACACGACTGCCGACGATGTTCTGCGGCGGTGTTCTCACCGGGCGCATATCCATCCAGAAGTTTGTCGAGCTGACCAGCTCGAACCCAGCCAAGTTGTATGGACTTGGGAGCACGAAGGGAACAATTCAGCCCGGTTTTGACGCGGATCTCACGATTTGGTATCCCACGCCAGAACAGGCTGCCTCCAACGGCACGTCGGTCATGACACCATTCCAACTGTCCAACGACATGCTGCACCACGATATCGACTACACGCCGTTTGAGGGCATGGGGTTCACCAACTGGCCTCGATACACCATCCTCCGCGGACAGATGGTGTGGAACCGCGACACAAGTGGCATTGTCGGCAGCAAAGGAGACGGAGCTTTCCTGAAGAGAGGACCCAGCTCATTGAGCAAGCCACGGAATGTGTTTGTCAATGAGTTCAATCCGTACTCTAGTTAGTAGTAATGGGGACAAAGCATGAAACCAACATGAGTCACAGAAAACAATGATCATTGACATGGTAACATATAAAATAGTATAGACAGTAGTATAATGCAATCACCCAAGTGCGGTCGATCCAGGTATAATCCCAATCACAGCGCCTTGCACATAAGAAATTTAAACGAAAGCCATCATCACGATACTAACAACCACAACAACAACATTCGGCGGCTTCGAGACAGCACTCGCACCATTCCTCGCAAAGGAAGCAGCAGCACATTGTGATAAGACAGGTGGTCAAGCAGCCACGGTCTTTGGAGGGTTCTTGTTGGGGAGGCGCATATTGCATGGGCTGGGGAGGAGGGTACTGGCCACCAGGAGGAGGGTAGCTATGAAACAGACAGCGTTAGTTGTTGAGCTCGGACAAACATTCATAGTGTTCGGAAGGTACATACTATCCCTGGGGAGGCGGTTGCTGCTGGTAGGACATGGCTGTATTTCTGTTTGTTCTATGATCTTGACAAAAGAAGGTATTGTATGGGGTCACTCGAAAGGTGGCCAGTAGACCAGCGGGGGAGCTCAGGAGTTATATAGCCGGAATCCACGGAATCCGCTCAGGGCGCCAGGCAGGCAGACGCATTGCTGGCCAAAGTCCGTCAGCCCTGCGGACAGACACCAGGCGAGCTGGCGGATCTTGGCCCTGCAAATTTTGCTGGGGTGCGATCCACCGCCGAGGGTGCGATTGGATATGCGCTCAGATGAAAGTGAATCAGCCATCGAGAAAGAGCATGGAAGATCCCCGTGCCGAGCCCAAAGTATTGGCTTGTGAGGAAGACAACATTGGCGCTAAGAATAGATACATATTGAACCCAGATCAGGTAACACAACACACCTCTGTACTCCATGGGCCTGCCAGTTCGGGCGGGCGCATCCGCAACCTACCGCAATGAACAACTAGGTACGCTTATAGTGATGGTGGCGCCAAGCACACCCTGCCCCGTCGGGCGGGAAAGTGGAGCATCACTTGGGTCAGATTACCTGCCATTTCTCTCATTTTTCCTCATTCAGGAGAACTGAGCCAAGCCGCCAAGAGTTCCGGCAGGGATACTGGGGACACGCTTACTGGTCACTCCTCCAGGATGAAATTGCGCTCTCCCCAAAGCTGTTCCTCGCGTAGAAGCGCCAAGGCCTGGAAGCGCCCCTTAAGGCTGGCGGGACCGACCTAAGCTCCCCCGCGTCATCCAATCACCCCGGACCATCACCATCCCCTAGGGTCTCACGCTCTCCTCGGCTCTGGAAGAACGCTGTTGCCTACGCCATCATCGTGGCTGGTGTGAACGCATGTGAGGCTGGTTAGTATGCATGTCCATGATTTATTTATGTACTTATTTTCTGCAAGGGGGAACGAATTCCACGTTCGTCCTATCACTTTGTGGTCATTCACTATAGCCTGTTGAGTCCACATCACTGTTCTCTAAACATGACACCGGTAAGATAGAGTTTTCAGTGCAGATTTTATTTCTAGGCTCATGGTAGCCAGAGGAGGCTGATAACATCCATTGCAATACATTGATAGTATTGTATCAGATTTTTGTAGACAAATATATGGATTGATTGGCCAGATGTCTATAGCCCTCGTGATATGATTATCAACCTAATCTATATCTGAGTAACTAATCTTGCTACTGTGCCTACAATCTGGATGCTCGGGAGTATCTCTAGTGGTCATTTAATCACACGGGTACATGTTCGATCACATATGGAACTGTAGTAATCATTCCTCATAGTCTCTTTGCAGAGCTCATGTTTCATCTCTCATGTATGATATGATATGGAGTACCTCTCTATTACAGTAGAAGGAAGCTCAAACGCTTACAGCCCCACCAAAGTATCAATCCAAAAGATCGCATGCTGCCCCTCCCCCTTGACATTCAGATCATCATCACCATTCCGAAACACCGCATCGGGCGCCCCTTCCAACCACAAATGATATCCTGGTCCATCACCAGGATAGATATTGTCCCCTCTCGGCGTGATGATATACCTGCCCTCCTCCTTTGGCCACTCCTCGAACCAGAGATCTGTTCCCTCATCATCGAGTCCAATCCAACTAATAGAAATACCAGTCAGCTTGTGTCATGCCAAGGTAGGAATGAGGGCACTACATACTGTCCCTTCAGCGCTAGATATTTTCCCGTCTCGGTCTCCTTGAACCGGTATCCATTGTCACCTTGCTCAACGTAGAACCGGTCACCCTGTAGTGCTTCCGTGGCATTCGCGTATAGGGTGCCGGAAGAATCGTAGTGTTCGACATTCTTCCGAGAATCGTTCAGGAGCTTGTCGTAGCCGGTGATGTTACCCTCGTCATCGCGCTGGAAGGGCAGGCTGCGGCGAAAACTGCGCAAGTTGACGGTGTCGCCGGGGGCGAATTTGGGGTGGTGAGTACGATAAGTGCGGCCCATTGTGATTGTGAATGTGAATGTGCGGATATATAATAGTATACTGGTTTCAGTGGTGGTATGTTGCTAGATGTTGTCTGGTAGAATCACTGGACCGTCGAAGTTAGAGGAAGACGTGGCTTATATGCTTAGCCAGAGGTTTCTATGTACTTGATCGTCGACTGAATTGATATCATCATGACTATGAACATGTGTTCATCTGCAATGAATGAGATGAACTGTCTGTGGGCCTGATCTGGTAGAGTTCGTGGTGGCGACCCGATCACTTCCGAAAATAGTAATCCGTGAAGCCATCTCCAAGGTAGGTGGAGACTTCATACGTACCTAGCGCAAATTACGAGATGATCTATATCCGCATACTGTGTAAACTGATGATATTCTTTAAGATAGTATGTCATACTGATGCTACTATACATCGATAGTATCAATCAACGCTCTAGCCGCTTTGTCGAGCGCTATGAATGTAGCGGGGTGGGGGTATCAGAACTTTCCCTTGAGGACGATTCTGAGAGTAGATCCTATTTTAAAAAGATGGATAGATATGTAAAGTGGGCGGGGCAGTTGTTCTGGGGCTGGATTGAGGCTCATCTTTCCAAGTGTGCGGTGATTACCAGTTGCTGCATATAATGTCCTGCCTGATAGTAGTACGTACAATCTCTCAATTCCTCTACAAACGCCTCTGGAATATCTTTTAAATATCTCTCCTTTCGACCTATTTGATGCCGGCAGTACCTCCTTTGACAGTTTGACTTCCCACATAAAAAAGATCCGACAAATTGACTCTTCTAGCAGTTGCGAGCTTCTACCCGACACACTAGCTACACAATAGCCAGACAGGCTAGCGGTAATGAAACAAGAGAACAATAAATAAAAATTAATGTTGGTGTTGTACACTATACGTAGATCGATCGTTGGATACGTCACTATGATGAGCGTCCACTTAGTTCGGTGGAGCCCCACCACCGCCTCAATTGGCAGACCTTAATTGATTTTTTAGATCATTGCCATATGATGACCGTATTTAGTGCTACTAAAGCTACTAGGTGCTAGGTCACTAGAAAATATGAATTGAGAATAGTGTAGACTGGTTTTCGTACAGGTCGGGATAGACTTGTGGCTACTTCACGTTGTAGCACCAAGCCCTGTCAATATGACATATATTAGTATTATATATTTAGGGTCATCCTCAAAACCATACTAAATCACAAGGCAGTTCTGAAGCTCCCAATATCCATAATAGGACCATTCAAGATTATTCTTCGAATACTAACAGTGAGAACTTCACATAAGCATTGTACATGCCAATGAGATGAGATGGCAGATAGGGATATGAAACAGTACCATGTGCATTTTCTTATTGGTTGTTAATTTTCTGATACCGGTGTTCATCATGCTGTTTAGACCCTTATCTGCTGCACTGTAGTCTCTCACATTGCATAAATTACATGAGACCACCACATTAGACCCAAAGAGGGTTATTCCGACGAGAGTCTGGCATCCAGCCAAATCCCGGCATGTCAGACGCGGGTGCCTGCAAGTGGAGACGCGGACTCTTTCTGCTGCTGCCAATCTATCGCATAATGATTTAGTGATGCTTACTCGATGCTCTCGTAAGAGCGGGAGAATATGGGTCCAGGAATGCCGGTGGATAAATCTATAATTGCTGTCCCCACAGTTATACAGTCCCTGCAGTACCGAGTGCAAAATTAGAAGCCTAAACTGGTTTGGGGTATGTGGATAAATGGCATGATTGCTTCTATGTTTATGACATCCAAAGAGTCGAATGCACACTGCGCTATGATTGTGTGTCCACGCAGTTACCTGAATGACTGTCTACTGCAAGAGAGTCATTGAAGCCATCCTGTCATAAATTGGTTTTGCATGTGGTGCAGCCATCGGGACTTGCTCGCAGAAAAGCATCACTACAACACAGATTATGTATAAGCGTGGTGAAGAGGATCTGTCTTCGGCCAAATTACAAATTACTACAAATGCCGCTTCATTATTCAAATACATTCATGCTTCGTGGTATCACAATATCAGTGATCTGTAGGTGGGCAAAAAGTGTCTCTGTTACACCGACTCTTAGTCTCATTGACCGATACACCGCTCTCTTCCGCGCAAGATGGCAAGTCATGTCCTTCGTGATTATCCCTTTTCCGTGAAATATTTGCTTCAACTCTCTCGGAACCGGCTGGGCCATGTTTTCATACCTTCATACATTGTCAAAAAGACTTTTGATCAGCGGGATAACCTTGTTTTGATGTAGATCTGATCACGGCAAAGAAAGCAGCTCGTAAGAGACCCCAACTGGCCCTACTCGCGCTAATTATCTCGGCATCCCATCAGTACTAGTAGTGGATCCATGCTGCATGACACGCCAATCAATCAACCAACCACTCAATTATTAATGCGTGGTAACGTAGCACGGGCGCTTATTAGAGGGTCTGCGGGGTTGGTTATCAGTTTGCCAACCAGCTAGACTAACAAATCACCTCAACATTTCCAACTCTCCAGCATCAGTGTATCCTAAACCACAACCAGGATTTACTAGCTCCATTAACGCAGTCTCAATATCCAATTTTAAAATCTATTCTCCTTGGAGGGCAACGCAATGTCCACAGTCGACAGCCCCTTGCTAGGACACAGACCTCAACACCCTCACCCAGATGATGTTGAGCATCCACTGGGCCACAGTAAACGGCGGCAGGGACCCGGCTCCAATGTCCTCAAAGTTTTAGCTGTCTTCTGGACATTTCTGATCATGGGGGCGGGTGATGCAGCATATGGGGTAAGGACTGTAGAGAAGAACAGACTTGCCGTTATTGAAGCTAACAATCGTCCAGCCTTTGATTCCCTACGTAAGTGCAATCTCGCCATCCTGTTGTAGATAAGCTGTTGAGTAGAAAGCTTGAAAAATACTACGACATCTCACACGGCACCGTTTCGCTTCTATTCCTATCTCCCATTTGTGGCTACACGCTTGCGGCACTCCTGAACAGCGAAATTCACGTCCAAGTGGGCCGTCGCGGTATCGCTTACATTTCAGCAGCCTGCCACTTGCTAACGTTTAGCATCGTCTCCTTGCATCCTCGATTCCCTATCGTTGTGGTATCTTTTGTGCTGTCTGGGTTCGGGAACGGGTTAGCAGACTCGGGATGGAACGCTTGGATAAGCAGCCTGTCTCGCTCGAATGAATTACTGGGGATGCTTCATGGTTTGTATGGACTGGGAGCTGTACTAAGCCCATTGATCGTGTCCGGACTGGTAACTAAGGCCAATGTTCCGTGGTTCTACTTTTACACTATAATGGTACCGCTTTCCGATGTCTACTACCTCCGCAACTTGCTCATATGGATATAGGCTGTGTGCGCTACTCTGGAAGCTGTTGTCTGCACCATCGCCTTCTGGGATGATCGACCGATCACTAGAGGAGCCGGCGATGACCCCGATGATAGTGAACATGGTAGCCTGAAACGTGCTCTTTTCCAACAGCCCTATGCTCGGGTGACTTGGATCTGCGCGCTCTTCCTGCTCATTTACGTTGGCATTGAAGTCGCTTTGGGCGGATGGACGGTCGTCTTCATGATGCAGGTACGCCACGGTAGCCCATTTGCCAGCGGCATGGCTGTTACGGGATTTTGGCTGGGCATCACCTGTGGCCGCATTTTCCTCGGATTTGTTACGCCGATGATAGGCGAAGAACCGGCAGTTACAGTATGTCACCTCTCACCCTTTCCACCCTGATCAGTGAGTTTGGTCTTAGCTCATGCTCACTTTCTGCAGCTATATTCCGTGTTGGCGATAATCTTCGGCTTCATCTTCTGGCTCGTGCCAAATTTCAACGTCTCGGCAGTGGCAGTCTCCCTGCAAGGCTTCTTCCTTGGCCCTCTATTCCCGGTTCTCATTGCAGTGGCCACCAAGCTGCTTCCCCAATCACTGCACGTGAGCTCGATCGGATTTGCCTCGGCGATCGGAGGGGCTGGAGCAGCATTGATGCCATCGGCGATTGGTGCAGTCGCAGAAGCCAGAGGGGTCCAGATTCTGCAGCCTTTCATTCTTGGGCTCTCGGGTGTGGCCCTGGTGTTGTGGATGTGTTTGTGGTGGATTTCAAGAAGCAATTCAAGGACATCGAGTTAAAGAGGCGAGACCGCCCGAAAGAGAAGCGCTCTGTTAATGCACATCATCCTGGACGATGCAAGAAGCGGTAACATCATCATCGCTGTGCCAAGGATGGGACCAGAACAATCGCCGCTGTTTCACCATTTACCTGACTGAGTCTTTGAGTATGAAAACTTCATTTATTAGACCAGATAGAGAAGAAAATTGGGTAAAAAAAAGGAAAAGCAAAAAGAGAAAAATACATACAACAGAAGGGATTCGCTGGTGGTCACCCACCCAACTACTAACCTCCCGGCGTGTGGCTTGAGTACGGCTGAGCGGACGGGAAGCCCTATTTTCCACACCCTGTGGTCGTATGTGCTTGCTATCAAGGAAGCAGGGTATATATGCAGTACATTATCAGTGAGAATAGTGTAGATCTCATGCTGAGCTGGGCAGTTTAATTGCGCGCCCGTAAACTGCTCCACATTATGCTCGGTTCTCGAATCCGATCAATGACCGATTAACACGATTTCGCCTATCAAGGAATGTAATCTCGCAGAAATAACATGTGAATTTCAGCCCAATTCATTCTAGCATGAAAATGATGGTAAAAATTCTAGCTACAGTAGATAACTTCCCTGATTGTTCCTGGAAGCTTCGGCCATGTGACTTGACCGCCGCACGCCTTCTGCCAGGGATCCATCCACCCCCCACATTCCGCTAATTATCTCTCCGTCATCGCTTTCTTACCTTCCTTCACGGAGCTTCTTTTGTCTCCATTAATTGAATGACTCACAATTTTTAGCTCAGGCATTATGGGCAGTTTCCCATACTGCCCCTACAATGAATTCCCCACCCTCCCGTCGGCCTGGTCGCCAGAGACGACCGCGAGTTCCTGATGCGCTCCGCAAGAGAGCCGCGCGCGCGTATGCTTCCTCGTCGCAATCTAGTCACGAAAACAGTCATTGACTCTTGATTGAACTATCAGATGCCTGCCTTGTCGCCAACACAAGGAAAAATGTACTTTCACCGTTATAACCTCGTGCACTTGCCATTCCTCGTCCGTCGACTGATCAGGCCTCGGAGCTCTAGGCCATGGTGGCGGTCCACCCTGCGCACGCTGCCAACAATACAAGCGCACCTGCCACTTCGAAGATACTCGACCCAAGCCGACAGGTATGTCCGCAGTACCGTTGCAGCGTGAGTTCCAAATGGAGCGCATTATACGTCACTTCCTAGGCGAGGACATCTCGCTCAATCCCGCTCGGCTGGAGGAGACTGCGGACTTGTTGGAAAGCGGACGGTACCGTGGAACTCCTCTAGAGACGCGAGGGGTGGAGGATGAAGACCAGACACCCGAGAGCTATTCGTTGGAGCCATTGTCCACGAACACCATGCGTATGTCCAAGATACTGTGCATAAGGATTGCCGTTAACTGGCCTCGCATTAGACTATTCAGGGGAATTATCGCATTGGAATTTCTCCAAAATGATCCGTCGACGTCTACAGAGCTTGGGCACTCCTAAAGGACAGAATGATGCATGCACTCCTTAAATCGCATCCAGCCATCGCACCGCTAACGAATCGTTCAGGGCTTGAATCCCTCGGATGGATTCTTTCGCGCTACTGGTCTGCAATCGGCCAGTTCGTGTGTCGCCTTGGCTATAGGGTACTTCCCACCTCGTCCTGTTGCCGAATTCCTCACCAATACATTTCTCGAGCATGCACAGACGAACTATTTCTATTTCCCCGAGACAGTCTTTCGGGAGAAGATGAACTACTATTATTCTGTCGACAGGCCGCTTGTTATCGACGATGCGGGTTGGATTTGTACACTGTTAATGACGTTTGCGATTGGCACTCAATTTGCATACATGCAGACTTCCTCGACGGAGAAGCCTCCTTTTTCGGAAGACATCCCTGACGATCGCATCGGGATGGATCTATATCGGTTCTCGTGTCGTTTGATCCCTGATCTCATCACCACCGCCTCGCTTGAGACTGTGCAGGCCTTTCTATTACTGGGTGTGTATACGTTGCCGATTGATACCGCAGGATTGGCCTACACGTACTACGGCCTGGCTATCAAAATGGCCATCCAGAATGGAATGCACCGAAAGCATATTGCGCCGTCGGTTTCGCCAGTGATAGTGGAATGGCGGAACCGTTTGTGGTGGACAGCGTATTCCCTTGAAAGGTGAGGCACTAGTCTACGTCGTGTGAACCGGGCTCACAGTCGCACAGCCGTATCAGCATCCTCCATGGGCGTCCTGTATCCGTATCTCCCTTTGAAACAGACGCCGACATGCCTGCTGACCTGGTTGAGCTGCGCCAACCCAGCGGTATCTCGAATTTACCGAATGTCACGGCAGCCATCCACTTGACAAAGAAGCTTGGGAAAGTGGCCCAGATTATTTTACGACTGCGACGATGCCCGCGTAGTCAAGATGCCTATCTGCACCAACTATGCAACCTGAGGATGGACTAGAGCAGGTGGTGGGACTCGCTCCCGAAAACATTGCACTGCCGCGACCTTGATCCAGCCGGGCCCTTATTTCGGTCCAATGTGCACCTTGAGCTAAACTACGCTACCGCACTAATTTACATGGGCCGGCCTTTTATCTTTCTACAAAATGAGATCGCGGATAGCGGTGGATATGGATCACAAAAAGAGGGTGGTCGTGCAGAGTTAATCGAGGCGTTCTCGCGAAACTGCACACGAGCAGCCATAAGAATCATTGACCTTTGTCAGCTGCTGCATGACTCGGTCGGACTCGCACGCGTGTCATACACAGAGTTCAGTTCGTGCCGCACAGCTTTGCTGGCCTTGATTGCGCAACTCCTCAGCGGGTCATCAGAACCGATAGGTGGCGCCCTAACGCGAGGATTGGGCCTGATCCGCCAGATCTGTGTAGGGTTGGAGTCGGCTCGGTCGGAGATTGCAGTAATCGAAGCGCTTGAGCGTGCTCGGCAGCAGCTTGGTCTCGGCGAGCGATCTCCCCTAGGAGATTCGTCTGAGACAGGCTATGACCAATTCCAGAAATGGGCCAAGCTCTGGCGCCTAGGTCCTTTGAACTCGGAAGCTTTTTCACCTCCTGCAGGAGTTGAGTCGCCCAACAATCCAGGCAGTATTCCTTCATTTGACGGGTTTTTCTCTTCGTTTCCGCAAGAACTGGATGCCTTTGCCGCGATTCCAGGCTCCGAGGATACTGCAGCGCCGCCTAGCATATGGCCTGTGCCGGATGCATTTCTCTTGTTTCCTGGAAATGTGGACGCCGAATTGGAGTTTGATAGGCCTCAATGAAGGTGGGTCTAGTTCCAAGCTGTATATTACGATGTTACTATTACAAAAGACAAACTTCTCGATGGTTTAGATGATGTCACCGGGGACGTCAGAAAGTAGCACCTTCTTTCAGTAGCCGTCAGTTGTTCTGGACCCACAATGGTTTGAAAAAACACGTTACTCGTTGGATATCCTGTCCCAGCGAAATGTTCGGCCTATAGAGAGGTGGTGGACCTGTCTACCCGGTTCTTCGAATGCAGTATTGGGAATCCAATCCTGTCCCGGGTACCGGTACCCGAATATACCGTCTTGAGATTCCTAGTAATTGACCAACCCTAGTCAACATCTGCATTGCTCGTATTGTAAGTGGCCACGAGAGAAGACCGGAAAAGGACCCCTGAAATTCTTGCATTAGAAAATTAGCCAGGCCCTAGCTTAATTTTGAAGTGGAATAAATTCCTTCGGTAACTAGGGACATGGGGCAAAAGAAGCTCCCATCTTCGGGATTGGCAACCGAACACACCTGCCCGGGAAAGACCCCGACTCCGGGACCCAGCGAGCCCGGCACTAGGTCCCGAATCATTGAGAGTCGTCGTTAAATAGTATAAGTGCAAGCAGTACGGGGAAACAGAAATCTGCTAAACTTTCAATTGATAATTTTGCATATTCTTGGGACTTGTCATTGCATTCAATCATGAAGTGGCTTCCAGCAAGATCTCATGCTCCCATAATTAAAATCACAATAAAAGATCCTAGACCAAGTTACACAACATGGGACCTCATCGAAGGCACAGTGACGGTGACTGCGCCCAATGAAACGAATGTTAACAATATTCAAATTACATTCGAAGGTAAGCAGCTCATCTAATCCTCTGCTATTTGCCCAAATTATCTAATCTAAATGTGTGCTAGGTTCATCCCGAGTAGCTCTACCGCGGCCAATTACCGAGCTCCGTGAACCTACAGCCTGCCACACATTTCTGAAGCTTCAACAACCCATTGAAACTCCTGACTCGCCTATTCATGTCCCAGGAAGACCTGACAGTTATCCATTCTGTTTCGTTATTCCGGAGGAAGTGCCCCTCGGGTCTTGCATACAAGAAAAGAGCAATGGTTGGGCCGATCACCGGCATGCTAAGCTTCCGCCAACACTGCGGTTCGCCAACTTGTCTCAGGAATTATGTCGGATTGCGTACTCTATCCGTGCAACGGTTTCCTACCATAGAGCGAACTATGGCAAGAACGAGAGAACAACTACTTCTATTGAAGATATACGATTCGTCCCGGCGCATCAGTCGAACCACCTCCCACGAAGCCTGCAGACCTTTGTATCATTGCAACACAACCCAAAGCAGGACGTGAAGAGCAAAGCATCGCTTTCTCCGTGCAGATTATATGTGGAAGGGCCTTCCGCACAGCTGACGCAGGGGCACTGTCTTGGGATTTCTTCGAATGGCTCCTTCGACGCATATCTTACCATACCGCTTCGCTTCGAAGCAGCGGGAGAAGCGAAGCCTCCTCAACTACGAAACCTACATTGCACGCTCAAGGCTTCAACATTCTTAGCGACAAGGCCGAGTGCCAAACGGCTCAAGCGTCATGAGGCGCAATACCGACAAGCATATGTCGAAACTATCGCGATGCGATCAGAGGATATCTCATATACGCAATGGTTCAGGCATGAGCCAGCCCCTGAGGACTGTGTCACTGAGCATCGGAGCGGCAACAGGCTATACTACACAACATCCATACGCCTCCCTATACACATGCCTCGCAACGGATATCTCATACCATTCTCTACGTGTCTTCTCTCGCGAGCCTATCTTGTCGACATGCTTTTGTCGTATTCTACGCCCGATTCGAATGGACGTCGTCGATCATTGGAAGCCACGTTACCAGTTGAGATTGTGAAATCTTATGAGACGCATATTGAGAAGAGACCGCTATGGAGTACACTAGATGAACCATGTTTATCTGATTGGGATGTCGAGCCACCACCATATCATTGCCATGAATTATTTCGCTCGAGCGATGTTGTGTCCTTGAGGAAGGGACAACATACTGGTATTTATCACCATATGGTGACACCCTGACAGCAGGTGCAGACCAGTCATTAGTTTACCAACGAAATGATACTATCACGTCGACGAAAGAAACATGTCCTATCAACTGCGAAAAGCTGGAACTGATTAGTCCCGGGATATCCTGACCTGGACAACAGACGATCTGGAGAAGGGGCGTCTCCCTTCTGTCGAGCACTTAGAGATGCAATGGACCTTGACTAGACTAGTTGCGTTGGCCCGAGCAGCGGATGTCAGAGAAGAGGATCCCGACCGAGAGGACATGGCAGGCTTGAAAAATTCTAGTTATAGTGGAAGTAGAGGAAAAGAACTGGATAAGGATAACAAAACATTACGAAATTGAAGGACACGAGGGTAGAGTAGCGGAGAATCAGCTTTGTTTGACTAAAGGATTTCGCTCGTGGGCGAAAAGAGACCACACCCGGACAAAAAACAATTCAAGCGTCGAGAGACTACTCTAGAGTTGCAACTTCTGGTTTGGACGTTATATACCTACCGGTACTGATACCTCGATTGGAGAGACGACCTTAATCTTGCGTTACAACTTGGATACTTGGCGTTGAATGACTGCTGGATATTCTCGCTTCTATGACTGCCTATTTGGACAGAAGTAACATCTACTCATAAGTCATGATTGTTTACTCGCTAGAACCAAGCAATATTAAAACATGAGGAGTCACATTTGAGATTTAGTTCTTGAAGAAAATGATGATAATTATTACTTGCAGATTCATTCGCGGCTTTGAAATGAAATGCACCCAAAGATATCATATTGGACGTACTTCAACAAGTGTAGGTCCATTGATTGGATGGAAGGGTATTTGAGGCATAACGAAGTTCCCATCAAACCATCATAACAGAATGCCGAGGAAGGTTGAGATCCAAATTGCAGCATAAGAACTCCGACGTAGTGTGTAGCTCAGTAAGTCAGATAGTGTGTCAATTAAGTGGGTCTCCACGCGGGTAACAATACCCAGCCTATCCGTTCGAGCGACGTCGCAGAGAGACCGAAAAACAAAAAATGGACTCGCCGGGAATCGAACCCGGGACCTCTCCAATGCGAATGGAGCGTCATACCCCTAAACCACAAGCCCAACTTGATGATGAGATGCCTTAGACTATGCCATATGACTCACTCACGTTATCCTTATTTTCTTAGGTAATTAACTCCCCGCGCTTATTTTCATGGCCACCAGCTCGATGAAGCCCAGTGAACAATGCCCCGATGTCGTATTACTAACGAAATTACTAACGGAATTGCAACTTCTTAATCTGATGATTTTCTTCTAGTCAAGACTATTTAGATTACATAGATCTTTGAAATTTGCACATTGATGTAAATGTACTGCCCGTCGGAAGATTCCTGTCTTCCTAAGATGCCCACGGATCCTGCCTACTCAACATCGGGAAACCCCTAGAAACAACCACATGACTATCTAGGTAGTACGTGTATACGTCTATGCATGAGTCTGATCTTCTTATCGCTTGGTTCATTAGTGATTAATTTATTTTATGAAAATTCTACTAGCGTTGAGTGCTTGGCTCATTTTACTACTTAATATACTGTATATATATATCTCTATTAATTGGATAAGTAATCACTCGTGATTTGCAACTTCGCTCAACTTGATCTTCAACATTAAAGATAATGTTGATGATAAACTCAATGAGTGAATTTGGAATACAGTACTTCACCTTTGCACACTGAAAGCCGAAGTGATAGGAACCATGAATGTGACATTAACATATGAGGCGTCACTGTAGACAGACGGCGCTGAATTCATCTGGCCCATTGTCTTTGCAACCCCTATATAAAAGGGAGCTTCCGTCCCACTGTTTCGTCTTCCATATTCATCTGAAGCCATACCATCCAGCTTCCATAGATCAGGAAGATGGTTATACTCTGACTTCCTAGATCGAGCTTTGAGATACATTTCTGAAGCTTCATCATGGTGTATCGACTTCGAGTCTTTAATCAGTATGCGATCACACACTCCTATGTCTATATCACGCTAACAGACAAAATTCTGTAGAATGTTGGAAACTGCGACAAATATTACCAACTTTCCTGGCTGATACACCAAACCCCATGATCACGAAGAACATGTTACCCGAACTATCAGCTTCTAGCGATGAAGATAAGGAGAAAACATACCCAAGAGCCAAGACTTACTCTTCAGATGAGAGACCTTCCCACATGCCGACTTTGAACTCAGGGCAGTATTATATTTTATGATTGATGCCTCAGACTATATTATCATTGAGCGTTGGCTACAAAGTGTGCGAACAAAAGCTGATGAAAGTATGCGAGACACGCAGAGATGGTCATACTTTTCTTGGCTGATAGTCGATAGACGAAGGCCATGCGTCGCGGTGTATGGATTATTCTCCATTTCAACTGGCAAAACATACATCCACCAAGCGATCAAGTACAGGGCTCACTTTGGACAGGGTGAGAAGTGCACAGACCTTGGGGTTGTTTATGGGAACCGCCAGATGCTAGACATCGATTACGACGGATATTTCACGCCCGTGGCCAGCGAAATCGCACCCAAGATGATCAGGACGAACGTAGCGATAAAGAATCACCTCTGGGAGCAGTGAGGTATCATTTATACCTACCTGGGAGCTCAATTTTGAAGGCAGAAGCGCCTATATGAAGTAACCTACTGGGTATCATGAACGACCACCAGCGCTAATCTACCTACTAAAGATGGCCCTATACGGACTCCGTCAGGCGGCCCACTTCTGGCACCGCACATTTCGATGAAAAGCAGCAAGAGATCGGATTCATACCTTGGCTTGAAGAGGAGGCGTTTGTGCTCAGCATGCAAGGAACACAACTCAAGCTGACACCTACATATATCACTGCGATATGCCATCGTCATGTGAAGAGCCAGACAACGTCGGGATGTGAAACTCATTGGCTAAGCGTTCTCAACCAGATGACGTGATGACTCAACAGATCAGGGCATTGGATATACAACCCTGCATCCGAATCTAGAAATATTGCATGAACGGAAAAGCACAACGGACGGGGCTGTTGCAGAACGTCTTTACAAAACAAAAATGTATGCCGCTGTCGGCCTTCTGGACTGCCACTATACTACAGGTCCAACTCGATGATTGAATGCTTTTCATCTGGTATATTACTCACCCACTCATGTGTCAAAAATAGATGACATCAATCATAGCCAGAATTCCGTAAAAGGCTTTTTACACAGGAATCAAAGAGCATCATTATACCAAGGTCTCACTCAACTATGGCGATGGGGATGCAATAGAACTCGACACAGGCGGCCTTGAATGGCTGATGCGGGGCGCCCCCAAGATGCGAGCAATTTTGCCGATTATTGGAGACCAGGTGTTTCTGGAGCAGGAGAAATCACTCGTCTGGACTTATTTTCCCGATGAGGAGGTCTACGTTTCCGCCGTTCTGACAGAGGCCGGTATTGATCATGCTGTCATTAATGCCGGGTTGACCGCCAGAGAGAGATCAAACATTGTGAAGTCGTTTACTCAAGACCTCGACAAGTGCATGGTATTGGTGATGAGTTACTTGGTCAGTTCAGCCGGTCGGAACCTGCAGAATCTGTGCCATAATCTCCAATAGGAAAAGACGGCATACCGGCGTGATGGTTCCTGCAGAATGGCAACCACTCGAAATACAAACATAATGATGCGGGCATGAGTCTACTTGGGTACGCTTAGTACCACTGCAGTGATTACACTAATGATGAGGCTTCTATTGTTTTCATTTTCTTTGGATGAAGTTTGCTACTATCTGTCTTCTCGTATAGTCACTACCGCAAAACTTTCACAGCGTAGTCATGTATATTCTGACAGCCGGCATACTGGATATTGAAATTATATACATTGGTGCATTTATTCTCCCAAACAGTACACAACTATCTACACTGCAATCTCGGGGTGGTTTCCCGGTATGTCCACGATACATGTCCTTCGCAAAGATAACTACGCGTGAAATGAAGCTTAATACCGTCATAAAATAACCCACTTCACCAGACGAGTCACGCCAGAATGACAGGACATTGATACCATGTCAACCCATCTAACGTAAATGAATCCTCGTAGCCACTGGTAATGGGCAATTTGCGTCTCATATCCCTATCCCTTCGCCACTGTTCTCGCAGGAAATCGGCACTTTTTGAGAAGACGGCTGACTTCCACTCTTCGTGTATATTGTTTAGCTTTGCAACGATGATACGTTGTTGTGCAGAATTTCTTGCGGACAGGCCCGCAACAACTAGTGGCCAGCACAGTATGTTGTGCGAAGGCGAGTGCGGAGGCAAATGCTGTAAGTTGTTTATGAACTCATCCACCAGAGAGTGAACTGTGTCGTTGTCGTCAGATCCATGTGGTGGAAAAAGTGCCCTGATGTGGATGCGGCATGCCAAACTGTACAGGTTCGATGTAATGACATCATTGAGATGCTCCTGGTCCATAGTAGTATCATGAGTGAGATGGCTATGACAGGCCATTAATTCTTGGTCCAACAGCAAAAGTTCCTGTCGTACGGAAAACACGTCGGCAGATTTGCTTGACTGCAAGTTATGAGACAGACGGTATATACGATAAACGGCGATTAATAAAGACTGAGGTTTACATTGGATGATTGATGGGGAGGCGAAGATAGCATCCGCTTGTGCGATCAATAGTTTGGAACCCAAAGAGAAACGAGCTAAGGCAAAAGAGTAGTAAAACATCTCAAACAGATATCCTCTTAACTCAGTGTTCATGCTGTCGCAGTTAATGCGATTTTTTAGCAGAAAAGCCGCTGCATTGATTGAAATGCGGAAGTATTCGCTCGCGGCTGGTGAAATTTCGAGTCGAAATCTGTCAGTGTACTTGCTCGGAAATGACGAGCTGCATTACAATTCGCATACCTCATGTAGACATAGCAACAGGACGGACAGCGGAGTGTAGTCTATGTTCATATTGGAGAATTATGAAATGAATGCGTGGGGATGGTTTGTAGTCTGCGATATCGTAGCCCATGTCGACTTGTGGGGACATCTAGACTGCGTGAGAAGGTGTCAGGCATTTGTTCTTCATACTATAGCTGCGCTCAAGACAGAACTGATCCAACTCACTCGTACTAAGCCATACAATATCAGCACCCAAGCTCTTCAGATAAGGAACTTATCAATAATACCGGTCACGTCACCCCATCCATTGGTTTTGATTGTAGGTTTACCACAGTTGAAGCTTGCGGGAATCACTTGATACACCACCGCCTCTTTCCACCATTTTGGGGTTGAGTAATTAGATTTGGAACACATGGTACGCATAAAAGTTTGGTTGAAAGAGAAATTGGGAATCTTGCTCAGGGGAACGCTGGGTAAGTCTGAAGGAGACCAGAAAGTTTGGAAGAAATCCATGGTAGCGGGGTCAGGGAAACGTATTTATCTCGTCCGTCGGCCATATTATGTCACATCAGAAGGACCTTACCATACGAGTCAGAGTGCTGTCAATGGCAGGGCTTAGCGCCATCGGGCAAAGTTGGCGCATGATGCCTGGACAATCATTGCCGACTTTACCGCATACCAAAGAGAGTTGAATGCATTTGTACTTTGCACTTCTCCACAAAATATTTCCCAAAAAACTACTTGAATTTCCGCCACTGGGTGGGCATAGGTAGCTGATAGCGGTCGGGTTAGTCTCCTGTCAGGGAAATACGCCAGAACGTGTGGTTTATATGATCAAGCGAGAGGTGAATTCCTAAACACACTAATTCAGACTAGAATAACAATTATTACCTTCGGCATCGAGACTAAGGAAGGAAAACCTCAAGGCAACCTTCTTGTCAGTCCATCTGCATCAAGTAGCCTGACAAGACCGAGCATAACCCTCAATGCCTCCTTCCGTCGACGGCGATTGCAAAGATTGTAAAACTCCGAGTGATATAGATGGAGGCGCTTGTCTGGGCGCTCTCCATGCAAGAGAGCGTCTAAGTATTCGCGGGGTGGGTCTGCCATAGTAAGCTGAAGATTTGTGCTATCCATAAAGATAACAAAGGCTCTACGAGACAGGTTCCTTTGGTATGCCACCGCCTTTTGCAGTAACAATTGTGCTACTTGGCCTTTAAAATTGTAGTCACCATCCTTGGCAACCTATCAAGACGTGTCAGTGCATGTCGCACGCTTAGGACGGAGCGAGACTGACCGAAAACGCTACCAATGGAGAATGTGGCATAGAACAATTGAGTAGCACCCCTTCACACTCGACTTCACCTCGGATGCCCGTGACTTCAAAGCTCATGGTATGGATACGTGAAGATTGCCTTGATCATCTTAGTTTCACCAGGTGGAGGCGAGGGTAACCAGCTACTTACAGAGGTTCGTCCAGGTGCACGCGGCGCAAGATGATCTCCATGAAGCTAAATACGGCTTGTTTGGACGCGTCGAAGAAAACATCGGAGTTGAGCATCTCGCATAGAGGCCGAAAAACCGGCAGGAAAATGTTGCGCCTGTATCGGGCACGTGTTGCTGTTCGCCAAAGATTCTTTAACTCGTTCTCTGTCGGTTCGGCAAATTCCATGGCGAGCAATTCGAATTCTGCCATATGTGAGCATCTCCAAGACAACTATGAACGAAAATGTACAAGTCCAACCTTCATCTCCATCCTTGGGAAGATGATCATCTCCAAGTATTTCGTCGAGAGAGGCATTAAAATGCCGTACTAGTCTCAAATCCTCAAGTTGGTTCGATGTCCAATCGTTAGGAGAATGGAATAATAATGGGAAGGGAGGCATGTTGACAGTCGTGCCGTAAGTACGAGGAAGAATAAATCAATCGGTGCTGTGTTGTGAACTGTTGTGAACGATATGTTTTTTTTTGACGTGATATTCGAACGATTTTTTCTCGACGGGGAGGATCTGTCAGTCTGCTACAATGGAAGGTGCAAACTGGATAGGGTATCGTTATATGATGCACTTCCATATTTGGGGATGGTGAATACTTTGTTCACCACTAAAATTCCGGACCAAATGAAGGATGTGAATATCAGATTTATCTTATAGTTATAGTATATGAAAACAAGTGAAGAGGCTAGCTGTGAATGATATATTGCCTACAGGCAGCAATTTCACCTTCCTAGTCTGGTTAGTGCTGACTCCGATCGGGATGCCATCTTCGCACTCCACCAAGCCTGAACAGAACACGAATCCTCGACCACCATGAAAGTGACCAGGAAAAGCACCCCAAAGTCCCGCACGGGATGTATTACCTGCAAGTAAGTAGACAGAATCTGCATCAGACATGTATCTAATCCATCAGAACCCGTCGCGTCAAATGCGATGAAACCAAACCTCGTTGTATACGGTGCGTGCGATCAAATCGCACATGTGGGGGATACACATCGCTTGAATCCACCAATGTTGTGGATACAATTAAAGCATACAATATTCCGTTCAAAGTTCCAGGCAGTAGATTGGATCGCCAGCTCCTCCATTTCTACTGCGTCGAGGCCGCTTTGAGTCTTTCGAGCTTCTCCGACGCGGACTTCTGGAGTCGACTCGTGTTGCAAAGATGTCACCATCAACCTGTTATTCGCAACGCACTTGTCACACTGACTGCTATATACCGGGACTATAAGTTCAAATATGATGCCGGGCCAGAGTCCGACCGTTCAGCGCTGCAGCATCTGCAACTAATCGCCAGATCCCACAAACAGCTAAGGATGCATCTCTGCTCGCCGGACGCATCAATTGAAGTTGCTCTGATTTGCAGCGTGGTGTTTTACACCTTTGAGGCTCTTCTAGGCAATGCGGTACAGGCGATTCGACACCTCGATCAAGGGCTAATTCTGCTGAAACGGAGTCAGGCTACCGCGCCCGTGCAGAATGCCACAGATGCCATTCTTCCACGTTTAACAGTCTTGTTCGCCAGCCTGGACATTCAGGCAAGCACATACAATCCAAGCCGGCGGCCCATATTGTCTCTGATCTCGCCATTAGAACAGTCCGGGCTTGCCCCGCTCATCCTAGACAGTTCCACCCTGGCGGATGCACAAATGGCACTCACCAAGTTGCAAAATTGGATGTTGCACCATCTTGCGTCTTCCTACCCATATAAGAAGAAAGGCCTGCAGCTTCTACCAGCCGACATCCTTGTAGAGCGACATCACTTATATGACCAATTGACGAGATATATAAAGACTGTGAGCGCGTATTCGACCCACCTTTCTGGCCCGAGCACGGCAAATTGTCTGCTCCTTCGACTGCAAGCTCAGATGTTCCGCACCATCGTGGCCGAGGATGTTCCGTCCCTGCAGTTCACAAACAGTGACTCACTGCGGAAATGCTTACAAGCTATATCGGCCATTTTGGAAAGTATGTCGGGTTATTCCTCCACACAGGGCACCACTGCGCAGAGATCATTCACATTGAGTACCCAGCTTGTCGCAGCGCTTTACTACATCTGTATGAAAAGCAATCATCCCAGTATAGTAGACATGGCACTCTCACTACTGCGACACGAGATGCTTCCACACCGCGATGGGATCTGGGACGCACGGACGGTGGAAGCGGTGGTGCATGGCATCCGAATTTCCAGCAAGCTGCCTGAATGGCGAATGGGTGGACAGGAAGCTGCAGAATATCGACTAGAGTATGCCAATGAGGACCTTATCAACGCAGTTGGAGAAGGGGGCTTGTATGAGATACGGGAAATGCTGCGACGTCATGAGCAGTATATCATGTGTGGCGACTCTCCTAGCTTAGTATCTGGTCGTATCTAACCCCCACGAGAGCTGTAGGCAAAGCTGAGCTGCCCCGCTCTGGCTCCTCAGCTTCTGGGAGCAGTCCAACCCGATTCGTTTCCGATAGACAACTTCCACGGCGCGATAGCGGGATGATGTCAACACATCAAGGCAATCCGGCTAATTTGCGTGCAGGGATCGGGTATTGACTGGCCAGTTACACTCGCAGCCGGCGCGTCGCCTCACTTTTGAGTTACGCCATGGACAGATGACCGCCAGTCATGGCTAACCTCTAAACCTAGACCGGCACGGCTTTGCGGTGATGGCATGTTATCCTCCCCGGCCCAGGATTGAATGCAGCCCTCGGCATGTGCCATCCCCATCAAACGTGGGGGTCACTTGGCGGGGATCAATTGCGGGGGATGGCCGCTACCCCGTGTTTTAGTGTCGCCCCGTTAGTCTCGAGCTTGAAGCTTAAAACACATGCGGGTTGGCCGAGCGGAAAACGTGGGGGTGTTGGCTGACAACGGGTTATTATATTGGGGAGCTGCCTTGCTCAACCTGTTTTGAACACTTTCTAGCCAACAATCGAACATCTTCCTGAAATGGAGCCTGACAAGCCAGCCGTGATCCACGATGAAGGTGTGGACGTGGCCAAACCAACTACTATCGATGGGCTTCCGCATACTCCAGTCCTGGTGACAGAGGAGGATAGCAAGCGGATCGCTCGCAAAACAGATCGAACGATCCTAGTGATATTGATCTGGGTGTACTTCCTGCAGATTCTTGACAAGTCAGTGTTAGGCTTTGGTGCGACATATGGCCTGGAAGAGGACACTCATCTCACCGGGAACCAGTACTCGCTGGTCGGTTCAATCGCCCCGATCGCGCAGCTCGCATGGCAGCCCTTCTCCTCCTGGCTGATCGTGACCGTTCCGCCTCGCATCCTGATGCCTACATTAGTGCTTGGATGGGGCATTGCGCAGACCTGCATGGCAGCATGCAGCAACTTTGGCGGGCTAATGGCCACCCGCTTCTTCCTCGGCCTGTTCGAGGCTGGCTGCCTCCCACTATTTAGTCTCCTCACCAGCCAGTGGTATCGTCGTGCTGAGCAACCAATCCGCGTAGCGGCATGGTATGGCACGAACGGCGTGGCGACCATCATCGCAGCGGTGCTATCATTCGGCCTCGGACACATCAAGTCGGGAGTAATGAAAGAGTGGCAAATGTAAGGCCCCCTTCCACCCACTAGATAACTATCCGCAAATTAACATCACTAGCATTTTCCTCGTCGTCGGCCTCATCACCGTCATTTCTAGCCCATTCGTCTACTGGCGCCTTGACAACGACATCCCGTCGGCGCGCTTCCTTACCGAAGAAGAGAAGCTCCAAGCGATGGAACGTCTACGAGCAAACCAGACGGGCGCGGGATCACGCGAATTCAAACTCGGCCACGTCTACGAAGCTGTCCTCGAGCCCAAAACCTACCTCTGGATCAGCATGGCCCTTCTCCTGAACATCGGTGCCTCCGTGTCGAACGTCTTCGGGCCGTTAATCCTCCAAGGTCTCGGCTACGACACATACACCACCACGCTGCTGAACATGCCCTTCGGCGCCGTGCAAGTCATCGTCATCCTACTGGCTAGCTACCTCGCCCAAAAGGCGCGTCTAAAGGGCATCATCCTGGCGGCGCTAATGCTCCCCGTCGTGGCGGGCCTAGCCATCCTATATGCCGTGCCACGGAACAGCTCCAACAACGGTGCCCTCATGGCAGGATACTACCTCATTGCCTTCATATTCGGCGGGAACCCGCTGATCGTCAGCTGGATCGTCGCAAACACTGCTGGCACGACGAAGAAATCCGCTAACATGTCATTATACAATGCTGCCGTATCGGCCGGGAACATCATCGGTCCTCTTCTCTTCAACGAGAAAGACGCACCAGCATACAAGCCCGGGTTACGGGCATGCGTGGGGATATTCGTCGCCTTGATCGCAGTATTGCTCCTCCAGTGGGTCGATCTATGGGTACTGAACAAGATGCAAGAGAAGCGGCGCGTACGGAACGGCAAGCCAGCCAAGGTAGTGGATGTATCGATGCAAAGCGATCGGATGATGGCGATCGAGCAGACGCTGGAAGCAAACGGCGAGGAGGGACACGTAGGGGCAAATGGACTATTGGACTTGACGGATGGGAAGAATGAGGATTTTGTTTACGTCTACTAAACGATGTTCACGAGTCATGACCATTCATTTGATCCAAATTCTAAATTACAAACATACATACATTACCATCCATCCCACACACCAGATCAATAATCTTAACACCCCCTACACTCCTTAACCCACAACCCAATCTCCTTATACTCATCACTAAGATTATCCTCCTCCCCACCAAGCCAATAAATCCTCCTAATCTGCCCCTCACTCGGCTCCACACCCCACGCTTCCACCCCATCAAGAAGCAGATAATTCCCCTCGTCCACATCGAACCCAGTCACGCTTGCCCCGGCGGGAGCAGCGCCATTCGGTTCCGTCAGGGCGATTGGTGCTGTTTCGTCCTCGTTGACGTAGAGGTGTTGGATGCCTGTAGTGGTGTCGTATTGCTTGTGGCCGGTGATCAAGGTGTTGTTGGAGCCGCCTTTTACTATATTGTAGATAGGGGTAGGGTTAGTGTGTGCTTGGGGGAAGGGGATGGGGGATGGGAGAGGTGTACGGATGAGAATGGGGTATTGTTTAATGTCGCCGGTTCCGATGTATAAATGTGCTGTTCATTGATTTAGTATACAGTTTGTAGGGTTTAGGGTGTAGTTTTGTTGGTGATTGTAGTGGTGGGATGCATACTTCCATCAGTAACGACAGTCCAGCCTCCATCTGCGACGAGTGTGTATGTGGATGGTAAGGAGGCGGAGACGGTTGCGATGAGAGAGGTGAGAGTGGTGGCGAGGGACAAGAGTTTCATTTTGAGGGAAATTATTGGGAGTAGGATATATAGGACAATGTGTAGGATGATGGTCGGGTACGTAGGAATATGTTGAAGATTGAGGGGAAGGGAGGGAGCAAGATATTTAAGTGCAGGTGCATCTAGAGGGGGGAGCTATTTTAAGATCATTTGGGGCCCCGCTGATCATCAGTGGCGAGTTGATTTGATTTGATTTGGTTCTGGGATGTATGGATGGATGTGGTTGATGCAGGAGGGACTGCATTGATTCACTTGCAGATGATTTGAGTTGATTGCAATGTATGTGTAGTGAGGGTAATAAGTAATGGCATTGGCTGTATCCATTTACCAAATAATTGTTAGGTTTGGAGAGAAAGGAGGGTATATTTTAAACTACATAGTAGTAGGACAAACAGCATAGTTCAGGGAAAAGATTATCGATGGACTCAATCTTGGGAACAATCGATCCCTGGTCCGGGCTGATCGGGTTGGCCGGGTAGCAAACTAAGCCAACATCTAAGCGAACAACTGGATCTTCCGGGGAACCGAACTTTAGTTCCGATGCATGTCTCACCAGCCAGCAGCCAATGGTGCAAGGGTGCTGCTATACGATACAGCCTTACTTGGTTTAGAACTTTGAGTTGCATGATGATGGAATGTGGCATTCAATGTCTTGGATCAGATTCACATCCATGTTCTTGTTCTTGTTGACCTATCGCTGTGTTCAATATTTAGTGGTTTGGCCATTTCAAGTTTGAATAAGCTGCAGCCAGTTACACTGGTGGGCTGTTCCATGCATCTTACTTGGAAAGAATGTACCAGAATATGCATGGTCATTGAGTCGCAAACACATTGTAAGTCTATTGTAGACCGGTTGGTTAGGTAAAGTGTCTACGGGATTGCACCGCATCACAGTGCTCTGAGGTGATCCTATGTGAAAAGTGCATGTAGTTCAGGACTCAAATGAATCATCGTCAACTTCCGTATTGTATAGTGAAGCTGGGCATTACCACGACTTGGAATTCCGTGAGACTTCACTTGGTGCCCATCAAGTGAAGCGACCCGAGCCTCTAGCAGGAGCAGTATCACCACAACATGACTCCTATCACGCATCTTGCTGATACTATCACCAAAGCGATCCTGACACCTGGCGCATGAGAGCTTGCTTCCCATTTCCTACGAAAGCAGTTTCATTGCCTTGACACCATGATCTCCATCGAAAATGGCTCCTCCACCAAGGAGAGCAGACTTCCCTTCGAAATCGAAGAATGGGTGGAGATGGCCATTGGCATGTTTGTCATCCTGCTCCGACTCTACGCTCGAACCAGAGCAGTAGGTTTCAGGAAATGGCAAGGAGATGATTACCTTATCATCGTGGCTCTCGTTCTTTGGGCAGTAAGTATACAGTTCGCTAGTGAGGGCGAGGGTGTAGATGTTGACATACCGTGTTATCTAGACAGAGGTCTTCATGTTCAAATTCGTGTGTAAGCTCGTCTCTCCCCGAAGATTGACCACCGACTGACAGGTTGTTGCTTTATAGTCCGTTTCGGCGCTAATGCCGGACTCAGCGACGAGCAGAGAGCATCCATGGAAGAGTGGGAGATACGTGAGCGACAGTTTGGATCAAAATGCCTTCTTGTCAGCTGGTTTGCCTACATTACCCTTATTTGGGTGTTAAAGGCTTGCATGCTGTTTTTCTATAAGCGTCTGACGTACGTTGACCTGTTCATATACATCAAGTTATTGCATCGCACTGAATCTGGGTAGGATTGGCCTTGTTCAGCAAAGGTTCGTCAAGGTCGCGGCAGGCTTGTGTTTATGCACCTACGTCGCTGCCACCCTGACTATCTATCTACACTGTAACCCCGTCAGCCAGTTATGGCAGATTTACCCAAATCCTGGCAGTAAGTTAATAGCGCGGGTGGTCTTGAGGTCGACTAACGGGTCTTGAGAGGCGTGTACGCAAGGCTCGGCGAACTACATTGCCGTTCTTGTAACTAACATCATGTGAGTCGCAACACAGGGTGCAACTCAACCGCTGCTAACGAAGGATGGTGTCGTCATCTAGGACGGACGTCGTGCTGCTCTCGATCCCTCTGCCGTTACTGATCCAAGTGCAACTCCCTTGGCGCCGGTATGTCCACCTCAGACACAGTTGTGAGAGCCCAAGTCACTCACATTATTAGGAAATTGGTGATCGGGCTGCTGCTTTTTGGGGGCGTGTTTGTGATGATTGCCGCGCTGTTCCGCTGCGTCCTTTCGCTATGGCACATTGAATCCGTCAATACCAGCAACCTTTGGGCAACGCGCGAGAGCGTATGTTCCCTCCACAGGTTTCTCCCACAATTGTTCTGACCACCGTATAGGTTATTGCCATCATCAGTCAACATTCCAAGCATCTGGCCGCTGCTCCGGAGGCCATCCTCGTCGCGAGAAGTATCGACTGGGGCCAGTGGAACCGGGCGGTACAAGTTGGGACCGTTAGCGGGGACTGGTACAGCGAACCGGAGACCAGCCGGACCCGAGTCTATCTTGGAGGACAGCCAATCTCAGTTTGTCAGTGATGTTCGGGGAGGGTCAGACCGAGTGGGCGAGGAGGCCGGGCGAGGCATCGATGGGATTAAAGTGACGACTGTGTATGAGGTGAAACATGATCAGTATGGAGTCAAGGATCGAGGATGAAGGGAGAATTGAGTAATATTCGAGTCAGTTATCACTGGGCACGTGATGCTCATCCCAGACGGGAAGGCGGTTGCCGTGCCCGAAACAGTCTAGTGCCGGAAGTTGATTTTTTTCTTCAGTTTCTCCGCTTTCTTTTTCCGTCTTCACTTTTGCCTCTCATCTTCTTTCCTTCCTTGAGTACTCAAACTGCTACTGTCTGGATATTCTCCAGGAAGTGGAATATGTTTATTGTAATATGTTGTATGTCTAATGTTTAATGATGAACATCCATTAAAGTGTACTATACTGTACCTGTCCGTCGCTAACCGGGCTAATCCACTCCAGTGTAACCCCGCCGGCTAGAAGGCCGCTAGAATCCACTTACTGGCCGCTTGCAACCCGTGACACCCCCGTGATTGGCCCGTGATTAGGTAACGCCATGGCAAAACAGTGGAGAGTTTTCGTCCGCGGCGACTGACGTTATGGAACGAACTCCCCCGATCTGGGAAAAACTCGGTCCAGACAACCAGACGAGAAAATCTTGCCGCCCCCCCAAGATGGCCACATGGAAAAAGGTTTGTCATGTCTGTCTCTGTTTCTGTTTTTCCTCCTCCCCAAAACTCAATCCGGTCATCATTGACGTTGACTGACACATCGACTCCCTCCCCAGCTGTCGTGCGCTGAGGCTGTCTTCTCCGCTGCCTCGCGCTCTCTTCCTGCCTTCCTGATCTCCTCTCACACCTTTCCCCACCTCACCTGAACACCTGTCGGTCATGGAGGACAACAAGGTCGCTTCCCAAGGGAAGCTGCATATCGACAGTGCCGTCACCGAGGAGAATGGCTCCCAATCCCCTTCCGATCGCTCCCTCACCCCCTCCGGCCTGCGCGAGCGCCGGCGCAATGGCCTCACCAAGGATGTCGAAAGCGACAATGAGGAGGAAGAAACTAAGCTGAAGCGCAACCTGAAGAACCGTCACCTGCAGATGATCGCCATTGGTGAGTTGGAAACACTTGGATCCGACAATTGGATTCAACAATTGGCATTGCCGTGCACTCGTCACTAACCCTTTGAAGGTGGTACTATTGGTACAGGTCTCTTCATCAGCAGTGGAACGGCCCTTGCGGAAGCTGGCCCGGCGGGTTCCCTCATCGCATACGCCTTTGTCGGTTCTATCGTCTACTCGGTCATGTGTTCGTTGGGAGAGATGGCTACATATATTCCCATTCCCGGTGCCTTCACCTCCTACGCCGCACGTCTCGTCGATCCCAGCTTGGGTTTCGCCATGGGTTGGGTCTACTGGTTCAACTGGGCCTCCACCTACGCTGTCGAATTGACCGCGTCCGGTATGATCATCCAGTACTGGAACGATCAGCTGTCTATTGCTATCTTCATCGGTGTCTTCTGGGTCGTCATCTCTGCCGTCAACTTCCTTCCCGTCGGCTTCTACGGCGAGTTGGAGTTCTGGTTCTCTATCACCAAGGTCTTGACAGTTCTGGGATTCATGATCTTCGCCATCTGCATTGATGCTGGTGTCGGCAAGCAGGGCTATATTGGATTTAAGTACTGGCACGACCCCGGTGCTTTCGCTCCCTACCTGGTCACCTCCAATGAGTCCGTTGGCAAGTTTGTCGGCTTCTGGGCTGTGCTCATTCAAGCTGGTTTCTCCTACCAGGGCACCGAGCTGGTCGGTGTTGCCGCCGGTGAAACTGAGAATCCTCAGAAGACTGTCCCCTCGGCCATCCGCAAGACTTTCATCCGTATCCTGGTCTTCTTTGTCCTGACCATCTTCTTCATCGGCTTGCTCGTGCCCTACACCAACCCCGACCTGGCCAGCGGAGCTGAAAACGCCTCCGCCTCCCCTATGGTTATTGCCGCCAACTTGGCCGGTGTCAAGGTCCTTCCCAGCTTGATCAACGCTGTTCTTCTCACTGTCGTCTTGTCTGCCGCCAACTCCAACGTCTACAGTGGCAGTCGTGTTCTGCTTGGTCTGGCCCAGGAGGGTTTCGCGCCCTCCATCTTCGGATGGGTCACTCGCCGTGGTGTCCCCTACGTTAGTGTGGCTTTCACCGCTCTCTTCGGCCTCCTGGGCTTCATGAATGTCTCGGAGTCGGGTACGACTGTCTTCAACTGGCTGGTCAACATCTCCAGTGTGGCCGGATTCATCTGTTGGACGTCCATCAACGCCAGTCACATTGCCTTCATGAAGGCAATGAAGGCGCGCGGTCTCTCCCGCGATACCCTTCCCTACAAGGCTATCTGGCAGCCCTGGTTGGCCTGGTACGGACTGTTCTTCAACATCTTGATCATCTTCACTCAGGGTTTCACCGCTTGGATCCCGACCTTCAACGTGTCGGACTTCTGGGTAGCCTACATTTGCCCCGTTTTGTTTGTCATCCTCTACATTGGCCACAAGGCGTGGTACCGTACCAAGTTTGTGCGGCCCATCGAGGCGGATCTGGACACCGGACGTCCGCCCTACACCACTTGGGAATCGAGCAACCCCAAGGAGGGATGGGTACGGAGAATCTGGGATAGCATCATGGGATAGATGTGGATATAGTGATGATGAATATATATTAGAAGAATTGGAGAGTGGTTTTGTCGCATATAGCGGAGTTTGGCGTGCATTCGTGTAATATAGGTATAGTTATATATTTCTCTGGTAGCTGATAGCCAGCTACCAAATCATGTTTAGATGCATTTCACGTTCAGTGTAGTTAGCAATTCTTGCAATCTCTCTCCGCAGGGAATACCAGCCATTTCAGTATATGTAATGGTAGTTACTACTTTTTGCCACTATATAGTAGATATAGTGGCACTCATCGCGAAGAAACCCTGATCCCAACCTCGCTATCTACCACGCCCCCGGGGCAACATCTGCAAAAACTAGTCAAAGACAACACTGAGCAGTGAAGATGGAGTCAGACCTTAGCATCTAGGTTGATCAAAATCAATGATTGATCAGCCTAATCAAGTGTAAGTTACCATTGAAGTCTCTTCGCGTTGTTGGACATATTCGGTGGTTATGGTGGTACTCACCGCTTTTACCAACTCCTGCTACCTACACCATACTAAACACAAGACTACAGAAATCATCATAATCAACAAGTCATTTGATTGAAAGCACCTTCATGATACAAATATACTCTAACTGTGCGTTTCCCAGCCTCCCAAAGCATAGTATCCCCATAAATGGTCGTAATCATGAGTCTTAGTCTTTCCGTGTCAATAAATAGTACTGAGATATATATCCCCATCTCTTTGTCAGTGCCATCTGGCACTGACTGTAGTAACCAGTGTGCAGAATCCAAAAAAGACACTCGCAATGACTGTCATGCCTCTGCACAGAGTTACTGAAAGTCTTGATCCACCCCGTTCTCCGCATACACTTGCAGACTGTACTTGGCAAACGCACTCCGCATCCGCATCTGCTCTCCGTAGCGACTGAGTAGTGGCGGCACAATACAGAATATCGTTGCTAGCACAGCCAGAATCGACACGGCCACGTTGGCACCCAGTGCGTCGAACATCTTACTCCCAAACAGTGGGAACGCAGCCGAAAGCAAGGATCGGATAATGGAGAGAGCAGCGAAGCCGCTAGCAGCGTAGCTCAGGTAGCTGTCCGCCATATATGCCGTCACCACGATCTCCAGCTCATTGAGTGCGTATCCGATAAAGAAGAGCGCCACCACAGAAACAAACCAGTTGACATTGGTCACTTGGGGAGGGATCGTCCAGGCAAACCACCAGAGCGCGATTGCGAGTACGGGTGCTCCGATATAGATCCCCGTCAGCTTGTGTTCTGGCTTGAGGACTCCGCACTTCTTCTGGCGTCTTCGGATTATGTGATAGTCCATGATGCGGGTCAAAGCGTTCGGGATAACACCGAGTCCGAGGGCGAGGAACGGGAGGGATGCTTGTTCCGTGCTGAAGCCGAATTGCTCGTAGACCGGGGGTAGGGCTTCCGTGAAGAGATAGACCAAGGCCACGCAAACTCCGAATATCATTGTCACGATAAAGACGATAGGCTCGGTTAGGAAGAGACGGAGAGGCCGCAACAGGCCGAGATGGAGGAAGGTGCGCAGGTCCGGCATGTAATCCGGGTTTTGCGCCTTGAACGTATCGTTTCCAGTGAGCTTACGCAGAGTTTGCACTTCCCGCATAAGGATGAGGGATGGCCGAGATTCTTTGATGCATAAAAGAAGCGCGGCGAGGAAGGCGGAGACAATAGCGCCAACGTAAAACACCCATCTCCTGCGCCAGTATTAGCAATCGCAAGGCAAAAGGCTTAGAAGTCTCCCACCATCCAAAGCGAACAGAAATATACGAGCTTATAATAGGCCCGGCGCTGACACCCATACATGCCATCGAGACGTAGACTAACATGACAAAGATCCTATCATGCGTATTGAACATGTCTTCGATACTTCCGGTAATCACAACAGTAGGGATGGCTGACAAAAAGCCGGTGATGAAACGGCCGACGACTAGGGAGGGAATTGACGGGACCGCCGCAATGATGAGGCAGAATACGCTGTATAAAGACGCGCTAAAAATATAGAGCTTCTTTCGACCGAAGGATTCCGAGTAAGGGGGAAATACAATTCCCCCCAGACCTTGTCCTAGAAGATAACTATAGCAATTAGTGTCTATTGTCCGACGATAGTAGAGTGTTGGTAGCGCACGTTGAAACGTATAGAAACAATGTCAATGTCTTTGACGTCCCGAACTCGGCCTGTGCGGCCGTGGCTGTTGTGGCCTGTCAAATGTGAGACATTGTGCATATGTGCGGAAAGCACTACTCACTCCTGAGGTACTGAGACATGTCCTGGACAGTTGATGTCAGCAACATATCGCAGAAGTCCCAAGATAACCTCACGTAAAAAATTCCAAAAGCGAGATCACAACAATATCGTAGGATTTGCGCACTGGGTGCCAATTCCGCGGGTGTTTGGGATTTGTTCGAGCCCAGCGCAAGTGACACCCGTCTGGGGTCAGTTCTAGTCCATGCTCGGCAGCAAGGACGTTGAGATCAGAAAGCTCTTCAATGCCGAATTCGCCCATTGTGAGAATATCAACCGCTCACGATGGATGTCTCAGTCCATCGGTTGGTTTTAAAGACCAGGTGGTTGTGGATCAATCAAGGGATGCATACCTCGAGTTGTGGTTGTGGAGATGATCAGTAGAACACGCGGATCACCTCCCCACTCGTTTGCCCCTTAGTTGGACTAGAAAAGCTGGGTCGGGTCAGTGCGATGGATGGGAAAGGATACTCAACCACGACCAAGCAACGGGGCGTGCCTGCTAATGTGCCTAGCCGTTGTTAAGAGCCAGGAAATGACCCGAGCACGTAGTACACACTGGGGTTGTATGCTGCGGGAGTATCTTTGCGTGACGTGTCACGGAGCATCTTTATCACAGAATGGACACGGATCATCCACAGGCTTATCATCTACAGGCCGTGTCAAGAGGCTCGGTTCGTTGGGAGGTTATCTTCATATGGGTATGTTGACGGGTAGTCGGCATACAAACTTCGCCGAAGGGGGCTCTGGACCTGTTTCTGCTCATAAGGCTAGCGACTCTTGGTATATGGTGGCATGATATCACTTCCCACATTCTGGAATGTAGCACCTTAACGAGCACGCAATTGGCTATAGGATAACGAGCCCACAAAAATACGCGCAACTTGCAGCGTCAGACTCGTGAGGGGGTTGTGTATTCCACGCAACAGCTGTCGATCCGCGCATAGCTGAAGATTTTCTTGATATTCGTTCCCCGCAGTTCCCATCATGGTAGGGGAACCCATGGTGTTGGCATTGGACCGGTAGCTGTTGGGTCACCGTCATTATCGCCGACCGTTGAGAACGAGCACTCCATTCTGGTTCCCTTGTCGTAAGCAAAACATGCTATTTGACTGCTTAGTGTATCCTTAAAGGGAGTGTTCCCCGGTTAGGAACAGCCAACAGCCATTGACGCCCTAACGTCGTTAGTGTTGACGATCACGTCCGGGGAATCTGGCTGTACCGTTATGCGTGAGGACTTACATATGGTTGCAAAGAGCACGAACAATGGGTGTGAGAAAGCCAGAGCTGATGCGGCGCAGTAGCGACCATGCAAAATACACTGCTTAGAGCATGCTACAGGCAAGGAGAGCGTCTCACGTGGACGCCAGGTCCTGAGGCCATGAGCACCTGGCCTACTGCTATTCGGAACAACATTTCCACCAGACCCGAGCAAACCGGAGCCATAGAGGGAGGTCAGGTTGGTAGCAGAGGGGCATGCCTGTGGCTGAGCCAAGCTATTATTAGCTGCTCAACTACATGGCGTTATCGTTCAGCGCCAAATCGTTGGCGTGGAATGAATGCCTGGAGGAGAGCAGTGCGGCGGCTAGCGACATCGGCCATACCAGAGCGACCAACCAACCTTGGGCGTGTATGCATGGAAACTGAAGCTAAGCTGCAAGGCTGCGGTCAACATTGGCATCATTGGACGCGATCAAATTTATCTGTTGCATGGGCGTTCATGGAGTGTGCCTTGGCTGCGGCAAATGCTCGCAGCGCATGATATATAACAGTGAATGGACATCATGATTCCGTCATCTTTGGCACTTCCGTCTCTCACCCACAGCGCCAACTCCCCTACCTCTAGAAGACTGCACTTGCACATCCACCATTGCTTCCAGAATATTCGGACTCCACCAACAGTGACCAAAAGCCCACCTTAACCGTTTACTTCTGCACCGAAGATGACCATCATAAAGTCGATCGTGGAATGCATTTGGGGACCATTGGCCAACGTCCATCAAGTCGATGCGCACACTTCCGCTGTTGCATCCGACATTGTCAACACCCTCCTGACTGGTGAAACTCACGAGACCATTCAGAAAAAAATCAGAGAACAAGTCGATACCAACGGATGGAGCGAGTCCATCGCCCAAGCTATCCTCCATGGCCTCAACGACGCTATCAAAGCCGGAGCGGAAATGGCCGGCCCTGCCGCCGACGCTCTGATGAAGGCCAAGGAAGCCGCAGTTGAATTTGCCAAGGACCACCCAGTATTTGCAACCCTTCTTGCCTTGGGGGTGCTGGCAATCTTAGCACCGTGGGTGCTCAAAATCTTGGGATTCGGAGAATTGGGACCAATTGCCGGGTCTTTTGCGGCGAGATGGCAAACGACATATTCTGGCTATGTGCCTCGTGGTGCGCTTTTTACATATTTCCAGCGCCTGGGAATGAAGTGGCATTGGGTGAGTTAAGTGTCTCTTCGCCAAGCGCCGTTGTGCTGATGAACGGACACTCAGGTGGCCCAGATGATTAGTGTTATGCCATTATTGGGACTAGGGTTGGTAAGAGGCAAGTCAAAGCTGTAGTTAGTGTGAATGAATGCCAAATGCGTTGCAGTCCCGGAGGCATTCCCAATATCGCACCACGTATTGAGACTTGCTCTGGTTATCGCAGCAGACGGCTACATGTAAAAGAAGGCAGCTGCCAGTGCTTCAACAGACCCCACCAGCGGGCGGAATTATTTTCCACACGACCCAGCATAAGGAGGAAGTAGTGCTCACTGAAGACTTATGCTCAAGAAGATTAACATTAAAGAAACTGTCGAGGATTCCGACCGAGCCGGATGTCCAACCAGATGGCGCTGTCCCACGTCAAAGGACGCGACAATGACAACAAAGCTTATCTGAAATCAGCAATGGTTCGCCAAGGTACACCCGGCCCCATTGGGTGCTTGTGCTCGTGACGGTGCTGTATCGTCTTTCGGGATTTGCTTAGTGCAGATGTTATGCAGACGACCGGGAGCACAACTGGAACAGGCATAGGGATCTGCAAGCCGAGGGTGGGAAGGGCTCGGTTATCAGGCTCAATCTTCACCTGGTATTGATTCCCTCTCAATCAGCCCATCGAACAACCACAATGATCGCAAGAAGTTCCAAAAGTAATCTGAAGCTGTAATGTGACCGATTCTGACCAGATAACAATACGAGAGCCGCACGCAGCCTCGGTCCGGTCAGTGATCGGGTTGCCGAACTCACAGCCGAAGCCTCCACCGAGTGGAGCCATGCCGTACCAGTGGATCCTGGACAAGCATTGGGATTTGCCCATGGCTCAGGTCAAATCAATCTTCACCCGGCCAGTCCCTTGGATGCCTGCAGCAAATGAATCAGGGTAGCCCTGCATAGTGTGATCGTGTCATAGCGCCGTCGGGTACCAGGCCTAAGAAAATTCCTCATAACACGCCATTACAGCCCCATCAAGCCAATCATTCTTATAACCACGCTACTCCACCTGCTTTGATCTGTCTCAGTTCATCATGCTCCAACCCCAGCCAGCTCTTCCACGAGGATCCCATCCAAATCATGGCTAAGATCCCTCACTGGCGTCTGATTGTCGACCAGAGTGTCGTCACTCAGGAGATCATCGACTATCCCTATGTCGGCTCAGGGACCGAATCCGACCCATTCGTCGTAGAATGGATCCCCAATGACCCACGTAACCCCATGCTCTTCAACAAGAACTTGAAATGGGTCTACACCGTCATTGCTGCTTTCGCGACCTTTGGCGTTTCTATGGCCTCGTCCGCCTATGCGGGCAGTATTGACCAAGTGATCGAGCACTTCAACATCGGTACTGAGGTAGCCACTCTGGGTGTGTCACTGTTCGTGCTTGGGTTTGCTATTGGCCCTCTCGTCTGGGCACCGCTGAGTGAACTCATCGGCCGCCAACTTGTGTTCTTTGTCTCGTATATGGGCCTGGCCGTATTCAGTGCTGGTGCAACAGGCTCGAAAAACCCATGGACAATCATCATCCTGCGATTCTTCGCTGGCTCATTCGGATCCAGTCCTCTAACCAACGCCGGTGGACTAATTGCAGACGTCTTTCCCGCTGAACAGCGAGGATTGGCAATGAGTGTCTTTGCGGGTAGTCCCTTCCTCGGACCGACCCTTGGGCCCGTCATCGGCGGTTTTTTGGGCCAAAGCGCAGGTTGGAGGTGGGTTGAAGGCTTCCTGGCCGCATTCACTGGCTTTATCTGGGTCGTTCAGTTCCTGATTGTTCCCGAAACCTACGCCCCAGTCCTCCTCCGCAAGCGCGCCGACCGTCTCAGCAAGCTCACCGGCAAGACGTACATCAGCAAACTTGACGTCGAGCGTGGCCGTGTCTCCGTGACCAGCGCCTTCGGAGCGGCTCTCTTGCGCCCATGGATCCTCCTCTTCGCCGAGCCCATTGTCCTCCTTCTCTCGCTATACATGGCCATCATCTACGGCACGCTGTACATGCTCTTCGACGCCTTCCCGATCGTATACCAACAACTGCGCGGCTGGAACGAAGGAGTGGGCAGTCTGCCCTTCTTGGGAGTCATGGTCGGAATGATGTCAGCTGTAGGATACAACATGTGGGACAACAAGCGGTATAAGCGTGTGCACGAGAAACACCGTGGATTCGCACCTCCCGAGGCACGTCTTCCACCCTCCATGATCGGCAGTATCACCATCCCGATTGGGTTGTTTTGGTTCGCCTGGACAAACGGTCTCAATGTTCACTGGATCGTCAGTATCATTGCGTCTGCTCCGTTCGGATTCGGCATGGTCCTCGTCTTCCTAAATATCATGTCATACCTGATTGACGCGTACACGATCTATGCTGCCTCGGTTTTGGCCGCCAATTCCATTATTCGAAGCTGCTTCGGCGCGGGATTCCCTCTCTTTACGACATACATGTACCAGAACCTCGGTATCCATTGGGCATCGTCCATTCCGGCTTTTCTGTCGGTCGCTTGCTTGCCCTTCCCGTTCATCTTCTACAAGTATGGTGCCGCTATTCGACGCAAATGCAAATATGCTGGAGAAGCGGATGCATTCATGAGGAAACTCGCTGAAAAGTCGCTGAACCCTGAGAAGGGCCAGGAGGTTGTTGAGGAAGAGGCCGAGGCGGTTGCTGATGGAGTAGATGAGACTAGGGTCGATCGGGAGTTGGACCTTGAGCGGGCCGAGTCGGTGGCTACGGCATCGGTGTCGAGTGATGAGCGTGAAGGTCGGAAGTATGAGGCGAACCCGTACGATATCGATCGGGTCAACACGAGAAACTCGGCGATCACGCAGCGATCGAGGTCGCGGTCGGTCAAGTCGAAGCGGAAGAAGTTCCTTGGAATCTAAGGCGTCAGGTGAGTGCTGCAGTGCAGGGGAGAAGGGATGGAGGCTCGTCCACCCAGGCAGTATGTTAGTCGTGTGGAGAAGTAATCATTTGCTTTTGAGATACCAATTTGTTTGTTCAATTGTGATAGCTTGCCATTCTTTATAACTATGAACGATAATAGAATAATTAATCAAGTAATTGACACTGTTCTCGACGCAGATCCGGTCCTCAGCCAATATCATATGCAGAAAGTGTGCAACCTGTGGTCCATTCTAGTCATTACATTTATCATATCACATCCCTTATACACCATCTAGAAGTCAGCAGGCTCAGGAAGTTTCTCAGGGGTATCATCCCGATAGCTGTTGGTGATCAAGCCCCGGAAACTTGGCGACCAGGCAACTCTCGGCGTCAATACAGGCAAATCCCACAGTTCGGAGAGATACTTCAAAATGGAAGTATGGGTGAAATCGTTCGGCTGATTTGTGGGACGATTCTGCACAACACCCTTCCCGACCCAGGGAGACATGAGCAGCGTGGGGACGCGTATTCCCAGCCGATCGAACTTGAACTCAATTCTGCTTCCGTCTAGAGCCCACTCTTTATGAATACGATGGTCACCAGGGGGCACATTCTCGGGCGGGGAGACGTGGTCCGCGAAACCCCCGTGCTCGTCAAAGGTCAAGATGAAGAGGGTCTCATTCCACTGCGGTGAGGATCGAAGCGCCTCGTAGATGCTCTTGATGAATCCTTCGCCCATATTAATGGGGGACGGAGGATGGAATGACATGTACTTGCAGCATTCAGGATTGATCCAGGTAAATTGTGGAAGGTTGCCTGCCTTGGCGTCGCGGTAGAACTCGTCGATGGGCTTGATGTGTGTCTCGGACTTTCCGGTCCTCAGAGTCCACTTATAGAACAGTGCATCGGGGAGGAAGCCAGTTGTGTTGGAATAATTGATCCAGCTGATGTTAGCGTTGGACAACTGTTCGAATATTGACACCTGAGGAAGAGCCGAGGTCAAAAAGCCAATGTCGTTCATTCCATGCCCATAGCTAGTTCCAGACGTCAAGTAGGCGCGGTTAGGATTAGTAGGACCCGGAACTGCAGCAAACCAGGCATCAAAGAGCACAAAGTTTTCAGCCATAGCATTGAGGACAGGGACATGGTCCGGGGTGTAGTAGTTGATGACCTCGGCCGCGCGGGAGAGGTCGCCGTCGATGCCGTATGAGCGGACCTGTTCTGTCACAAATCCTTGCATGGAAGCACTACTGATGTTATCCGGATGATAAGTGCTGTAGACTTGCATTGATCCACCCGCGATGGAATGGTCGGGATCATCGGGGGCGACATTCTTGGCGGTAGGTTTGGCACAGACTTGGTGCGATTTATGATCTTCTATATCGGAAGGGTTGCAATACTTTCTGTTCACAAGGCCGTCAATTGTAGAGTTGTATGTCAGGCCTCCCGCATAGGTGTCGAATGAGAGATTTTCTTGAACGAGTACCACCACATTCTTGATAGGAGCGTGTGGAGCCGGTGGTTTCTCGGACGGGCCATGGGGGAGGCCAGAAATACCTAGGCCCAGAAAGAGCAAGGACAGGACCAGCAGGACACACATAATCAAAAGGATGGCCGTGATAAAGATTGACTTGGCCCAAACTGATATCCATCGTGATGCTGCTTGTCGGGACCTACCCTTTATGTCATCGTCCACTTCATATTGTACAACCTCACCATCGGGACCGAGAAGGGGACGACGCTCTTCGGGAGGCGGCGTCCCACGTGCTTGTTGCAGCGATTTGACATCCATAGTGACAGTACAGGGGATGAAGTCGTACGATCGTACCACTGTGGCGGAGGGATGGAGAGACAAGCTCGAGGCTTGCAGATGGAGAAGGGAAGACCTTGAAAGGTCGGGGGATATCCAGGCGGGGCCCAGCAGGGCCGATTGGCGGCCAATGTCTTGATCTCATGCCGGCAACAACGCGATCCATTGGCTGTCGCGGAGCGTAACACGGTCCAGTCCCGCAGGACTAGCCAATCTGGGAGGACCCGCGCGCTTCTCGGCAAGCCGGAGTGCATGTGCGGGGTTGGACTTGTGACCATCGCTGGATAGTATCTACTGTGTTATGAGATACTCCCTCCACTCTTCAGACTGCTAGTACTCACTCCCACCGTCCCTGTGACAGAAAGATACTCGAAGTACCACCGAGTACTTCCGTTTTCCCGGAGTGTCCTGCACCCATGGCCAAGCACATCCAGCCACACGGCCTGGATGTGCAACAGCTGCGGTCACCTTGCGACTGATCCAGGTGCCATCCTAGGCTTCACGCCCTGGAGATGTACTACCAGCTACCTTCCAGGTTGCATCAGGTATATCCGGGTCCCAGACGACTGTTTTCATCACGGTTGCTAATCCATTCTCCGACCGAGCAGTCCGAACGATAACGTCATAGGCACGATGCGGACAGTAACGGGCCCCTCACGATTAGACACCGACAAATTGCACCACTGAATGGGGAATCAACTCCCGACCCATCGTCAGATTATTTCCCTTGGTGATGTCAGGAATGTGGCCAATATGGTAATGTTGGCATCGGTAATAAGTGTATGTCGGGTTCAGGCTATGACAATCGCTTCTCAAGAGGATAATCACTTGCGGCAATCACGAGATACGGCGGTATGAAGGCATACTTTTGTCGTGTCACACCTCCCTTCCCTTGAAGGTTTATCGCGCTTGAGTGGATAAGTCTGGCCGCCGCGGTAGCATGGTATCGGTTCAACAGAGAAGGTGAACTAGAGTATGTATCTCACATAGTCGGTAGGGATATGGAACGTTTCCACAAACGCCAGCGCCCTTGCTGGCCAGATTGAACCCGTGCGGACGATCGACCTTCAATTCTGGGGTAGGAGACATTATCCAGCTGGTGTTATGACGAAGTTCTTGCTCCATTGCTATAGGAGGGGAGCGACCGTACGACATCGTACGGGCTCTATATGGAGGAAGCCCGCAGGCAGAAATAGATAAAAAGTTCTCTTCGACTACAGTGGGTTCGTGAGAATTGGAGAAAGTTGACAAGACGTGCTCGCAAATATATTGCAGATGAGGATACACTGCACGTGACTGATGGATGTCATTAGTAGGCCGCGTTTCCGTTTCCGGCAAAACTAGGCCACTCGCACAATCAGCCCTTTAGGGCCTATTTTTTTTCGATAAGGTCATGATGCATCGCATATTGTACTTGCATTCCTGTGGTTGCTGAAGTTCTTTGTCAGTCGGCCATAGGGTGACAATTGGATCGATTGGTTCGATGCTGCGTTTGGACAGCAAGGAAGCCCGAACCTTGATTCACTTTCAGGGTAGTGTTTGGCCAGGAACGATGATGAGCTAAGAAAGTGAGACGTACCTGGCAATGATAGCTATGAATGGCCTATGATGTGGGAGGCGAAGATGGTACATGTAGCGCTGAGTTGGGACTACACCCCACTATCGCTCACTCCTGGTAACTGATACGAATGGTCAAACAGATCTTTTAAATCGATACCGAGCAACTGCAAATCCCCGAAATAGTAAGTTGGATCGTCAATATAAGGCAGGAAAAGCGCTTCACTTCGATCAAGAGAAGCAGGACTCCAAGGTTGCATGACCCCGGGAGCATCTGAAGCGACAGGTTCCGGCCCCTGCGGGAGCACCGCCGGCGCAACCAGCCCCGTTGGATCTGCGGGGGCGACACTGGTTGTGGGTTCTGGCGCGGACGGAGAGGTTCCTACCCGGTCCTGAGCCTGGAATGAAATGCTCCTCTCATTCGAGTCTCTGGACATAGACTTGGGCTTGCGGGTCTCGGAAACGTATTGACGAGCAAGATGGGCAAACTCTGCTATTAGAGATCCCGGAAGGGCACCATTGCTGGCATATTCTAGCCTACTAAAGTGCCCGCCGGCAATGTCGAGAAGAGCGAGGCTGAGACCAGTTTCCGGGTGGTTGGCGTTGTGGACCACCAGGTCGAATAAGATCATCAGCGCTGATAGTGGCAAGACAGCGAGTATCCTGTGGCACAGCAAGACCGCGTAGTTCATTACTTAGTAGTCGTTATATAGCTCAGAGATATAGTACAGGCTTACCAGACCGGTGTGGAAGGTGCTACCTCGATGTGCACGGTGAGCTCGAGGACACTTCGAGCAGTCCGCATCAAGTCGCGCTTCATAAGTTCTTGTTGTGCAGACCCCAAACGGACGGCTCCGTAATGAAGGACGGTCCACGACAGTGTAAGGAGAGCGTTCAGATAAAGGAAGTGGGTACTCAAAGCAACTTGGACCGCCAGGGGCTCGTGCAAACAACGAGTTTTGAATTTTTCGCCTGGCCGAAACCGGGTCGGAATGGTTGCGCGCCAGGCTTCCAATTCTATACGTAGGCTCTCAACCACAGAGTTATAATTGGATAACGGCTGACTAACCGAGCTGATTGTGAAGAGAGATTGGTGAATCTTGGAGACTAGACGAGCATATTTGACGAAGCTAAAGAACCAGTCATAGTCGTGGAAAGTGGACTCCATCATATCGGGAATTGCACAGCTAATGTTGGCATCATCCAATACCTAGACCCATTGAACCCTAACTTAGAAAAGTAGTTTGATGATAACGGCCATACTCAACTCACCGAAGTTTTACCAGTCGCAAAGCAGGACGTCTTCTCCATATAGTAGAGCACCCAGAACGTGCGACGACACGGACCTTCTTGTGCACTATTCGAACGATGATACCCTAGACCTTGTGCCATAACGGCAGCCTCTGTTAGCATTAAGGGTTCGAAGTTGAAGGCAGACACCGTCGATGAGAATATAGCCTGTGAAAGATATCAGTCTTGTATTATGGTGCTTGATGACGGGCTAGATACCATGGCGAGGAGTGCCTGGCGTAATGAAACCGCATTAGTCATGAACTGTGATATTAATGGGAGCAACGCACTTGGACTGCAGCCAACGAGCCTCTACCGAAGAGGAGATCCTGGAAACATGACAACGACCGTTCGAAGTATGACCAGGCTTCCCCCACACCAGTATCAAAGCTTCCTCCTTCATTGTTCTGACACCCAATCGCCACTATTGCGTAAAATAGTGCTGCCCAAACCTTATCTGTTCCTAGTGATTGAACCAGATCCTGCGACGCTACACGCGCACGGAAGGTATCTGGACAAAGAAATGGATAGATCGGATGTACCGAGTCAAAGTAGGCTGCAAGAGGGTTATTATTGCCAGCAAGAGAATAGAAGAGGTCAGTCAAGGCGCAGGTACCAGAAATGTGTCCGTTAATAATGTCACGACTCGGGACTTGGATCTTTCCGGTGCTCAGGTGTCGTTGTATATATGACTGAGGGATGGCACAACTATTTTTGACCTTGGTTGCAACCACCGCGCGTATTTCATCTAGTAGCTGATCGAGCCGGTTGTGGCCCAATCGCTGACTGATGGCGCGAACCCGTCGCTCAGGGAAGAAAGAAATGTTGGGGTTTGGGCCAAAGATAGTGGTCAGCTGCGAGGCCATGGTCAGATAGGAGCACGGTGAGCAAAAGGGCCAGACAATACCTGATCTGGATGACTGGCACCTCCGTGTATGCGAGAGGCTTGGCGATTTGCAAGCAAAGAGTCGATATACAGTCCCGGCTGCTGATAGCCCACATTTTCGGAGCCTAACTGCGGACCAGGAAGGTCACGAACGGACTGTTGGTATGTGGAGGACAGTGGTATGAAAACTGGTGTAGTAGATTAGCTTCCGTGGTAGTCCGGAACTAGTGTTCTCTTCGTACCTGATGCATCATATTTGCGCTTCCTTGGTCGCTTGACTGGAGTAAAGGAGCAGGGACGGTGCTGCGACTATGAACAATAAATAATGGAACAATCAGCATTCCGAAAGGCGGAGACATGGCGGCCTGATATACCAGGCAGAAGTCGCAGGCATCAGTGTTGCCCGAGATTTCTGGCGTGAAATCGAGATTAGTCAGACACCGACCTGGAAGCAGTTCTCTTCCGACCGACTGGAACCTCGACTCACTACATCGCGTTTTCCTGGCTCTGCACGTATCGCATGCCTTATGCAGGGGCTCGGAGCCTGGTGTTACTACCGACATGATCTCTTCACTTGGTGTTTTGCGGAAATTCCGTGAAGAAAAGAGCTGGGAAGAGGATGGAAGAGGAGCTTGAGGAAAAGCCACGGAGTCATTCGCCGCCGAAAGCTCCGACATGGAATGCAGGCAGTATCAACGCCGATGTCCTCCGAGTCCCCACTAACTTCGGCGCCGAACTAACAATAGCAGCTATTATGTCGCTTCTTCGGCGCCCACGAAGCATCGCAAATTAGAGAATTGAGACGATTTATTGACGATTTATTTTGTCATATTACATCATGGCTAGCGAATATTACTATCAAAAAGGGCTTGCTTGCTATAGCTGTCCGTTTCGCATTGATTTTCATAACATATATATAGCGAACAAGACTGCGTCTCATAGAACTTGGTTGATCCTTCAGTTGAAAGTTGATTCATTCTATGGCGCTCTCTGTCATATGTGTTCAACCATTATTCGTGATTCACCGGTGATCCCATCACTAACAGAGTGCCTCAAATTCGTCTTCCACGTTTCCACTTGACTCGGTTTGCATACTCTCTCGCCATCGATCGGCCTGCAAGCGACAGACAGGAACTTTGATTTCCATATAGCCCGAAAATGAATGACCAGGAAGACACCAGTATGACTGCGTCAGTCAACTCCGGTAGCAATACGGATATTGCTAGTGCAGAGGTGTACCAAGGAGACATATCGACTGAAGATCAGCGCAAGATTATGAATCTTGCGAGACGGCTCACGGAAGACTCGACACGGTTTCGGCAAAATGGTATGCCGCCCAACCCTTTCACGACACACTGTGATCCGAGTTTGGACCCCAATTCTCCGAAGTTCAATGCGAGTCACTGGGCGAGGACTGTACTTCACTTGTCCTCGCAAGATCCTGATCGGTTCCCACAGCGTACGGCGGGTGTGTCATTCCGGAACCTCAGTGTCCATGGCTATGGCCGCTCAACGGCCTATCAGAAGGATTTTTTGAACGCTATCTTGCAGGTGGGTGATCTGGTTGGCGGCTTGATTAACCGCAGAGACCGTAAGCTGCAGATATTGAAAAATCATGACGGACTCTTGCGCAGCGGAGAAATGCTCCTTGTCCTGGGTAGGCCTGGCAGGTGAGTTCTTAATCCCCTGGTCTACGTTTCTTCAATGTAACATGATTCGTCAGTGGTGTATCAACTCTCTTAAAGACCATCGCCGGTCAGACTAAAGGACTGTTCTTGGACGATTCAACGGAATTCAACTATCAAGGTGGGAGTCTGTCCGGGAAAGGCACATACAGACAGAGAACTGACAATATACCTTCAATCTTAAACAAATATAGGGATTGAATGGGATTTGATGCACCAAAAGTTCCGAGGAGACGTGACGTATCAGGCAGAAACAGACGTCCATTTCCCACATTTGACAGTTGGGCAGACCCTCCAGTATGCGGCTCTGGCGAGAACACCTCATAATAGGCCGCCCGGAGTCTCTCGCGAAACCTATGCAACTCATCTGCGTGATGTGGTTATGGCTGTCTTTGGAATTTCCCATACGGTTAATACTAAGGTTGGCGACGACTTTATTCGCGGCGTCAGTGGCGGAGAGAGAAAGCGAGTCAGCATTGCAGAATTGGCTCTCACACGAAGTTGTATACAGTGCTGGGACAACAGTACTCGTGGCTTGGATAGTGCTACGGCTCTCGAATTTGTACGGACCGTGAGACTCTCAGTCGATGTGGCGGGTACCGCGGCTGTTGTGGCATTATATCAGGCATCGCAACAAGCATATGACGTATGCAATATTCCCTTTCCTCTTCATATCGTCTTACTAACATATCCTGCTAGGTCTTTGATAAAGTTGCATTGTTATACGAGGGCCGGCAAATATATTTTGGTCCAGTTGACCAAGCGAAGTCGTACTTCACAGAGCTTGGCTACCAGTGTCCTGAACGACAAACCACGGCAGACTTTCTCACGTCGCTCACAAATCCTGTCGAGAGAGTAGTCCGGCCTGGCTTCGAAGCCCGAGTCCCCCGGACCCCCGGTGAATTTGCAAAGTGTTGGGAACAGAGTGCCCTGAGAGCTAAACTTTTAGGAGAGATTTCGAGCTTCGAGAAAGACCATCCCATTGGGGGATCCATGTTGCAGAAATTTGAAAACTCCCGGAATGCCGAAAGGTCTCCTTTGATGTAAGCGGGCAATGTGGGTACTGTTTTGAGCTGTCATTGACCCAAATTCCAGGACGAAAACATCTCCCTACACGATTTCTGTGTTGCAACAGATAGCTTTGTGTATACGACGGGGCTACCACAGAATTCTTGGGGATCCTTCTTTCTTTATCGTAACGGTTTTTGGCAACCTTTTTCTCTCTCTTATACTTGGTAGTGTTTTCTACCATCTTTCGGACACTTCCGCCAGCTTCACAGATCGATGCATTCTCCTGTTTTTTGCTTTGCTCTTTAACGCACTCAACAGTGCTTTAGAGGTGAGCGTTATGGTCATTCAATAGCATCGTGATGCTGACAGAGCAGATATTGGCATTGTATGCCCAGCGACCGATCGTCGAGAAGCATGCGTCTTACGCCTTTTACCATCCGATGTCAGAAGCGATGGCCTCCATGATATGCGATCTACCGTGCAAGATCCTCTCTACGCTATCCTTCAATCTGCCGTTATACTACATGTCGAACTTGCGGCGGGAGTCGGGTCATGTGGTCATATATCTACTATTCGCATTCATGTCGACCTTGACTATGTCCATGATTTTCCGTACCATTGCTCAACTGACCCGTACAATTGCACAGGCTCTCACTCCCATTGCGCTTGGTGTTATTGGGCTAATTGTATACACCGGATTTGTGCTGCCTACCCGGAACATGCAAGTCTGGCTGCGCTGGCTCAACTACATCAACCCGATCGCATACTCCTACGAAACTCTTGTGGCGAACGAGTTTCATGATCGCGAATTCGAATGTGCAAGCTTTGTTCCTTCTGGTTCAGGTTATGAGAATATTCCAGCTACAGATCGAACCTGCTCTGTGGCAGGCGCTACTTCTGCCTCGAGCGTGGTCAGCGGAGACGCATATATAAAGGCAAACTATGGGTACTATTATTCTCATACCTGGAGGTTAGTGACCACCGATGCCCAAACGAAATAGCTCGCTGGCTGACAGAAAGTTAGAAATCTCGGCATTCTTATCGCTTTCATTCTGTTCTTCATGACTACATACCTCTTCATTGCCGAATTTGTGAAGTTCAGCTACTCCAAAGGCGAAGTGTTGGTATTCCAGCGCAAGCATAGGATAGCCCGTGTTAACGAGGAACACGCCCATGACGAAGAGAGCAGTGCCGAAAAAGCAGCGCCGGCAAGCCATTCTTGCGTTGACAGCCATGAAGGGCGCCAAGAAGACCAATCTCTCAAGTTCCGCTTTGAATCCAATACCTTGCACTGGAGAGATGTTTGCTACGATGTTCCGATCAAGGGCGAAATGAGACGAATTGCAGATCACATTGATGGCTGGGTAACCCCAGGCACTCTGACTGCGTTGATGGTGAGTATAATATAACCTTAGTCAAACCTTCAATCTAACTAACTCCTCGAAAAAGGGCGCCTCAGGGGCTGGAAAAACAACACTCCTGGATCTTCTAGCAAGCAGGGTAAAAACAGGCGTTGTATCCGGCAACATTTGCGTCAACGGAACCCCGCGAGATGCATCCTTTCAGCGCAGGGTAGGCTACGTTCAGCAGCAAGATGTCCATCTGGAAACCAGCACTATTCGGGAAGCACTTCAGTTTAGTGCTCTCCTCCGCCAGCCCGCCTCTATTAGTAAAGCTGATAAGCTGCAATATGTCGAAGAGGTGATTGATTTGCTCGAAATGAGACCGTACGCTGACGCTGTCGTTGGTGTTCCTGGAGAAGGTCTGAATGTAGAACAGAGGAAAAGATTGACAATTGGCGTTGAACTAGCTGCAAAGCCTGATTTACTACTCTTTCTCGATGAGCCAACTTCGGGGCTGGACAGCCAGACGGCATGGTCTATCTCTCTGCTACTCCGGAAGTTGTCGAACCATGGGCAGGCCATCTTGTGCACCATCCACCAGCCCTCGGCTATTCTTTTCCAGCAATTTGATCGGCTTCTTCTACTAGCTAAAGGTGGCCGTACAGTATACTTTGGGCCAATTGGGTCTAACTCACAGGAACTTATTGGCTACTTTGAGCGATATGGGGCAAGGGCCTGTGCGGAAGAGGAGAATCCGGCGGAATGGATGTTGGAAGTCATTGGTGCTGCCCCCGGGTGTACTTCGGTGCGTGACTGGCCGGTCACATGGAAAGAGAGTCGTGAGTTCCAAGAAACGCGAAAGGAGCTTGAACGGCTTGAGCAGTCTGGCTCTCCTGGCCTGAAAGAAGGGGCCGCGCAAGTCCAGCAATATGCGGCCCCGTTTCACATTCAGCTGGGTCTTTGTACAAAGAGGGTTTTCGAACAGTACTGGCGCTCTCCGTCATACATCTATGCTAAGCTGATACTCTGCTTCGGAGCGGTATGTTCCATACGAGTGACCCAGCTGTCGACTTCAAATATCTGACACACTATGCAGGCCCTGTTTATTGGACTTTCATTTCTGAACACGGAAGTTACGGTCCTAGGTCTTCAGCACCAGACTTTTGCGATTTTCATGCTCCTTGTCATTTTCGCATTCCTTGCTTACCAGACCATGCCTAATTTTATCAAGCAACGCGACTTGTACGAGGTCCGTGAAAGGCCAGCCAAGACATATGCTTGGTCTGCGTTCATGTTGGCCAACATCATAGTTGACATCCCCTGGAACTCTCTTGCGGCAGTGCTGATCTATCTTCCATTCTACTACATCATTGGGATGTATCGTAATGCCGAGGAAACTCATGCGTTGAATGAAAGGAGCGGACTCATGTTTCTTCTGGTGTGGTCTTTCATGATGCACTGTGGTACATTCACGATCATGGTGGTTGCTAGCGTCGCAACTGCTGAGGTCGGGGCAACACTAGCTCTGCTACTGTTTTCTATGAGTTTAATATTTTGCGGGTACGTTTCACTGTCTACATCTTAGGATTTAACTTTCGGTTCGTCTAATACACCATCACAGTGTCATGGCCAGTCCGGCCAGTCTTCCAGGATTCTGGATCTTCATGTATCGAGTATCCCCGATGACCTATCTCGTTGGCGGCATGCTTTCGGCCGGGTTAGCGAATACTGCAGTTCACTGCTCTGATCTGGAATTGGTAGTCGTTCAACCTCCAGCCAACGAGACTTGTGTCAGTTACCTCGCCAATTACTTGAAAATCGCTGGAGGTTCTGTTTATAATCCCCAGGCAACCGCCAACTGTGAATACTGCGAGATGACTGACTCGAATGTTTATCTCGCATCACTATCCACTTCTTATGCCGATCGTTGGCGCAATTTTGGACTTATGTGGGCATACATCGCGTTCAACGTGTTTGCTGCGCTCTTCTTGTATTGGTTTGTGCGGGTCCGAGGCGGTTCAACCACGTCAATTCTTCGCCGGTTCGCCAAGATATTCTCTCGGTCCTCGCCAAGGACTTGAATTATCTTCTGGTATCTATCGCGAGAGTGGTATATTCCTCTGGAAATTCATCGTGCGGTATGATTTTCAAATCCTGTCGCTCTTCTGCGTCAGGATATATATATATTATGTGAACGGTGGCGGTGTTCTCTCGACTTTCGTCACTACCAATTGGAGCGCACATTTCCTGTCCACAACATACTCTTATTGTCATCAGTTCGAGTTTCATTAGACCTCTTTGCTATGTATGTATTTGTATGTATGTATTATACTAGAATGCGATATATAATGGAAAACTCAGATCTTCTTTATATTAACGAGTCAGTTCCTATGGACATCCCGATTGGCGGATTGATAAACCGCGGCCGAGGATAAGCAACAACCAGCCACCCTCTTTGTGTTCCAACCCCCCCTCAGTTTACCGTCCTAGCATGAAATACCTCCGACAAATGTTGTCACACAAATCTCCGATCCGCACTACTGTAACCCTTGAGCTTAAACTGACTGCACCCAAGATCCTATTACTAAACTTTACGATGTGGTAATCGTGGGAGCCGGACTCAGTGGACTCCAAGCAGCGCATTACATCCAGGCAGCAGGATTCAGCGTGTGTATCCTGGAAGTTACGGACCGAGTGGTCGGGAAGACGTTGACCGTGAAGTCCAGCAAAAAGGGATACAACGATCTAGGAGCGGCTTGGGTGAATGATACGAACCAGAGTGGGATTTTCAAACTCCATCAGAGGTACGGACTGGATGGGGTGGTACAGTATACGCGTGGAGATGATATTCTCGAATCAGGTGAGGGGGTGATTCGCAAGATACCGTATGGATGGCCTTTGGTAAGTTAAACATAGATCAAGCAGGTGCTGTCGGCTACTGATCAGGTTTAGACTGGGCTTGCGCGGAAATTGATGATTATCCTGCGAGATGAGTCCTCACGGATGGACTTGGACGACCCAAAAGGGTTTCCAGAGGCCAAGGAAGTGGATAATATGACGTTGGACGAATTTTGCGTTGATAGGTCTGGGTCGCAGAATGCAGTTCACATGGCAGATGCTATTTCATCGGGGCTGCTTGGGGTGGATAGTGTGGAAGTTAGTGCGTTGTATATGCTGTATTATTTCAATAGTGGAAGGGGGATCGACAATCTCTTGTCGGATGAGAAGGATGGAGCGCATTACCTACGTACCAGGCAAGGTAAAGCAACGATCGTCAAGCCTACTTGTCATTGACGTGCTAACGGCGCAGGAACCCAAACTATCGCTCGGAAGATGGCAGATGAGCTCGATAAATCCGACATCTTCTTGGGCGTGCCTGTCACGTCAATCAGTCAGTCTCATGACGACAGTCCCTGCGTGGTCCAGACACTTGATGGCATTTCGTTTAGTTGTCGACGCGTTATCGTGTCTATTCCTACGAACTTGTACCAAAGCATCTCCTCCTATCCCCCACTTCCACAAGCTAAGCGTGTTTTAAGCAACCATACGATCATGGGAAATAACAGTAAGATGATCTTCGTCTTCCAAGAGCCATGATGGCGCAACGCTCGACTTACGGGGCTTATCGACTCTGCGGGTGGCCCCATAACCTTCACGCGGGACACGAGTGTACCCACCGATAACCAATGGTCTATCACATGTTTCATGGTGGGGAGTCGGGGACGAGCATGGTCCGAGTTGTCCAAGGGTGATCGGTTCAATCAAGCGTGGGAGCAATTCTGCCGATGTTTTGGCAAGTTCGTGAAAGACATTCCCAAGCCATACAATACTCTAGAAATGGAATGGAGTAAAGAGCCTTACTTCTTCGGCGCACCTTGTCCAGCGATGACACCAGGCTTGCTGACTACCGTCGGGACTGATCTCGCAGCACCGCATGGTAAAGTGCATTTCATCGGAACAGAAACGTCCACAGTGTGGCGTGGGTACATGGAGGGGGCCATTCGAGCAGGGCAACGAGGAGCAGCCGAGGTAGCGACGGCACTGCAGGAAGACTAGTTGTCTTGGCTAAGCACACACATCCCGAAATGTCTCTTAAGAACCTTGGACCTAGCAGGGTTCCGATGAAAACCGAATCTCCTAGTGGGTCACCAACGGAGATGTCCGTGTGCCTTTTTCGGGGAATATTCGCTAGATCTACACCACTTGGGATAAAGTCAGTACCGTCAAGCAGCAAACTGACATTTACACGTGGCTAGCAGCGGACAATTGTCGCCGTGTACCTGAATGAACCGTGGATGGAGGAGTTCGTGAGTGGCTGCCTGCAAAAACCCATCGTCCCCACTAAATTTGGGGCCGCTCCCGTGTGCCCCGTTCACCCACTGCCAATCCGATCCATGATTTGTCGATAGTCGACGATCGTCGATCGGAAATCCAGAAAAAAAAAGCAAACATTCGATAGTTGCATTCTAATTCCAATTCTCCCCTAGACTCGGCGATTCGGGGTTTGCTAGTAGTCTCACAATCTAGTCCAGCTGAAAGGAATGTAGTAGTCCCCCCCCACAGCTCGATCCGTACAGCTGAAGCTGATGGATGTGATCGCCGATTTTACCTTTGGTTCATGTGATGGAAAAGCGTTGGGCAGAACAAAAACTTTCCACATCAGAAACATAAGTATGATCGACTTGCCCTGTGTAACGATGTCAATCATCTGCCCAGTATCATCATCACAATGCGCCTCCTCAGGTCCCTACTCGTGGCTGCATCCGCCATAGCCGGCTGCAATGCCCTCCCAGGCAGGGCTCTTCACAAGAGAGGTACCAATGCACATTCCATAAATCTCGAATCCTCGCCCCCACTGACCATGTCCTCGATACGCCAGAAATCACCACTCAACAACTCGACACCTTCACCTTCTGGGTCCAATACGCCGCAGCCTCCTACTGCGAGCCCAACTATGCCGGCAAGGCAGGCCACAAAATAACCTGCTGGGCACAGAACTGCCCCGCAGTCGAAGCCTCCAACACAACCATCATCACCGACTTCTCCAAGTACATTCCCCTCCTTGCCTTCCACCACATCAGCCCTAACAAACTGCAGCACAACCCCCACCGACACATCCGGCTTCCTAGCCGTCGACCACACGCACCGCGCCATCATCCTCGCTTTCCGCGGCAGCTACACGATCCGCAGCTGGCTAGCGGACTTCACCTTCATCTACACGGACCCCAACCTCTGCAGCGGGTGCGAAGCCGAGCTCGGCTTCTGGAGTTCATGGACAAACGTCCGCAAGACCCTAACCCCCACGATCAACAACACCGTATCCCAATACCCCGACTACGAACTCGTCATCGTGGGCCACTCCCTGGGCGCCGCCATCGCGACCCTCGCAGCAGCAGATATCCGCGAGACCGACGGGCTCAACGCAACGCTGTACGCGTACGCATCGCCGCGCGTAGCGAACCCGAAGCTAGCGGAGTTCATTACGAATCAGAATAAGGGGGCGAACTACCGGTTCGCGCATACGGATGATCCGGTGCCCAGGGTGCCGTTAGAAATTATGGGGTATAAGCATATTAGTCCTGAGTATTGGATTAGTTCGGGGAATAATCAGCGTGTGAGTACGCAGGATGTGGTGGTGTTTCAGGATGGTGATGATAAGAGGGGGGATTTTGGGTTTCCCAATCTGTTGGATATCGAGGCCCATCTTTGGTATTTTGAGAAGTGGAAGGTTGATGCGTGTAAGGGGGAGGGGTTGCCTTGGAAATGATTGAATGCGATGTAATGATTGAGAGCCGAGGTGATGCTTGGGGAGGTGAGTGTGGTGATCAGGGGTTGTATAAAGTTTGTTGGATTGGGAGAAGACGTATATACTTATTGGTGTTTATAGTTTCGATATGTAATTATTTAATCTTGGTGAATATTTGTCAGGAATAAAGTTTGAGTATGGCTGGGATAAGATGTGTCACATCCAGGATCTTGCTTACGCACTTCTCAGTTAGCCCTGGGTGGCTAGAGAAGTATCATCAAGCCTATATCGATATGCCACCTGTTCTTGAAGATGTTCCCAATTGAGACGTGCTGGCTGTCAAAACGAATCTCCCAGGAAGTGTACATAGTTTCATGATCGTCAATATATTACTAAGTATTGTTAACTCATCTAGCTCGACATGAGCGCGAAGTGTACAAACGCCATCTACAGAATCCCAACAACAAGCTCACATTCAAAGCATAACCACGGTATCCATCGTCGGGTGAATCGCGGGACCAAAGTTATATTTACATTCACATGCGCGGGTTGGGCTAAAGAGAGAATATATCAAATAAAAAGAATACAGCTAGTGATTACTATCAGAATTGGAGACTAAAGATCAATATCACCTAACATATTTCCGTTACACTATACATTGGATAACATTGTATGAAGCTATGTACATGATAATACTGATCCCTATTACAAAGCCACCTAACGAAACCCCCTCACTCCACAAACATCTCCCTCCATCTTTCAACGCCTCCAATAAATTCTCACTCGGGCCAGGATGCCATCTCCCAAATGGAATGACATACATGCCCTCATCATCCACCTTAATGTCCTCCTCAAATCCGGCCCAAAGGAGCGACCTCGGGCGTGTAAAACACGGGCTTCTCTAACCCACACTAAGCTTCGGAGCATTATCATAGAACAGGGCATCAATAATCCCTGGATTCTGAGTAATGCTGACCCACACCCTTCGACCCAAGGGTCGATGCAAAATGCGCCGCCAGGAACCAGATGCCTGTTTTGCTGATGGCGTAGTTCATGTCCGCGTCTGATTTGGGATCCGGGGAGGAAGCTAGGGCCGAAGGTGGAACACCGCCAGTCCGAGCGAGGATATCGACGACCGTGCTGGAGGTGAAGATGGCGCGGACGGTGTTGGGCGATGTAGATGGAGATTAAGCTGCAGAGGTGAGAATTGGAGAGACTAGAGAGCTGAGGAGGTAGGGTGCAGCGCAGTTGATGCCTAGATGAGGTTCGTAGCCCTGGGCGGTGGCTTTAGTTGGGGTGAGCCATGCTACAGCGGTGTTTTTAAACAGGTAGGGATGGTGGAAAGCTCGGCGAGGTCGAAAAGGGTGGGCGTAGGGAGTGTGTATAAGTTTGCCTGGTGGAGTTGTCGAATTGTCCGGCACGATGTAAAATGCGAGCTAGTCCTAGATAGTGGAGGAGACACCGGTGATGATTACGACGCGACCGGTTTGGGGAGGCAGATTTTCTGCAGTGATGGTGGGCTTGGCAGGGAATAGTTGGGGCCAGATGCGTTTGAATATCTGCATGGTGGCGGTGGAGCGGGGGACTTTGAAGGTTAGCATAATGTCAATCGCAAAATAACAATGGAGGGTAATGAGCCGCTCATAAAGCATGAAGCAAGAACTAGCCAACTAGCAGGGTAACTAGTTGCTGGGCTGCGTTGCGGTGGAGATGGCATCGCATATACATAGTCTCCATGGTCTAGTGGATGTTGCTAACCGTTTAAGCTACATGAATGGCGTGAGGGGCCAAGATTGCGATGAGGGCCGTGCGCATGAATTTAGGTGAGCCGAAGGGCAACTCGTGCTTCGCAAGGTTGTATGCAGCTGGGTGCATAAACTAAATACCAGCATGGAATTAGGTGAGGCTATCAGGCAGTAGTAGATACATCCAGTTTCATAAGAACATTGCATAAGTAGAATAGAGAACTTCAGAATTACTCCGTGCCCTTCTGAGCTGCTTGGTAACTCTGCATCACGCACCAATATCCAGGAATATGTTCAGTCCAGATAGCTCCAAAGCCCTCAATATCCCGCCGCCAATCGCTGTGAAGCCCGCCCGCAACAGCCGCCCAGTTGAGCAGTTGACAACCGGCTGCTACCATGTGTTTGTGCGCTGCCTCGCGCGTATATTCTGCAAAAGTGCCTGTGGCATCGGTCACAACGAACACATCGTAGCCTTGCCCAATGAGGCTGAGGGCGGGGAAGGCCACGCAGATTTCAGTCAAGACGCCATTGTGAAAGTTAGCGGTTTTGTGTGAGATTTGATGATATACATCTGTGGGTAGATCTGTGGGTGGTGAAGTAAATGCTGGGCTCACCTGATCACAATCTGCTTCCGGCTAGTCTTCTTGATCTCATTCACAAAGTCCTCAATATCCATTGCATTAATCTGTCCAGGACGGCGGATCAGGGGCGCATCCGGGAGGTAGTCGGTGATCTCCTTGACAATGGGTCCATTTGGACCAGTGTCGAACAAGGTCGTCAACACACTGGGAGATTTGTAGTACTGAGCAACTTTGGCAAGGGCCATTACATTCCTCTGGAATTCATGTTGTTGGAAGTCGCGGACGAGATTGATCAGACCTGGCTGGAAAATGTTTTCGAACGGATACAAGAAAACTTTGAAAGGGCAAAATACCTCGTGGTTCACGAAGAGGAAGATGCATTTGTCAATGTCAAGTCGGGTATACTTGGCTGGCATGTTTGCTGTCAATTGCACTTCTTCGGTTATATCACTGAAGTATTTATGATCGAGTTTAGAAAGTTTGCGCTGCATTTTGCGACGGACAATGTCGGCCTATAAATGTTGAATCGGGAAAGCTGGTGGGAAAGCTAATCGCCTCTTCGACGTTACCACCCATCATCGAAATTTGGTGTAACAGACAGACCTTGTCTAGGCGATGCCTGGACCAGATGTCATATCGGTGCGTCCGATTAGCTCATCATTCTTCAGCATTAGAAGTCCGGGGAGAAGGACAACCCAGGATGGAGCTTGAGGTCAACACTCATGACAATCAGGCTAACCAGATGAAGCCGTCGGTTCCTGCCGACCAGGTGACCTTGTCAAGATTCAGCTTTCAGCGTCAACGTCCAACAGCTATCAAGCAAGCCCCATGTGCCGCCATTCGTCGGTCGCATAGGCGGCAACCAGGGCATTGTCCTCGATCGTGCCCGATCCGGATAATGCCGAACATCTGCGTAAAGTTCCAGATGCTGCTCCATTAATGAGTGCACGAGATGCCTTTAATGTGCGCGGGTTCACCGACCTTAACCTCTGGCGATCTGCGGTGGTGGAATGCGTTGGTATCACCCTCCCGGATATATCTGCTATCTATAAGGAAACTAATAACCCTCCGTGATGGACTCAGGAACCATAATGTTGGCGTTTATTACTGCCTGGTCGGCAGGTACTCCCGCTAATGTTGCCCCCCCTACTCCCACCACACCAGCTGGGATCTTTGCTACAACAGCCTGTCTCGGCCCTCTTGTCGGCGCCTTTACCAATTGAGCACTACTGACCCTCTTCATTTTCTCCTTCTCGGCAGTCAGTGGAAGTAACCTCAATCCGACCATAACGCTAGCCACATTCTTTGCGCGGTTTATCTCCTAGCCATGTATGGTTCTCTACCTGGCCGGCCAAATCCTCGGCGGAGCTCTGGCCGGGTCGTTCGGATCCGGACAGTATAGTGTCGGTGGGTGTGTAGTTGATACCGCCCTAGTGCCAGTCCGAGAAGCTTTTAGAATCCTCGTATACGCGGGAAGGCTAGGAGGGTGCATGTATGGTTTTCTCATATTGACTGTGCCGTACAGCAAGCGTTGAAGTATAATGAAGCCAATTCGGATATATAGCACTCAATCCGGCGAGATGCTTCGGTGTATACGTGGGATCATCCTTTCCCGGGTACCATTGGATTAACTGGGCAAGTTCGTAATTCGAGAGGGACTATGGTGATAATAATAAGTTATCAATGCAGGTTGGGCCTCTTGCTGTCGCCATCGGACACGGCCTAGTCTACTACCTGGTGCCACCATGGAAAGCATGACCAAGCATCACTCTGGTGCTGACGCAACGGGAGCTCTTATCTCGAAGCTGAAGTAAGTTGGCAGATCACCTGAACAGCGGAATTCAAATCACTGACTTCAGATACCAGGAAATACATCCAACAGTGCTGGAACATGTAAAGGACACCGGCGTTCTGTGACGCCACTCAAGGTTACTAGCTCAGATGAGTGGCTCAATAGCCGGTAGCGAGCAAAGCTAACGACGTTTATCGCTACCCCCAGAGTCGGACATGAGGTACTGTGACCCAGGATTCATGATCAGCCTTGTTCTAAGCACCCATCCCCGGCACGCTTGAACACAGGCCTTGGGCTATAATGGCAGGATTTGCAATCAGCATAAATAGCTGAAAGTTATTGGCATCTGGAGTAATTTCTAAGGCGTCTCGCTCTGCCTGTCCTAAGCCTCGCTTAGCAGCACTATCCAGATAGTTCCATCCAACACCTGCCTGGTAGTTACGCCACTCATCATCCTCCTATCAAAATAGTACTCCCTCCGAGTCCCTATTAATCTTGTAAGCGCGGAGCAGCATCCTCAAAATTTCTTTCATGACAGTACCAGCTGCAGATGCTCTCGAGCCTTGAACGGTCGATCATGAACTAGAACGAAAGCATTTATATGTTCCATGCTTTCATCCTTCGGTTTCATCTTTCAGTACTACTACGGTCCGACCAGTTTTACCGATGAGATTAAAGCATCCTATACTGGTACAGTATTCCTCAAGATGTTCCTCACCCCCTCTCCGATGCGCGTCCTCGTGCAAACCCTCACCCACCTCGTTCCCTCAGACAACCTGATAGCAAACAGCGAGCCCTATGGCGATAGCGTTTTCTCCATGCTGGACCGAACCTACAACCATGTCTGGGACTATCCCTTCGAGCCAGGCTTGCAACGCTGGTAATCCTACGGTGATGACTTTGGGTACAACAACCGGGTGTGTTTCTTCTTATTGGACTATGGCGACGCCCCGGATGGGAAGGACGAGGAAGTTCCGATTCAGTGCTTGACGTGGGATGGAGAGAAGTTGTATGTTTCTTCCCAATATCTTGAGGAACTACTATGAACAGGAAGTTAATCTACTCCTCCCCGGCATCCCCAAGCCAGATATCCTCGAAAGCGAAGATTTACAAACCGTACTGAAGGACATCCCGTGAAGATATCACCGATGCGGGATATTGTCCGGAGAAGGCTGCGGAAAGCGCAGTTCTTGTCAAGGCGTGAGCTGGATTACATGGCAGAGCACCCGCAGGATCAGGAGTGATCGCAGAGAAAGGTGAAGCCCAGATTTTGGGCGAATTTTCTGGAGCAGATGGAAAGGAGATGAAAGCAGAATGAGGATGAGAGGGAAGGAAAGGATTATGTGGATAAAGAAGAAGAGGGGGTTCACAACAATGAAGAATACGAAGGAAGAAGTGCATTCAGGCTATGTATGATCCTGGAGGCGTTGGACGGCGTTGGTTCTCGCCATGTCGCTGATGGTCATGAATATTGTCCTGCAAGGGGGGAGCAAAAGGTGGATCGCGCTACTAAGTATGCTCGAGCAATTCGGGGCCCAGCTTCGTCCGTGATTGGTCGGAGAAGAGAATGTACCAACAGCTACCAGTGAAGATTAGCTGGGTGGATCAAGCGGTGCGTTACTGTAAGTGCTTGCATACACTTTAATTTGACATTACCGCGTTAGTGGCGAGTTATGATATCGGAATACTGGATCATGTGGGACATCTAGCCAATGAATACCAGAAGCTCAGGCGTGGATTAGGCACAGTGTGAATAGAGGAAATAGGAATCATCATCGTATAAACTATCTTGTGATGGTTACTGAAGACCTTTGCGTCAGGCACCTAGTATACCGTAAAGCCGAACATAGACTGAAATCATAGCGAGGCTTTGGCAATGGCACTTCTCGCTGCAGCGGTATGCCGATAAGCTGGTGGAAGAAGTCCTTCCAAGGCTGCTTTGATCTGCAGCGCGAGAGTGCGCGAATGCCATCGGTGCTGCTGCGTGTAACCTCCCATAGTCCAGATGTTGTCAATATTCAAGTGTCGCTTCCACATGCCACGGATTTCTCCCTCATCATCAAGACCCCAGGTCGCATCCAAGCGCGAGGCAATGTCTCGAGGTCCGAGGATTCGTTTCCCGCTCCCATTACGCTCACCTTCACCTGCCGACTCATTGGTGCTCGGTTCCCCACCAAGAATCTCCGTGGCTGTTGTTACAATGTTGGAATCGGAGAAACCAGTACACCAAACAATAGCTTCCGCATCCACACAGCTACCGTCGGAGAACCGAAGACCTGATTTCGTATAAGCCACAGGTTCGACCCCCGCTTTTACGTTAACCCTTCTCTCCTCGATCAGTTTTGTGCCGCCAACATCGACATAATGTCCGCCGGCACGCTCGAGCAGATTATGCATCAATGCGCAGTCTGGGTTTCGACTATCTAGGACGGGGAAGCCAGCTGCTTCAAGTGCAGCGTATCGCTGCGGTTCGTTCGCAGCGAGCATGGCAAACAAACCACGGGCTAGCTGTCCATCCACGACTGCAGGCAGCGATAGTATAAGTTTATCGGCCGCATCAACGCCACCATCATACGCACCGAGACTGTTCTTATCACAGACATACTCGAGCGGCACAATATAAGTAGGGGACCTAACGACCATTGTCGCATCAAGGCCCGCTTTGTGGCAGTCGACAAGGACATCGAATGCTGTATTTGCAGAGCCAATGACCATTACAGACTTGTACGGTTAGCGTCGCTCGGGATTCTTTTGAAGATTTCGGAAACAGACATACCTTTGCTCCCTGCTCTCGCAGTAGCTTGGCATTCTTGTAGTCGGCCGAGTGAACACTGATGCCCTTGTACAGTTGAGGCTCTGCGATTTGTGGCATGTTAGGCTTTTGAGAGCCAAATCCCGTTGCCATGACGAGGTGCTTCGAAGTGGCCTTGCGCTGGCCTGCAGGTGACGCGAAAGTAACATGCCACGTTTGAGCCACCTCATCATACGCCGTCGACAGGACTTTGACGGAGTGGATAGTATTCAATTGAAATGTCTCCACATAACGACGGACTTGTGAAGCCAAGTCCTGGCGCGTAAGCAGGTGAGGAGTCTGAAGCTCTTTGTCATAGCCTGCTTGGGTTAACGCATTGCTCTTGTATATAGATCAAGTAAGGCGAAGAGATCAGAGATGACTGACACATATACGGAAGCTCACAGAATGCTGTGGGGATGTGGAACTGCATGCAGTCATATCGAAGGGCCCAATTGTCACCAGGGCAAGGGTTGCGGTCGACTATAACACTCTCAACTCCCAGAGCCTTGAGACGTGCGGAGAGAGCGACGCCGCTAAATATGTTTAGCCAATAATCAGAAAGCTGCCAGGAACCGAGTCTTACGCATTTCCTGCGCCGATGATAAAAACATCCGTTTCGAAATCCATTGATGCATCCAGTTTACTCCTGGGGATCTGTAGTAGGTTTTCATTCTCCGGTTGCACATCCAAGCTCTCGAGTCTAGTGCTCAAGATCCAGATCTTCCAGGCGATCCTTTGCTCATCATTTACAACGGGCAGTAGCAACATCTTACCACGACAGAGACCCGAAGGCGATTGTGTTTTAAAGACGAGCGGACAATCGATGAATTGCTGAACGAGGAAGTACATGGTCAGTGCTTGTCGCAAATAAGTGAATCAGATAGGCTCCTACCAGAACCGGTGTAGCCGGAAGAAACACGGCAGCTCCGTCAACCTTAACACCACCGAAAACATTCCTTAGATTTGCTGTCTCCAACAAACTTGCAGCAATAGTACGAGGGGCGCTGAATGTGCGCAAGTGCCATGTCAGAGCCAGTTGATCCTTCCAGTATGCTTGGTCTGCATAGAAGCAACCTTCCAAGGCTTCGATATTGCCAGTGGCCAATGCATTATTCAAAGTTTTTAACACGCCGCATGCTCGGATTGTTGCCTCGTCACCAACCATGGACGACGGATCGATCAGATCAAGGGGCAGAGTCGGGAGAGGGCTTTGGTTCATCATGCGGCGCAAGTCCGCACGCGGTGGGTACTCATCCCGAACGGGAGGCTGTGCTGTGGTGTCTGAGCCAATCATGCTGTTAGCCATGGAGTTGGGGTGTGATATCTCAAGACTCACTAAGGGTCATGACTTCGTTGGGGTGGTAGGAATAAACTGTAGCACAAGACTGGGAACCCGGCGGGGACCGAGGGCATTTATGGAATGACATGCTGCAAGGAAAGTGGAGACGGCCCAACGGCGTGGGAGTTTAACTAGGATAGAACAAGGAGACTTTCGACGAAGCCACAGACTGGCGGAGGAATATCGGTATCGGTAATGTCTTGGTCAAGCTAATCTACACGTAATAGAAAAACAGAACAGATATGACAGGAGCAAGGGGCCAATGCAGCCATCACTCCTTCCAGTCAGCGAAGGTCGGGGTTCAGCAGGGTCGTTTCGGACGGCTTGCGCAGTCAATAACGAGGCTGTCACAAACGATCCAAGCCACCTGGGACCGGGACCTGTCAAACTATTACTGCGAGTCTGTGGTCTCGACGGCCCGTTTCCGGTATGCTAGCGTCTTGCCAACGACAGCGGACTGTTTATCGTAGTTGCCTATGCTTTAGTCGCAGTTTAGTCGGCTCCACAGCGGCAGGGTTCCGGTGCAAGGCGAGCCCATCGCTTATCCTGATGTCCCAAAGCACCTACTCTATTAGGTTCAGTGTCACGCCGTTCCTGTCACTATTCCAGAAAGCGACATGCTGTGATCCTTTCATCTCCACAGGACGTCGTGTGCCGCAAACTGAGAGGCCGTGATCAACAGACCAGGTCATTCACACGACCAGCTGGTACGCAACATTGAGTATCTTATTCAAGCTCTGAGCAATGCATCTGGGCTAGACTACTCGTTTATGAAAATGTAACGTACTCCGAATCCTCCAGCCTTCATACAGTATACAGCATGCATCCTATATCGCCCTAAAATGATGTAGTTACCAAGTGCGCTAAGCGCGACCATCCCGACCTAGGGCATCGTCAAAATCAGTCCACGGCCCATGCGAATGGTGTATGTGAGCCTCGCATTAGTAGCAGGCACCAAGTTGCGGCACCCCCTGAGCGGTCCATAATCGCAAAAATTGGGCCTATCACGGTGACGATCAAACAGTTCACACGTGGATATATGCGCAGTGACATTTGAAGCCTCGACACCCCACAACCATTAAGTTTTATTTCTGTTTTCGAACATCTCTGGAGTTGTGCCATTGTTGACAACCTGTCTCGCACGAGATGTCACCAGAAGCACTGGCGAGTCTCCTCGATGAGCCAGCTCTGGCAGCTCCGTCCGGTGTTACCGCAAATTTTGATAACCCACCGAATAGCAATACGCTGGCTTGGGTGGTAACGACTTTCTGTACCGTGGTACTCACAATATGCTTTCTCTTGCGAATCTTTGCTCAATTATGGTTGGATAGAAGGGTTGGTATCGAGGAAGGTGAGTGATGCTCTAACACCCTTCATCTTCCATTGCTCACTGAAGGAGCGACACTAACCTAAATTCCCTTTTCGAATAGTGCTGATGATTGGTGCATATGTATTGCTTGACACTGGTTCCCTTACTTGCTTGTACTTAACACAATGTCCCATCTAGGGCGCCTATTGGGGTACAGCTTACGCAGGGTATGCCTTGATCTACACCCCAGGGTATTACGTTCATATGTGGAATCTACACAACAAAGACCTCATAAGGCCTCTTTATGTACGTTGACCCGCCTGCAGGCAAACAGTATTGCAATTGACCATTGATTTGCCAGCTTATTCTCATTTACGGATGCTGTTACTCGACCGTCCTGCCTCTCATCAAGACTGCAATCCTACTAGATTGGTGCAGAATTTTCGTCCCTCTCAACCGCACAAGGAACGCCTTCTGGTGGGGATGTGTCTCCGTGATAACACTGCAATGTGTATGGGGTGTGCTGTGCATCCTATTATTAAACATGCAATGCAGGCCCCACGAAGCTATCTGGAAGTTCTATCTTCCAAGTAAATGCTACTCTCTTCCGGACGTGATGCTCACCTCTGCCAGCGTCCAGGTCGCCTCAGATATCACCATGTTCTTTCTCCCACAGCGAATCATCTGGCGTCTCCGAATGAATTGGCAAAAAAGAATCGGAGTCTCAATCATTTTTGGCGTCGGTATACTGTGCGTTTTCCAGATTCATTACCTGACAATGAAATCCAACTAACATCATCCTCTACCAGCGCCTCCGTCGCCGCATGCTTCCGCCTCTCCCACACCGTCGCCTTCGCCAACACAACAGATACCATGTATCTCATCGGACCACTATTATTTTGGGCCTGTGGAGAAATGACCTGCGGTTTCTTTATCCTCAGTGTACCCTGCCTGTCAAAACTCATCATCGAATCAGGACTGCCGCGTAGTGTGAAGCAAGCTCTCGGCTTTGGCTCAAAGCCCAGCGAACCATCATACGAGGGCTCGGAGCAACCACATCGCTCGGGGCAGTCTGATGCATTGCGCTTACATCCTATGGGGCCGTGGCTGAAGGGCACAGATACAATTTGGTCTAAGATAGGAGACGAAGACCATGGCCATGATGTTCTGAGAAATTCGGGAAAGTCGGAGTCTCAGACGAGTCTCCATAGAGCACAAGCTGACGGTCGGAATTGATCCGGGCTTGCTTAGCGCGGTATTCGAGTTAGGAGTTTCAAGGAAATTCTGGTTAAATTTAGATTGGATATGGAAATATACTTGTGACATACTTAGAGAATAGAGTTACTCACATCATTCGAGACTATGAGCCATACCAGTTAATTAAACCTGTCATATCTCGGAGCTTTGCAGTCGCAGTGGGAAATCATCTTCTTAAGGCCTCGGGCGGACTGAGCGGGTAAGGCTGAGCCAGACGCCTCATCGTTTGTTATCTGTCAGCCATCCCCCTCGGCGAACCCCCTTTATTTTCATGCATGTAGTAATTGATTATACCTTGTGGAATTTAGGCAATGAAGATTAAAGTGTGGCTGGAACCTTGAAAAAAGATTTGTTTAATAAAGCAACCGAGTGGAACGGGGCATCATTGCCTCCTGATGCATAAAATATATGTCGACAGCCACAAGGCACCCAAACTCGACACATTTAACGCCAATAAAGCCTCTTCCTGTAGCTACTAGCAAAAAACCAGCTACTATCATATGTCAATGTCCTCAACCACCCCCTAAGCCCCCCAAACAACATCCCTTATGGCCTTCCGATCCGGATCCTTCTCCCCCATCCTGGCAAATCAACCCCCCTTCCTCAATAACAACCGCCTCGGGGCGCCAGCCTCCACAATCCTCCCATCATCTATGACAAGGATCTGATCAGAATCGGTAATAGTCTTCAAACGATGCGCAATAACCAAGAACGTAGTTTGACACTCCGCCAGCGCAGCCCGCAGATTCTGCTGCACCATGTCATCTGTAGCCTTGTCCACAGCGGAGTTGACTTCATCCATAACTAGGATAGTAGGTCTTCGCATGATGATCCGGGCAAAAGGAGGAGTTGCTTTTGGCCGTGGGAGAGGTTTTCGCCGCGGTAGGCGATGGGTTGGGATAGTGGTGTTGGGGGCAAGTTGGGGATTGGAGAAGAGAGGTGGCTTCGTCTGGGGGTGATGTGTCTCTTGGGGAAATGGGATCAGGAGTGAAAATATGGTTTTGTCGCCAACCGGCTGCTTGGAGGGCTTCTAGGAGGATGGGGTCATCGTACTCGTTCAGTCGATCGAGGTTGGGTCGAACGGTCCCTCGGAAGAGGACTGGATGTTGCGGAATGATAGCCAGTCGCTTACGGAGCTGATTGAGTGGTATGCGTGAGATATCCACGCCGTCGATTGATATCTGACCGTCGGTTGCTTCAAGGAAGCGAAAGAGTGCTAGTGCAAGAGATGATCTGCCTGTTCCTGTGCGACCGATTACTTCAACACGAGTACCAGGGGCAATAGAAAAGCTTACTCCCTTTAAAACAGGGGGCAGATGTGTGGCATGGTAAACAACCAGATCGGAGACTTCTAGTCGTCCCTCTTATGGCCATGCCTCAGGTAAGGTCATGTTCGCCTGGTCTTCTCGCTCTGTTGGAGTAGTCGTTGTGAATAAGAAAATACGCTGCATGCTGTTTCTGCCCTGTTCAAGACTGACATAAGACTGAATTCTCAGTGCCACTATTGTTATTGTGACCTCCATCATGAAGCTGATTGTAAATCCAGCCAGGGATAGGCTGATTCCAGGTGCATAGACGATTATCGCAGCGGAAAGAGCCGAGAATACCGCGCCGATGAGGTTGAGTCTGGTTGGTTACTGGTGAGACGGATGTAGTGAACCCTGTGTAACCTATCCATCTTGATCCTTATAATAATCCGGTCGTAGTTGCGGCCGAGGGACTTTTGCTATGACCCAATTCTCGCGCCTCATTAGAAGTCGGATGGCGAAGATACTAAGCGTTACCGCTGCTAAAAGTCCGGCTGCAGATGATGCAAGGGAAAATGGGTTCTAATGAATAAAATACTTTGATCTGGCCCTTCTTGTTCGGTCTCAAGGGTAAAGCTAAATAACACCATGTTAAGCTGTTCGCGTAAGTACCATATTTCCATCAACAAAATCATAATCTCTCGTAGCCCCATTGCTGCTAATTCCATAGTAATAGTTCACCATAGCAACGAGGGAGTCTTTACAGAGGCGCAACTGTGATAGCCATATATTCTTAGATATTGCATACCGTGTTCAAATGGCACAACAGCAGAGCATCTGAGAGAGTTTGTAGCAGAAAATATGCATATGAGCTTACATTTCAGTGCTCCGGGGAAGAAGTGAACGACTCGTGTTCAGTCGGAAATAGGAGCGCGAGATAGAAGTAAGACAGACATTGCAATGAATATTACATAAATACAGGAGTTTAACAAACAGAGGTTCAATTTGGTTCTATATCTGCACACGGAATTTCCCAGCGTTCAACCGAAGCTACTCTAAGTAAACTTAGGAGCTATTGTACATGGTAGAAGCTCGATTGTACCGAAAATCATGACAACTGCACAATAGGAAGCCACATGTGTCTGGTTCATCTCGCTGCCATCGTCTGTACCTCGTCTCAGGCATTGCCCTGAGAGAGGTTGATATTGATAGGGTGGTTGCACTACCATTGGTCACATTGTTACTTAAAATGCCATTATGCAGCATCATGTCCTACTAAAGCATATACCTACATCTATTCCCCTCCAGAGTGCTGACCTATGTAACAGAGGTCCCCGGAGTATCTGGGTCGTTCATGTACTTTCCTGGCGCCAAGCCTCTCCGTCATTTTGGCCTGGTCTCATAGTCCCTGTCACCATCGTGTGGTTCTATCACCATCTGGTTTAGATGATCTATTTACACTTTACTTCCTGGCCATGTTAATCCAAAAAGTAAAGAACAATAAGATGAAAGATCGCTGGAGTAGAAGCAAGCGGATTATTTAGGAGAGGCACCAGGCCCTCAATTCACTGATCATTCTGCCACCACCTGTGCAAGGTAACACTCATTTAGTCTCCGGATCAAGCAATGGGTGTTAAGACGTACAGTGATCTGACTTGCTACTAAATAACGCTAGGGTCTCGCGACGTGGTCGGAGGCAGACAGATGCCTCAACCCTTTCCTTATTGACTGCGATCGGACACACATAATTGCTCTACATATTGCTTCCCAACATCACTTACATAACGAGTGTGAAGTGTATTCAGATGTCAGCTGCAAGGTGTTTGAGCCACTCAGCCAGACCCTGGCTCCCGAAGTTGCTTCTTCTATAATGTAACGCGAGCCTTCCCTTTCAGCATTATTTACAGTCACACATTTCGAGGTACAATATCATAGCGCAGACATTATCTTGAGCAGGCTTTGCGATTTAGTTCCTACCGACTGACATCGATTCATACCAGGCGAGCTATATCACGATACGTTCTTGTCCGCTATAATCAACTCTCCTCTGACCCTTCTTTGACCATCCTCTAATCATCCTCTAACCATCCTCTAACCATCATCTAACCATCATCTAACCATCCTTTAACCATCCTCTATCCATCCTCTATCCATCCTCTATCCATCCTCTATCCATCCTCTATCTATCCTCTATCCATTCTCTGACTCTTCTCGTGTCGTACGAAGCTGAAATTGGCCCCAATGAGAAGGATCGAAGTTGCACTGGATAGTTTGAGAGCTAGAAGGTGTGGCACCACGCGACATCTTCCCGAACATCGTCCGCTATGTCGTGAATTCGCGGCCAAAGTCACGCCAGGCATACCTTCCGTGACGGCTCGTGAGATGCTCGACTCCCAGCGACGTTCCCACGTTGGGGATATCCACCATCATCTCCGAACTAGCGGCATTCTGAAGATACGCCTCCAGTTTCCCGATGACGATAGCCAATATCTGGAGCGCATAATACTTAACCTATGCGCTCATTACAGGCATGGGCATCCTACACGCCACAGCGCTTCCCGAGGCTGGTTCTGGGATGTTCGCCCCAGCTCTGCTGGCCTGGAGACACGAGTTCCCCTAGCACGATCAGAAACCATGCAAGAGTTCCAATGGCACACTGACTGTAGCTACGAGAGCGCACCCCCGAAATACTTTGCGCTTCAAGTTCTGCAGCCCGATCGCTACGGTGGGGGTACCTTGTCCCTCATGACGATTGCCAAGCTTGCGCATCACCTGTCCCCGGCTGTACAGAAAGCTCTATTGGAACCGGAGTTCAAAATCAAGATTCCTCCAGAATTTTCTAAACAGCCTGACCAACAGCACATAATGGGGAACATCCTTGGATTAGACAAGATGGATAATTCGCTGGTAGTGAGGTTCCGGGAAGACCTGATAGAGCCCATGAACCCCAGGGCTGCGGCAGCATATGAGGAGCTGAAGGTTGCGTTGAATCAGCTGGCAAAAATTCCTCAGTCCATGCTACACCTGACAGGGACGGACTTTCCCGAACAGTCAATTGTCATACTGGACAACCTAAGTGGCTCCATGGGCGGGATGCCATCAAGGATCCTGCCAGGCATTTGCGTCGAGTGCGATGGAATGCAATGTCGTTCCCTTCCGTCGGCCAGGGTGGCACGGCGGGCTCTTAGAAAGGGCGGCCTAAGCCTCGGATAGGAAGTTTAGGAATGTATACTTACTCAATTTATTCATCAGCAAGTAGGGCCGCTGCTTCCGCTGTTCAGCTTTGCTACAGTAATGAGTTGGTAAGGGCATCTTGAAGTTTCTTACGTGCGAGAACAGGCAACATTTACTTGCGAAGGGAACGAGGATAAACCAAATAGCATACAAAAATAGTTAAAGGAAATGAATTGTACTACAGATCTCCGGTCCGAAGACTGGACGCATCCTTATACTATGCTCTTCAAGGATGAATATTAGTGGTACAAACGCCAATTAAAAAACCTATATACAAAGAATTACCCTATATTGTACCATATTATACGGTCGACAAGCTAATTATGATATATCCCAGTATTTGCGTGTAGCACTTGCCTAAATCGTGTGACCACAAAATTAGACTCAGTCTTCCATTTCTTCTTAATCTCATAATCAAGCAGCTAACATATGTGTATAAGGCCCATACGGTGCAATCAAAAAGTACAACGCCACTCCGGATAATCTCATCTCAAAACTCCCTACTCTCACCAATGCCACACACATCAAACACTCCTTGTTCTGGTAGACCGCTCTTAACCAGCGCATCCTTCAACAGTCGTGGCGGTTCCATTACATCCTCCTCCGCAACAGCCCATGTCCCCCAATGAATCGCAATAGCCTTCTTACACCTTGTATCTTTAAATATTTCTACAGAATCGTACGGGTTTGAATGAACAGTACTCAGGACATGTCGTGGTCTATACGCTCCGATCGGAATGAGTCCAAGATCAAACGGTCCAACGAACTCTCCGATCTCCTTGAATGCCGGACAGACTGGTAGATCGGCGTATTCCGGGCCCCAGTCATCAACGTCCTTCGGGAGGTGTGGAACAACGCGATAGCCTGTGTCACCTGCGAAGTAGACCGACTTCCCGCCGGAGAAAACGGACCAGGCGGCCCATAATGTTGTTGCTTTGTCGAAGGGAGTACGCGCGGATGTATGTTGGCAGGGGAGACAGGAGACTGTTGCTGTAGCTGAGATATAGTTGGGTGGTGGGATTGAAGTGGAGTCTGAAGTGTTATCCTTGGTCGTGGCGGCCAACTCGAGATTGACATTCTCCCACCAATCTAGCTCAATGACATTATCTATGCCACAGTCCTCAAACCACCTTTTAAGGCCCTTAGGTACGCAGAATTTGACTGATGGGTGATGTTTCTGAATTTCAAGAACTGTCGGGTACGAAAGATGGTCGTAGTGGGAGTGGCTAATCACAACCTTCACGACCTATATGTCAGGCATTATTGCAAACAGAACGTGGGTGTCAAGACCTACACAATCGATGATCGGAATGTCAGATATATCGCACGGTGTAGGCGTAAATCGTTTGTGTCCCATCCACGAAAACGGCGAACAACGTTCTTCAAACACGGGATCGAAGAGAACGCGTAAACCAGTAGGGAATTCGATGAAATAGCAGGCGTGGCCTAGCCATGTTGCACGCAGCAAGTCAGGGCATGTGGCAGCTGGGAGAAATGTTGGCTTTGTTACAGGTACGGTCGATAGAGTGGTGTCCGGCTTCTGGCTGTTCCCCGAGAGAAACTTGTGTCTGCAGAGCTTTATCAGACGGTCAATTCTGTTACCAAATGACGAGTGCATACCGCATCATAGATTTGAATATTTCCGGGAAGGTGAAGTCGCGAGAACTCTCCCATGGATTCCGAAAGCCCTTGACTTGCCCAGATTGACTTTCATCTCTCACCCAATGGGTCTTCTTGCTCGCACTCTCGGGTGCCGCTTTTGATGCGGACGGCGTGGCGAAGGTCCAGGTATATTTTCTTTTTGAGGTCATTGTGGTTGCAAATGGTGTTCTCCTATTTAAGTGCTGTGCGGGTTGAAGAAAGAAGCTGGGGCAGGGCCTTCTCCGCATAGCCACTTCCCGCAGTCCGCCCGATCTACCTCCTGGAAAGACTGTATATCTGGATACAGAATAGAATATATGCGCAACGTCAGGTGGTAATCTTGTTATCAAGGCGTAGCTGCAGGAGCTGGCGCTTAAGCCTCCTCGGGCTGATTTCAGGCGTCCCATTTTGCCGGTCAGATCCGGGCCACGAGCCAATCACACCTCTATCTGGTCGAAGCTTGGTTTCCTTGGTATATCCCAAAATAGAAGATGAGCGTATGACCCTTTTGGTGATTACTATACGCCCCCAGCCCAGGTGGATAAATAAACCTTGACTAGGCTTTGTTTTGAGACTTGCTCTTTGGTCTTGAAGTTCAACGAACAAAGCGTTGGGTTCTATTCGCACAGTCCACAAACCGGACAAACGAATCTCTTCTTCAACCAAACGGTTTCATATTGACCGCCCTAATACAAACTACCCCTGAAACACAAAGTCAAGGAGTCCCAAAGGCGATCCTCGAGGTACATGAACCTCTTTCAGTTCAAACCGGCTGTCGGCTCGCTTAGTAACATCGCTCCAGTCCTTCACCTTCCGCTCCTCGGAGTTGCAGCCAACAAACATCTGCATGTCCATCGATGCAACCAACTTCCTTACTGGGAATGGAGGCTTCGCGCCTGTTTCCTCGTCATAGTCCTCCGGCAAGACGAAGTCAAAAACCACCAAATGGTTTCCTGGCTTTAGGACGCCTAGCAAATTACGAACAACCTGCGACACATATTTGTCGGACAATCATGCAGGACTGACTTGAGCAGAAACACGTCTGCAGGGAGAGCCTGCGGTTCGAAGAAGTCATGGGCTTGGAACTTGATGCGCGAGGCATATGGAGTGGAATTGATGTTTTCGTCGAAGGCAGACTGCACCGAGGCGAGGTCCTGCACAACAATATTGAGTTTCGGATAATCTTCAGCAAGAATAACGCTGATATGCCCAGCTGATCCTCCAAGCTGGTTTGCTTTAGTATGAAGCTTCTGACATTATCCACGTAATAATAGCGGGACGGGGAAAACTCACATCAACAACGGTTGCCTCGTCCAAGCTACCCCAGTCGAACTGCTTCAAGACAGACTCAGTCATAACTCCACTCGTCATTCGAAGCCCCTGCATCGCCTCTGCAAAGCGCTTCGCTCGGAACCCTTGTGGCTGACCAGGTCGCTCAGAGTCATCGAGAAGATACCACAGATCTCTACCTATCTGATGGCCATCATATGTCGCCAGTGCGATTGCGCAGGCTGCAACATCCTCGGGAGGCTCGGATTGACCAATAAACCACTTCTTTAAAGCATCTACTCCAACAGTAGCAGCCGGTCGGACATCTTCCATATTATGTTCGAGATATGACTTAACGAACGGGGAACGTACAATGTGCGCTGAAGCCGCCGTGTGCACCACCCGATCAGAGCCAGGCGCTTCCTCTGCAAGAACGAAGATTTTGAATGCTAATCTGAGGAATCGTCGCACAATTTGCTCGGGCAAGTTGGTTGACTTTGCAATGTCGGCCTAGCTGGCTGAGCCATTGAGAGGGAGTCCCAGAAGTTGAAGTTGTTGAACACATCGAAGGCGAGGAGTGCATGGTTAAGCTAATCTGCGTTAGTATGTTTGGAGTATCCTGAAGGACAAAGGTGCTTGCTGTTCTGTATACTTACAAACATGCTTTGCTGAAACCAGAAGTCACTCGGGCCGACAATAAGGTGGTGAAGGGTTTCCAGCGTTTCCAAGAGCTTCAGCCTAGGGCCTTGGATCCCTACACTTAAGAGGCAAAGATGCTGGAGAATCGATCGCGAATGATGGTTCTGGCTGGTTCAATGCCTCTAGCTGATTGGCGAGAGACTTCGATAGATTAGCGATAATAGAGCCAAGGGCCTCAATGCCCTGCTTCGACGAACCCATATCAAAATAGTATTGGGGAGGAGACTGCGGAGTGATTTGCTATGAGCCAGAGTCCCAGAGAGCATTATGGCAAGGTGCAGATTTTATAGCTACCTTTTCATGCAGTCCTCCATTTGTTTTGTAAACGGTCAACAAACCCAAACAGGAAGTAATGTCCTTGACATGGAATCAGTACCGCTGGAAACCTCTGGATGTGAACCAAAGCCACTCTCCAATTCGAGAAAGCACATCGCTGAGATTCATTCCTAAAGTCTGCCTCGTTCGTGCTCCACCTCGTTTAAACTGCATCATATGCCGAAATATGCTAAGTAAAGGGTAGGAAATTTGCGACCCTGCTAAGCGGCTCATATCACACACCCAAGAACCCGATTCGGTCCGTGCACGCCCTGAACACTCTGACCGTCTCCTGCGACGTGGTTGGAAGAATCACTGATCTGCATTCCGCATTTGGTATGCCTGTCGGTGATACCGCACTCTGGCGCAGCATGACATCTTGTCAAGTCTTTGAAGTCACATTGATCACGCACAACAAACATGAATACGAAGCTTCTAGAACCAGCATGGGACCTATGGAAGCGTGCTCTTCGCACGGCCAAGATTAATCCCGCTTTTTACGGCGGCACATCATGCTGTTGAAGTTGGCCCGAAGGGTGTATGCTTCGAAAGAGTATTCTTTCGCATCTAGATCGTAATCCCTGATTGCGAAGTACTCCTTTCATTACTTAGACTTCATCGTTCTATTGGTGTCATATTGTTACCTAATTTGTCATGACACAGTAATACGCCAGGTCCTCCAATGATTCCTTAACCTAACCACTAGTTTAACCTACTATATAGTCACTCTGGCCGCCAAAGAAACCAAGTTTACTGTCACAATTATTCAGGCTTCCTGCCAATAACAGTCTGCCTGATCCACACATGAGATGCCCCATTGTATGTCTACTTCGGAACCTCCGGGAGAATCTCCTTCAAAAGCCGTCCTACTGCTTCAGTCCTTGTCTTCCGGGCAATCATATCGTGTACCATTAACATGCACTCATGAAACATGAAAGTTATGAGCCTGGGTCCTACACGAGTATCTTTCTTGGCATTCTCGAGCCAAACACTCTCAAATAACCGCGGAAGCTCAGGAACCCAGTGAGGCACCAGCCTGGGGTCTGCGGAGCAAGTAATCCGCACTATCCCCTCAAGAGCGGCGGTGCTGCATTCACCGTTGATCTTATCGATGCGAAGGGTGTGGATATCCACCTCTCCCCATTGAAGGTCATCACCAGGCTCTATAACCATGGGATATCAGTCTCTCTGGTCAAGAGCAGGATTTCACGCATAAATGATCATACCTACGAGTTCAAACAGTTTGCTGAGAATGATCTCGATCTCCTCATCTGATAGCACGAACACTAGACGACGACTTGAATCGGTAACGATTCTACAATCAGACTTCAGTATACTCACCAACTAATACTGATAGTCGCAAAATAAAAACCTACCCGGTTCCTGCAGCGATGTCTGCATTTTTGAGATTCGCGTTCTGGAGAGGTATGTCTGGGTGCAGGAGGTATCCGAATAGCTCCGTCGCGAATTAGTGTCCTAGGTTGATACTGTCCCCATCCCTTATAATATAGCCATCTTATATAGAGAAGGTTTGCACGTACCCATTGTTGTCAAGATAGTCCCGTGAGAAAACATATTCTGGTGGGGGCATTGTGATACTCTGTAGAAATTTTGGGCAACTTGGATAACTAAGCGTAAAAGGATAAATTTACTACCGTACTCAATATAAGATTTGAGGGTGGTCTGACCGCGTATCTACATCTGTAGATTGGTTAATTGCTCACACGGCTACGCGCAAGCTGTGTGTCTACTGTGCTTGTTAGATTCCGAGAAATCCCGCGGCGGTCGTTTCGCGCGAGGCGTGACGGGACGCCTTAAAATTATGATGATAGTTGATTGGCCTTCAAAAGACCCTACTATACACCATTTATCATATTTGATAATCCTTCAGCCTGTTAGAAGCAGCTTATAAATCGTGGGATGGTCAGCGAGCCCAACCAACATACAGTGCAATTGTTCTTGCTCTTGCTCCGCCAGAGCTACACCAAACCACTCGGCGCCAGAACAGATAATATGAAACCATAATATCAACACCTTATCCATCTCTCCTACGAGCTGCCAATAGTCGAAATGACGCCCGAGCAATTCAAATCTATCTGGGATAGAATATTTACCGGAAACCCAAATGAAGCTCGTTCATTCTGTGAAGAAGTTTTCAACCCCAACTATGTGCGCTTGGAAGCTGGCAGTGACCGAACGGACTTTGAGCGCGCCGTCGAGAAAATTACTTTCTTCCGCCAAAACTGCAGGAAAATCAATAGTTCCTTGCTATTTTTCGCTTACGACAACAAGAAGCTTGCTGCACGACTAATTTGTAATTTTGCAATGGGTGAGGAAGAGGAGAAGAAGATTGAGGTTATGATTATGGTGGAGCTTGACGACGAGGAGAAGTGGGTGTCTGCTTGGGAACTGATCTCTCCATATTCGGGTTGATTTTGGGGTCAAGTGCGACCGGATACATATTTTGCTTTTGTTGGGGCGTGAGCCTGAAGCATATACCGGCTCAATGTTCTATTATTAGAGGAATGCGAAGTACTTGGTGAGATTGTGATACTGGTGTATCCTCTTTCTACTACTTAGTTATAAACCCGGAATATGTTCGGGGGTTACTCTTGGCATATTTGTTCAGCAATGCACTACTTTAATTTTTATAGCGTGTTTCCGGCTATTGCTACTCGATTTCTAAATGAAGCATGGGTTGAGTCGAATAAAAGTTAAGAAGAACGATTCTCACGCAAATATAGAACCTCAGAAAAATGCTTTCTTTTATAACCCTGCCAGACCGTGAAATCGACAAAGAAACAAGGTATTCAGGATCTACAAGCGGATATGGGTTGGCGAACAAGATATAGATGTTACAGATAATGCAACAGGAATCACCAAACTTGTAGGAGATGAATTGACGCCGCCGTTGGAGGACTGGAAATGTGGTCTTGGCATATTGAGTCCTGGTATATTCTGGTATTCAACGAAGTATTGCTGTTTGCGTTTCTCAAAGTAACACAGAAAGACCGTAGCTCAGCTTTGGCTAAGCTCGGCAATATATCTCCTACGTGGTTTCTGGTGATCATATTCCCATAAAATCTTGATTCTCGACCGTAATGCGAGACATCGGCAATGACTACTTGAACTAATGATCTTCCGAATGATCAGGCAGGCTACTTATTACTACCAATCCAGACCCACCCGGTATGATTGAAAGAATTTAAATAGCTGCAGTCTGCCTCGGATGGATTGGACACAGTGATTTTCCTGTTCGGGGAAGTGACATGCTTTCTGTCACTTTCCCCATGGCATTTGGTGGACAGATAAGCGCACATAGACCTTGACATCTCTAATCGAGCGGTTGTTGGTCGCGACTTATACCTCGACCCGTATATTTGAGGTGGGCTTAGAAGTTATATGGGGCACGCAATACATTTCTATGATAAACAAGATTGCCTTCACCAATGTCATAAGAGTTGGGGTAGTGGATTTAGATCCTGCGTCTGCCAAAGGCCAAACAAGTACACTTCCGACAGGATCATCACATACAGTATATCTCTGCGACTGACCTATCGAGGAAAGAACATAATATGTTGACGAATTAGTGATTCAAAGACTACCAAAAGGGGTAACATTTGGTCTCCTTCATGCCCAGACCGTGTCCCGGTATCTTACGGATGGGTTAGGCAACTGGCTTCTCCAGAAAGCCCTCGTCGGATGTTATCCGAAGCGGACATACCCCGTGGGTATCCAGATCCAAGACCCATATTCTTGCCATGCTGGACGATATGCCTGAGATAGATGCAGAGCGAACTATCTCCTCTTGTGCATTTTTGAGGACATATTCATTATTCGCGGTGATTTAGCTGCGAGCTTCAAAGTGTATACCGCTATCGTTGATTTCAAAGTGGAATAAGTACTTTGGATGGCAATGGAACAGGACTTTGCAAAGGCAGGAAAAGTAGGTGCTGATGTCGCGCATCTTGAATCTATTGTCTATACAGGCTTCTCGGACGAAGAGGCCGCAATCCTACGTGCGTATGAAGGAAAACGAGGCAAGCAGGTTATCAGAAAGGTGAATATGATATAATTTCCAGTTAACCTCCAGTATTTATTTGACAAAATGCAAAGATTGACCGACATGTTATCCCTGTTCTCGGATTGCTTTACCTTTTCTCGCACGTTGGCCGTTCGAATCTGAGTAATGCAAAAATTAAGGGGATGGGTAGGGACTTGAACCTTGTTGGGAACCAGTACAACATTGCGAGCAGTCTATTCTTCGTTCCTTATATTATCTTCGGTAAGTTTGGATTTGATATTACTGCGGACCACCTCAATTGCTAATATGTATTGATTCGGCCCAGAGATTCTATCGAACGTAATGCTCAAGAAAACACGTCCAAGCTTTCGGCTTGCAGCTCAGGTCCTCACTTTGGGCATCGTGATGACATGTATGGGTGCTGTTCAAGGCTTCGCGGGATTGCAAGCTGGCGATGGATCTTTATATTGGAGGGTATTGTCCCATCCGCATTCAGCCTGTTCCTTACGCTTCTGCTACCAGATAGTCCCGGAAAAGTCCGCTGACTCATAGCAGAAGAGAAGCAATATCTCGATCTTCGCTGCCGACAGAGCGGCAATTGGCCCAGCACCGGAGAAGAAGATAGATTCTCCTGGTCATTGCTGCTCAATACAATGCTAGACTGGAAGATCCTCCTAGGGGCGCTAATGGGTATGATCAACGCCGCCCCTAATGCGGCATTTTCCTACACAATGCCTACAATCATCAAAAAGTTGAGCTTCGAATCGCAGGATGCGCAGTTACTGACGATTCCACCATACTTCTGCGGAGCTGTTTCTAGTTAATTGAGTAGCCGACTGGCTGATCGGTTCACTTGGCGTTTCCCATTCATCGTCGCGCCGATGGCCTTGTTGCTTGTATCTTTCTCGATACTCTTGATATTGTCAGCTAATGTTGACGTCTACAAAGGCTCGATGTATTTTGCGATCATTAGGTAATTCAGCTAGTATCGATGATACCTAATTGACAATAATATAACTCCGATCCATGAAGTGGGTTAATCATAACAACATGTTCTATTTGCTTATCTCACTCCAGCACACGAAACATTACGAGAAAATAGATAGTGAACAAACTAGCAAACCATCATTGAAGAACGGTACAGTGAAAACCTGTCTGAATTTATTTAACTCATTATTTAATTTGAAAGACTTGGGCGACATACTACCTATCTCGGTCAAGCAACAGTTCTATTATTCCACAGATGCCCTCCTCCCCCTCGAAAACACTATTAATCGTCTTTGTCTATAAACGAATGAAAGGCTGCCTCTTCTAAGACCCATTAATGGTGGCGAATCGCAATATTATTTTCGAACTATGGCCGCTTTCCAGCACTCCGAGAGTTTTCCCCAGTACTGCTGTGGATGGAGCCTCATATGGCCAACATGTGGTGAGCCCTCGAAGACCTCGAGGTCAACCGCCCGATAGCCTAGGGTCCTAACTTGAGCAACATTCTCTTCAAGGTCCTCGAATCCTATAATCTCGTCTTCCTTGGAATACAGGTACAGCCGACTGGACTCTCGCGTTGTGACCGACTCATTATTCATTACCCGATCAGCCCAAACCCCAGAAGGTTCCAGCCCACGCAACCACCCCAGCCCGGAGTGAATCCAGAGGATAGCAAACCACAACGCCTGCGTGACCATACAAGGCCATGGAAAGAATTTGGATGTGCCCACAGCCATAGCCCGCGACCAGCGGCCGGCTTGAGTGAAGATAGAAAGTCCGCCGGGTGTTGAATCGCAAATAAGAAGCTCATGGGGTAGTCTTTTGTCCGCGCCATGGCGTTTTTGGTAGGCCGTTATGGTAGCAGCCAAGAATATACCGCCGGTATTTGACATCGAATGCAGGAGAATTCGCTCTTCATTGCTGCCCTCCCCCCTTGGAGTAGGGAAAACAGTGTCAATAACAGGCATCATGTCTTGTATTCTAGCTTCAAGAGGTTGGTTCAGAGCCTGTAAGGCGCTTGACAGTACGAGAAGAATCCGAGCGGACGGGTACAGATCGTGGAAGCCATCGGCATATTTTGAGACATGCTTCGGCATACCGTCACCCCAGCCAAAAATGATGATTGTGGTTGGCTCGTCCTTCCCGCATGACTTGGATTTCTCTCTGCCATGGCGTAGGTACACTCGGTCCGACAAAGGAGTAAACTCTGCGGACAGCATTATTTGGCTAAACCCTACAACAGGCGGTGGTGGTTGGTTATGTGCAATTGATGTTGACCAGAAAGAAAGAACCATAGAATTAATGAATGAATGAACAAATGAATGAGTGTGTGTGTAACTTCAAGCTCGCACGGAAAGGACGTTCATGATTCTGGAAATGAATAAAATAAAGAGTTGGAGTAGCTTCAACCGTTGGGAAAGTGTTGGCGTCGAAACGAAAAAAAAAAAAAAAAAAAAATCTTTTGACGGTTTTCTTTTTTGGAACATCAACGCCACATCGTTGTCAAGGTTTCTAGTTCCAAAATGCCCGCCATTGTCTGCTCATCTAGCACAGACGTTGGGGATGGCTTCTACATTTTCTAATCATAACTGGCCTAGGACCTCGGTTTGCTTTCAGATTAGTAATCGGACGGCATTCTGAGATTCGACGACTTTGAAGTATGTACTATATGAACGAAACATAAGGAGCTGTGTCCTTCTTCTTCCCTTGTTGCGAGCCGAAAACAAAACCGTGCTGCTTATAATGACTTCTCTGAGCTACGGCGTATGATGCGAGAACCCGGCAGACTTGACACTGATTTCGGCTGTCTGCAGTTGATTTCTAGGGAAAGTGGGTCCGACGGGAGGATGCTCTCGTGGGATACTAGCTATGAGCGTTCTGATTGGCCAGTAGGAAGTCGGGAATGGCTTCATCTTTGACTGTGGTTGGGTCAATTCGGACGATTATTATTCTCTATCTGAAATCACTCTGACTTTTAATCGCATCATAACCGCAAAAAACCTTTTCTTCCATGTATATTTATAAGAAACAATGTCAGAATTTTGTAGATGCCTGTAATGGAGGAGCATAGACTGATGCATCATAAGCGGTGAGAGATCGCATCTCAGGTGTTTCCTTGTCCGAATAGGATGTTTAGATTCTGCCTTACATTTCTGCAGAGTTGTTCATTGTATCTGGACGTCTACCGTTCGACATAGCTGGATGGAAGTTACCGATGCAGTGCTCAAGACCAGATAAGTTAGTTAGGTGCCGATCAATGCCTTCCATATCATCGGAAGGGTCCGCACCTTAGTCTGTACTTGCATCACATCAAACCATTTAAAGAGACTCCGAGCGCCATTTGTTGGACATTTGTACACCGGCTGAATTACTGAAGATACCGTACTACCGAGCCCAACCAGTGTCCTACTGAACGTCACAAGAAATGGAACCCGAAAATAACACGTCCACAGACGACAGACAAAGGCTACTACAGGGATGGTGGGAATATCGGCTTCAGAACTGGTTTCCAACTGAACAAGGCTACAGTATCTCAGTCATGAGAGTCTCCCAAACCTACAGTGTGCCTATTGACATCGTCACCGTGACATATGTGCATTCCCGTTTAACTTTCCATATAGTTGCGGGCGAACGGGATATTGAGCACCCTAATCTTCATCTGGATTTACTGGAAGATGTAGTACGCGAAATTATACCACCAATCATTGCCCGCGGCGGCGTCCAAAGACTTTGTCCCTGGGGAGCAACTTTGATCGGCGATATATTAACGTTTTACAAAAGACATGACAATGATGACCATCTGACATGCGAGCCCTTCAGTGACCCGTATCAGCCAATGAGTTACATCAAGGCAGACTTTGAGATGATCACAACCTCTCCCTTTATCATATGGGAAGATCGTATAACTGACTCTCCACTTGACACACAAGTTAACGGTGCCATGGACAGTGATGAAAGTGGCGCTGATTCAGGGGTATCTGTTGAAACAGTACCATTAGTCGAAATCAACTACCGGCCAACCAACGGTAGATACCGTTACGTGAATTCTGTAGAAACTTCTGAAGAAGAATAAGTCAGGGAAGATGCAGTTTCTTTCAAGGCAGTTCAGACAGGTACCCTCAGTCTCAACTTTACCAATATGTCTACTATGACAAGTCGGATATAGCCCATGCCCTAAGCATAGTATCTACTATTACAGGTCTCAGCAGTTAATCGATGTCTTCGCCATCCATAGCCAATTATGTGCAGTAATAAGACAGAAACTTGTGGAACTTGTTCGAATGGTTGCAAGTTCCTTTACGAAATGGGGGAAGGGAGGCTCAAATTCCCCAGCTGCCATCTTAGAGAACCACTTTCAAGTCGAGGATATCGCGGCTCGTGCCAAGGATATTGTTATTCTTGAAAATTCGGGGAAGTACCGACCAAGGCATATCCATGTTGATGGAAGTTCCATAGAGTTTCACTTCCTAGTAGCACCTACAGTAATAGTATATGAAGCTTTCAGATCTCGCACTAATTCACCTTCCTAGACACCATTCCAGTATCTCACCGCCCAGAAACACCCTAACCATACCTCCTTTCTGCCTCGAGCCAAAGCTTAGCTCAGAATAAAGCCCACCATGGCCACAGAAACACTTGTTGGACACTGGAAATCAGGTTTAAAATGGTGGTTCCCTCGCAAAGAACGTTTCAGTATTAGTGAAGAATTTATGGACACCTTCGAGACAGCAATGTACATTTTGACGGTCTCACATTCTTATTCCCCAGTGACCTTTAAAATAGTCCTTGGCGACACAGACCCAAAGAATCCGAACCGACATATTCGATTATTGGCTAACCGGGTACGCCCAACAAGGCGCCTATACTCAATTCTGGGGGTAAAGAAGTCCATCCATGGGGAACAACTGTGACTGATGACTCGTTGGCAACCTACAGAAGGATTGGCGACAATCCCTTGTCTGTCTTCGATAGGTTCCCAGATGGGATGCCTAGTATTGCTGCAGCGGATTCACCTATGGCTTACGTTTTCGAAAGGATAAAAAGGGATTTCGAGGAAACAGCAGTTCGCGACAATAGCAGCGAGGGAATGACTCCTTCCCTGTCCGAATCAGAATGTGATGAATGGTCTATTGTCTCTGATTCCGATGGCGGGAGAGGTAGCGTTCCTATTCGTGCGAATATCGGGGCGCCCAGAGTATTCAAGAGGGAGTATTCCCCAGAGACAACAGCATACCTCGTGGATGCGCCTTCACACGGTTCTTTTGACTCTCATTCCGACTTTGTCGGAGAGACAGGAGGCCAGGAGGGTATGTTTAAACCACATCGGCCCAGCGGAACCTACGAAGGTCCTGCACCGACTGTGCATCGATGGCGGGATGAGTGCTGACTTTCAGACCCAGCTAGCGACTTTTACGAGTCAGACCGTGTCCTTGATGACACCTTCACCACTGGATCCCTTCACTGTCATGATATGCGATCGAATGGAAGAGATATAATGGTTGTTCATGAAGTGTGTGGAGGTACTTGGCTGTGTACTTTGCCTTCATACGTTTGAGGATTCTCTTGCGTTAAGTTGTATTTAAGAGTTGGAAGTCATCTGATGGCTGCCTTAAGTTGGCAGTCTGTCGTCGTGTGGTGTTCTAGGACATTTAAGAAATTCTCTATGTCCCCAACTGAGCCTCAGATAGTTGGAATGTAATCTAATCTTATCCGATGTGATCTCATCTCATCTAATCTATGCATGACATCCACGCTTCACCGGCGCGTCCATCTATTGGTCCGTTGGGGAAAGTAGTTTTTCCACGTGGATTTTTCCAACATCTAGGAGATTTGGGTGAGGCGATTGGGTACCCACCTTTGCTGGGGTTTGAAAAGGGTTGTGCCATGATGACAGAGTGAATACCGGTGGGTCAATCACTGGAGATAAGATGTTGTGTTAAACTATGTGGTATAGCTGATGTCAGCTTTGCTAGTCACAGCTGGTTATGCAACTATTGACACTCTGCTTGTTATGTATATTTCTGGCTTCGGCATTTCATTCCTGTCTAATGTATGCGATCTATAGTCGTCACCTCCAACTGACATCCTCAGATCCCCGAGATACGAGATACGGTGCGTAGAGGTCTCGATGATCGAACGTCTCTGGTAGAAACAACAGTGCCACCTTAGTCGCAGAGGATATATTGACTTGATTCGCCTGCTGTACGCGCAGATTATGGCAGATAGTCCTTGTTGATTTCTGGAGACTCCCAGCCAGATTGAGAGTATCCATGCTGACGACACCATATCCAATAAGCGTCCCATTGGCCATAACAAACTGGTTGAAGCAGACTCCCGCGCCAGCTTCTTAAACACGCGCGACTACGCGCTTCCCTAGCCTGTCTAGAGCCCTATAGTAATACGGGTTTTTGTTGGAGATTGAGACCGTGCCACTCCTCAATCCCTCAGCACAAGAGACACTAGGAATGAAGTCTATCATCTTCTGGTTGTCCCCTTACATCCGTATGATTGCTTGTGGCGCGTCCGTATGGACCGCAGGGCCTGATGTGGTCTTGGCACTATGCGGGTACCCCCCAGACCCGTAAGCAAAGGCATAGGCTACTGGAGGGAACTTTATAGTATTAGAATTTCACTCTCGTTCGATGATGCGTGTTGTTGAACGCCATAACTTGTTGATGTATTGAAGGTGGAGCTTCTAATTTTGCTTGGTATCATCTGGCATCTGCGCGCTCGGGTGCCTGTGCGGGGAAACTCCAGACGCATACTAGAAAGACAGCTGTATGAGTCGTGCAAGTATCTCTCCATCGCCTTTGCTGTATTGAAGTATATGCGGAACACGGGGACGGTGCGCGAACAAGTGATTACACAGGCGCTGGTAGCACTTCAGCAAGCCACTATGCGGGCGAGGACGACTGATTCGACCGTTGAGATGTACTCTCAAACACAGGCGAATTTTTGGATTCAGATAGTCAATGCTGCTTTGCCATCGCTGGATGATGAGAAGCGGTCGATTGATACTCCAGAGATGTCGTACGAAGCATTCCAGGACACGTTCCATCTCAATCCAACACGCTGGAAGGAGTATTACTCGAACAAAGTGTGGAATAGGGTGGCTGCGCGATCGCAGTTCTTGATGCCTGATCTCAAGCCGCTGCCGCAAATCATCGCAGCTCTCCCTAGCAAAGAAACTCGAAAGATATCGGAAGCAATACCGGAGTTTCCATCCACTGAAGAGCTTACATTTCGTGCCAGGATGGCCTGTGAGGAGTTGACGCCGACTCTGCGAAATTTAGGCCCCCCGGTCCTCAGTCACGCTCACCTTCTATTTTACATTCACAAACGAATCACACAAGATACCGGGGAAACGTCGCAGGAGAAGCTCAAGTCCCGAGCCAGAGAGCTTTTTAGCGAGATAGCAGGCCCGATTGTAGCTGGGGCGACACATCGAAACTTCTGGATCCAGCAGGTCGGAGTCGCAGTGTCAAATTCGAATATTGGTAGGGGCCATTCGACGTTCCCGGAATTTATTACGAGCAACCTCCACCTGGTCTTCGAGGAGCTGCATGGTATTTATTATGAACCAGAAGTCTGGAACAGCGCTGATGCAGGGGAGAAGATTCTCGTTCCTGACAGACGAAGGATGGAGGCAATTGTCGACACATGTCTGTAAGCATGAAACAAGTTGACCGTCCATCAAGAAATTGATAGTCTCAGGCGCGTATAAACCTGACCATAAATCTTTGACCTGCATGATCAAAAATGCATTAATAATCAAGGTTTTACCGGACTGAGATATCTAGAGGCGTGCGGAGACTCCAGCTCTGCCTCGAGCCCCGGCTGCCTCCAGACGACGTAGGGTCGGCTTGGGTGCTTAGCGCCCGGGAAGCCCTATTTTCGCACCCTGTTTTCGCGTGTACTTGCTTCATCTACCAGAAGACCTAGTTGATGCTAGAGTCTCTTGCACTGAATATGCGATGTGGTGCAGGGAACTATAGTCGTGTCCTCATGTTCATGACAGTAAAAGACAGGTTTCTAGGAGGAATGCTTCAGAGTCCTATGCATCCCCAAATTGCATTTCCTTTACAGGATGAAACAGACCAATCCTAAGTATTTACCCAAAGTCTGGCCGGTACCAATTCTAAAAGCCCTCAGCCTTCATCATCATATGATACTTGCTTCGCATCCGAATCCTCGGCCCGAAATGATAAAACACCCACGGCAGCGGAGCGAACGCCAAGGCAAAGAACCCCAACAGGCTCGAACCCCAGGGCACCCCCAAGCCGTCATATAGATACGTGCCAAACAGTGGGAACACTGCGCCGAAGATAGAACGGAACACTGCATTGGCTGCAAGCGCACTTGCGCCATATGGCCCGTAGCAGTCAGTGAGATAGGAGGTGATGGCGAGAAAGAGTAATATCAGACTGAAGCCGAAAGGTGCACCTGATATAATGCCCACAATCCAGTGCGTCGGGGGCATCGCAGTCCAACCAAACCAGAATAAGCTGGCGGGGATCAGCCAGGACAAGACAATGATATGGGGTAGTCGGGCTTCTGGCTCCGGGCCAAGCTTGGTGACATATGTGGCATGAATTTTGTTCACGTACGGCGAGGCGATTGTCGCTATTGCCATGCCTGTTCCCATGCCTAGGAATGAGAGACCAGATATACCGGAGGTCCAACCACGGGACTGTTCATATACGATCGGATACGCCGTAAAGTCCAGGTATAGTATTCCGTATATGAAAGCCATATAGAGGGATAGTAGAAAGAGAATGGGCTCCGCGAAGAGCATCAGCCAAGGGCGGGTTAGAGAGGTCATAAGTTGGGAGTTGAGAGACGGGCCGTCCTGGACGACGCCCTGACGACAAGCCTTATCTCGTAAAAGCTTAGGCGCATATGTTTCTGGCAAGAAGAGCACACATGCCGCATACACTACGCCACTAACGATGAGAACCACCCAGAAGTTCCATCTCCAGGAAAGGTACTCGGAAATAAACCCGCCCGCAACAGGCGCGAAGACGGGTCCAAGAAAGCTACCGGCGGAAAACAAAGCCAAAGGCACAGACCGTTCGCTTTGCGGCCAGAGGTCTGTGATAGACCCGCCCGAGTTTGTGACCGACGGAGACCCAAAAAAGCCGGCCAAGAATCGAAAGATAATTAGTGATGCTATATTTGGTGCCAATGCACAGCCGATCTGGAAGAGAACAAATAGTCCTAGAGTAAGCCGGAAAATGTAGTTGCGGCCACTATAACAACCCTCGACGCATGAGCCAGCAGCTACAGGAAAGAGGGATTCGACAGACTGACTAGACTTCAGACAGAGGAGCGAAGATTAGGGGCCCTGATGCAAATCCCAACAGAAATGTCGTTACCCCAAGAGTGGCGACGGTTCGTGAACAGCCATAAGTGGCAGTGATGAGGCTGGTTCCAGCGGTGTAAATACTCGAACAGAAGGCAATCACTCCCGTCATCACCGCCACGATCACCGTACACACCCCTAAATCATCGTTGGCATTTGATTAATTTCACTCTTCTATCACCACAGGCCTGATACGAGAAAATCTTACACTTTCTGGTTTTTGGCCATTGTCTGGGATCTTCCTTCTCATCGAGTTGGAGAAACCCCTCATTTGCATTAGTAATGCACTGACCGGGGGTCTCGGTCGCTTTCGGATGACCCATTTGATCCACTCCTGGCTCGCTGCCGCTGGCCCCCAGTGGAAGAATTGCGATGGAAAAAAAGTAGAATTGACGCTGAGCGATTCAAGGCCATCAAGACCGGGGGCAGCTCTTTTAAGTAGAATCATGGTAGCGCATTTGGAACCCCGGTGAGGCTGCTAGTCCTAAGGGACCGATGGTGATAACCCTTTCGCGCCTGTAACCTAACAGGTCTTAGGGTGGCCTATCAAAGGAGCATAAGCCTTGGAGCTAGAGCAGACCAAACCAGGTACCCCGGTTCAGGCTGACGTGGCTCATAAGGCTAATAATCGAAGCTTATCTCTCCGGGGCAATGTGCCGGGGGAAATTATTCTCGACGGATCTCATGATATGAGTCGTGTCGCCCTCTTTTGAACGCCCTTAGAAGCACCATTGCGATAACTAATTTGCGTTATCCTGTTGTTGTCTTACTCTGTTTGCGCATCGTCGGACTTGTCCGGATTTGGGCCCGATGAAGTTCAATATCATTTCTCTGCCTCTTCTCAAACTTCGGCTCCCTGATATATCTGAGTCTGTTGCTGGGATAATCAGACGTTGACAGCCCAATAATCACTTATTCCCCTCTTTTGGTGCCATGATGGACACCGGCATCGTTGCTTCAGATGTAGGAGATCTATATCTGATTATGTTTCTTCGGCGTCAACTTAATCGTATGAGGGCAGAAATTTTACCCACTAGTGGAACAAAAGGGTATTCTTTTGAAGCGCTGGCAATGCTCTGATAAACCAGCGCCCATTCCCAGCATACAATAGCACCCCTCGAAACCGAGTATCCGGAAGTTTCATCCGACTCCAAGGTATAATTGCAATCGAAACCAGACGATCTTCACAAGCGAGTTTTGGGGAGGACTCGTTACCCCTTGGTGTGTTTATGCAGGAGAGGCTCGATGTAGGACATTCTTAAGATCGTACAGTATGGCGTTATATTCCCTTGCCTTCACTTCATATAACTGCTGGGTGGCTTAGGAACTGATTTATCCTTCGTGCTGACGACGAGTTTTAGGAACCCGATTGACCTCAGTTCTTCATCAAGCGGAATCTAGATGACAATGCACATATCTGAGCGATTCTCCATGGAAGGCAGGTGGCTTCTTACTCAAATGCTGCCCAGTTTATAAAACTCGAAGAGAATTTCATCAGAAGGGAGAACCCGATCGTTGGATCGCTCGGACGATAAAGTCACCTTGCGAGCCTGGGGTTAACTTAGCGGCTCCTTTGACCAAGTGATTATCGAAATTATACATCATTCAAGCGTGGGAAGGGTCGATGAGCCATGACGAGTTCCACATATCAGGATTAACATGTCAGATTGATGACGTCCATGACGATCAGGGTCCTGGTTTCGCGTTTAGATTAAACATGCCAGCGAGATACTTTCCGCGTTCGGACCGATCCACTTTCCATGCGGCTTCCTGATTATCCCTTTGCCATCCCAACTTGATCGACAGTCTGGAAATTATACCGTCTCACAGTTCGCATGCTTTGTTTAAGGTAGGATATCCGGGGAAATACGGGACCCCTGATCGTCGTTGTGTGAAAGGATGAAGCCGAAGCTCCGCGGCACCCGATTGCCGCAGTTGATGCTTATCGGAAAAGCCCGCATTATGCTATAATCGAGCATCATATACGCCATAGGCGTCAATGGCTGACTATCATGGAGACATAAATGATGATATATTGGCGTAATTTGTTGGCAGTAGCAATATTTTCCTTTCTCTGGCGTCCAGTCAAGGCAGCTTTTGACCTTCCTCCCTAAACCGATACTCAACAATTGACGCGTATGTACTCTCTTCATCAGGGCGAGGAACCGAATAGCAGAACAAAATGACTGAATACTTGGAAGAGTCCGATGCTTCGAAGCTGATTCCGCATCTTGCCTACCCATCATCTGGAGCATCCCAGACGGACCACCAGTAATGGAGGATGCGCTGACAACTATAAAGGTGGCTTACTAGTACGACTAATCAATCGAGCTAGCATCACCGACTGTGTGAGGGTGGTCGTTGACACGTGATATAACCAAGTGAATTGAATGACTGAGGGTCGACAACTCTTCTTCATGCTGCTGACTGGGGACGCTCCACCGTTTTACCCCACAGATCAGGAGCATTTTCCCTTCAGTTCTCACCACATTCCAGAAATATTCCCGCTCAGAGAAAGCAGCTTCATATAGCTCACTTTGAAAGATGCAGAGACGATACCAGAAGAAGAGAAAGCCGAAGCCTCGCCAGGTAAGCACAAGCGTCTCAATTGAACCGGTCGAAACTACTTAGCACTCTTCAGAGCGGCCTCCTTATATGTAACCTGCTAGCAGTGTAACTGACCGGTTCAACCAGAGTACTCCAGAGAGCTTCCACACCGAGGAAAAGCACAGTGATTGTCGCAGCTCTCCGTCTAGTCGCGAAACAGATATTTCCTCTAACTCATCTTTCCCGATCTCGCCCCAGGCAGTCTCCGCCCCGAATCGCCGATTTCTCCCGGACGAACTATACCCAGATCACTTCACTTTGAGCGACATCGAGGTTCCAGTAGGCAACCTGGTCTTTCTCGCATGCCCAGGCTCGGAAACAAAGTGCCCCCATTGTAATCGCCATATCTATCATCTTGACTGTATCGTAATTGCAATTGACGGTGCGTGTCACAATAATGGCAAAAACGGAGCCCGGGCGTCAACTGGGCTTTATTACGGCCGTGACCATCCAATGAATGACAGTGTCACTCTTTCGCCAGGACTCAAACAGACAAGCCAGGTTGCCGAGCTCGCAGCCTGTCAGAGAGCTCTGCTTGCTGCGCACGTCATGCAAAAGTACTGGGACAAACTTACCGAAATGGCAGGAGATGGAGAAACAACACTTCACACCGTGGTGATCAAGTCAGACTCGGAGTATTTGGTGCGCGGAATAACCGAATGGTTCTTCAAATGGAAGGCCAATGGTTGGACTACTGCAAAGGGCTTGCCTGTTGCCAATGAAGAGCATTTTCGTTCGATTGAGCGGTATGTGAAGCTTCTCGAAGATGAGCAGGTCATTGTCAAGTTCTGGCATGTTCCAAGAAAATACAACCAGGAGGCGGATAAGCTGGCAACATCTGCTCTCGATGGTTATTGAATCGTTATACCCTTATTCGGAGAGGGTTTCGTTTATTATGATGTGTCGGATGTTTATGTGTACTTGCTAGTTATTCTCGCAGCTGGTGCTGTCACTGCAGATGTCCAACTTATCTTTTAATTGCTTTATTGAACCCCGTGGAGAAAGCGTAACAAAGCTGTGTCAAGTAACAAACCTTCATAGGTATTATGGAAATCATTTTCCTTGATTCCTTCAAATCCAAAAATGCGGGGGCGTAATAGATCGATGGAAAGAAATACATGGAGAAGGTCTGCTCTCCTTATGCCTAGAATGTCAGGAATGGCATCAATGCAAAGACTCAAGGAGCGAATGTGACGATCTGAGATTATGGCACATTCTAGTGACAACATCTTTCCATTGTCATTCAACAGCATATCCCCATAACACCCCCCGAAAATACATACTAGGGGGCTAAATGCCAGTTGTATTTGATCTGCATAGATAGCCAATCCCCCAATTACCCCTGAGGTTTAGACCCGTCATGAAACTACTCTCGTCCCCAAATATAGACACTGCCTTCCCTGTACTGTCTCCTCTGGACATTCGTTGCTGACAGCCTGTACAACATGGAATGTCACCGTTACGTTAATTGTGAGGATTCGGCGAACACCAATTGCTGGGAAGGTGATAGAGGGTCTATTATGGGACGTGTCCGCTCAGAGATCTGAATCATGCGTCAACCCATGAGACTCTGACTGCTCAGCGCAGACGGCATCTTCTCCTTCATCTGCACTGAGATGAAATGAGACAAGAAGCTCTCTTTTCTATATCTACCCCATGTCTAAGCCTGAACTAATAAATAATGCATCTCACCCTCGACGCGCCTACGTGGCTTAGTCTTAAGCTCTCAATCCCTCTCTTTAGACGGCACGGCATCTATGGAAGGGGAGCTTATGTCTCTGTCTCTGTAAAGCTGTGACATCCTTTCTGCGCTCCCGCAGATGTAGACGGAGATATATAAATGTTAACTACCGACTACCGACTATCTATCGTCAGCAAATGGATATTATCGACCCTTGTTGAACAGTATGATATCGTTGGATCTCCGGCAGACAGTCATGGACCGTACGACACGCGAATAATTGGGCGTTATCAACGCCATTCACTGGTTAGGAACGTTTGTTCATTCTCTCATTGCAGCCTGGACATCCAATCAATATGATGGTAATATGGGGATTTGTGTTGAGATATTTCGTTCACGTCGCCACTACTCTTCATTCCACTATACCGAATGATACTGTCCTCATCATTCCTCACTTTATCGTCGGTGCGAGCAGCTGCAGCCCCGTTGTTGTTGTTGAATGAGATCTCCCTTTTAAAACATCCTCATCACTCGAGTGAGAATACTCTTCACCAGAAAGATCTTTGGGAATATTCATGTGGTCTGAAACCATCGTGTATCTGATCTGGGCGCACCCCTTATACAGAGCAGCAAGTGCTGCAAACACAACCCTTATAAGTAGGAATAGTCGCACCTTGATGATATAATTGAAGATTATCTTCTTCTGTTCCTCGAAATACATGTGTTCAGTTAGGGCAACAAGATAGACTAGTTTAGCAATTATTGATCCACTGAGGCCTTTGATTGCCAAGAGGGATAGGCACTCCTAGCGTTCATAATTAGCGGGGTCGAGTCCACACAAGGTATCCTGGAAATAGATTGAGATTATAATCCACCCGGGCCAAAGAAGGAAAGAAACACGGGTACGAGTTATATCGTAGATACAAATGCAAATCTCTACCTAATGGATTCTCTCTACTCAACCCTCATAGTTTGTCTCGTACTAACCAACCGTTGCATATGCACCCCACAATGATGCTTTTTTATTTTTATTTTTTTTTCTTTCGATAACCTCATTCCCTACTGTATGGCCCGCGACCAACTGGCACAATACGCTTTTACGACACGCATTGGCACCTTGGCAAGCATAATTTCCATGCGTGCTGCGTGCAAAGTGACCAGATGAGACATGACAGCAAAACATAGCACGCAATCCCAACTACCAAGACACTATCCGGGTACGATTCCCTAGTTTAGTAAAGTCTCCATTCTTTAAGTCGGTGCCTAGACGTTAAATCCGATTTGGGGGTTAGCACCAAGCGGGACCTGAGCACGCTGCATATTTTGGAGAGCTGCACAACATGGGATAATTTTGGACTTGGCAGTTGCTGTTTACATGGCCATGTAAGCTCTTTGTCATCGAGTCTCACGAAGTCGGAACTATTGCAGAAATGAGAAAGCTATTAATTCTCAATGTGTTCTTTGCCACACGTACTACCCGGTTGATGATATCAAAAGCTTCACAATGCTCATGGCGGGCCAATCAATACCTATGGTCATGCGCAGGATAAGCGGAGCTCACGACAGAGAACTGTTCGAAGGATCATTGCATATTAGATCCAGAATCCTTCGATAGCCCGATGCCGTCAAGCCTGCCATGAGCATACCACATAGAATCAAGTGAGTATGGATCTGAAGCCGGCTCATAAGATAAAGCACCTGACTAACGCTCGGTCTCCATTAATGAAGCATCCCGGGAGACACTATGATAGCAATCGACATTCCTTTACAATGATGAACTTTCAGTGACCTCCAGTATGGCCAGGATTGATGCCGGAGCATCCCGGATCGCTCAGGGCGCGCAATTCTGTCCTCCACGCTTCGGCCCGCTCTAAGAACATAAGCGCCAAGCCCGGCCGACAACGGACAGACAAATTCCGCGGTCTCCGTATGATAATTTGAGCATCCTTAGTAAGTTAACCTAGAATAGTGTACTGGAATCCCCAACGACAGATCGCAAACAAAACCAGATAAGGTAGTGCGCATTTCACCGGTCGAACCAACCTCGGATTCTCGGGTTCGGGGCAGGTTACCAGATTGATGCTAGATCCATTTTGGCCTGACGGTGCAGTTGACACATCATACTTAGTTATAGCACAGTGCGATTGTTGCGAAAGCCAAAATAAGCTCAAAGGCAATGAGACGACGCAGTGCACACGAAATGCTCTTTGACTTCGTGCGATGGCGTCATCTTGGAATTGTAAGTAGTCTGGCTATTGTGCTTGATTGGGGGGTATACCGGTTTAATATTACTTCTGCCTAACGAGCCCCTGATGCTGATTCGTTGGCTCTTAAACAAACTGTTGATGCTGGGTCAGGTGTCTGTATGGCATCAATGCCGAAGCGGAATTGACTGTTGGCGCTTGGGTCTCGTCTTTGGCTTTGTCCCCGCCTGTACCCCATGTCTGCTTCCGCTAGCCTGTGAGCGGTGTCTTGTTGTTGAGTACTCGATCAATATCATTCGCCAGTGTGCCTGTTGCTAACTGGGGGCCATGATAAACGAAGGATCAGATCGCGTGTGTATCACGTTACAGCTTTCAAGTCAAGAAAGTATTTCTCCGGACTTTGGAGAAGCCACAAACATCATCACGCTCAGTTGTCCGACTGTTAGCTCACTCTGCTTCCACTAGGAATGGAGGGTTTTCCAGAAGGATTCACCAGCGTCAATGGGAGTGCTCTGCGTTCATTGGCGATAAAGTGCTGACCCTATCTAACTGGGGGCAAGCCGTCTTGCCGAGGCTTCATCACGCGTGCTGCCCCACTGTAAGTCTAGGGGCCAATCATTAACATGTGTAGATTAGCGGGTAGGCCGAATCGGTTTCACGCGCAGGGCAAGGAGTTGTCTCAATCAATAGTCCGCCAGTGATCTTCCAGCACTCTCCTGTTTCACCTGAGGTCGTAGTGCGCGTCCTAAAAGAGAGCCAAGCATCGAGTGTCACGCATGGAATAATGTATGCATTCTGTAATCGCGCGGTGGTCATTGACATTGACCCTGGCCAACTGGGCGCTAACCAATCCGCCTTGGAAAAAGGTAAACTTCAAGTTTAGTGCGGTAGATGACGAAGCGAGCGGGTCCGAGTGGCTGTCAGCGGCGGCACTTATCGCTCGTCACTCTCCAGTCGTCACAACTCGGGCAGGCCATTCGCAGGATATCGTCCGCCACAGATCAGATAATTCCCCCGGATAAAGACACTTTGAGTTTCCTTGCTTTTTCAATCGTTACAGCCGAAGCGTTGTCTTGGCCTCACGCGGGCAACCTCCGTACCAAGTCCAGACACCGTGGCCAACTGTATTTTCGGAAATAGATTCATCTTGCGCTGTTGTGCCAAGGACAACAGATTGAAAGTATCTCGCAGCGCTGGGGCTGGTACCGCCACTCAGTGGGGAAGAATTATTGCCAGCGACCGTCCCAAGCCCCCAATGGCGCGAAGGAGAAGATTTCACGGACAGGATAAGTGATAACCTCGATAGTGGAGCCAGCTTCAGGTCCGGATCCACGGTGGCTTTCTTGGCGGTGCTGGAGAATGCTGGGTAAAAGCCAATCACGACCAATTGCGACTCGTTCGCGTCGTGGTTGGTCTCCGCCGCGAATGGATATCGGCTCCGATGGATCGCTTCGACGCCGCGTGGATGGGGCGCTTTGGCATCCGTTTCGGGTGTTGAAGCTGTTGGAGCCACCCTCTCCTGAACGACCAACCCGACCGTATGCGACATTCTTATTCTGGCTGGGATTCCACCTGCCTGGGGGCAAAATTCGATGATATGATGAGTGCCGACTCTGCGCCTTGCCGTCGCTCCCGAGAAGACTATCGTCCCCGATAGTTCCTTTTGTTCCGCCTTACCCCAGATCCGAAAGTTTGTCTCCTTTCCTCCTTCCCTTGGACAGCTCTCGTCGCTCTGTCCTACCGCGATGATCCAATGTCCTCGTGGACTTCCGCCCTCTCTCGCGCCAATCGCCTACGTTCAAGGCTCTCAGCCCTCCATGTCGTTACGATTGGCGCCATCATCAGTCTCTCCTATCTCTTCTACACCTTCGCCGTTCCCCAACTGAATCGACTGAGGCTTCGCGCGGATCTGAGTTGGTACGACCTGGGATTATACGGTTTTGGTCCCTCGAAAAGCTATGTCTCCTTCGAATACGAATCTCCCGCGGTACAAATCTCAGAATGGGAGTCGGGCTGCGACTCGCGATATACCTTTCTAGCCCCTAGGGGTGACTCGGTGGCCCAGCCCGGACCTATGATCCTTGATTCCAGGGGGGAGCTGGTGTGGATGAAATACAACTGGGACGTGACTCAGGACTTCAAGGTCCAGCGATATCAAGACACAGACTATCTGACATATTGGGAAGGTGGTGAAACCGAAGGCCGAGGCTATGGGGCCTGGTATATGGTAGGTGTCACACGACCCTGTCGCATAGAGTAGCGTGCTGATCTGGACAGCTGGATTCGACATATACCCAACGATATGTGATTTCCCCGGTAGGAAATTATGGTGGCGATCTCCATGAATTCCACATCACCCCGGAAGGGACGGCTCTCGTTACGATATACGATCCAGTACCAGCCGACCTGACTCCTGTTGGTGGCCCCGAATTAGGGTGGATATATGACGGCGTCTTCCAGGAAATAGATATCGCTACGGGGGAGCTGATCTTCGAATGGCGCGCATCAAAGCATTATCCCATAAACACCACATACGAGCATTTGGGCAAGTCGGGAAGAGTGCGCGGGTTTGCGTTTGACTTCTACCACATCAATAGCGTGGACAAGGATGACAATGGGAATTACATCGTCTCCGCACGCCATACCCATACCGTGAGCTGCATAGACAAGGACACTGGTGAAGTATTATGGACCTTGGGCGGCAAGCTGAATGAGTTCAACGATCTTTCAGATGGTCAGGCCACCAACTTCGCCTGGCAGCATGATGCACGGTGGCACGCTAACAGTACCTTGACCCTTTTCGACAATGCATCACATTCGAGCAATGATCCGGATAACCAAAGTCGTGGTGTCGTCATCGAACTTGACGTTGCCGGTCGCCAAGCGTCATTGCGCGCTGAGTACTTTCATCCTCAGCAAATGCGGTCCTTGTCGCAGGGAAACGTCCAAGTTCTAGACGACAGTGGCCGAGTCCTAGTCGAGTGGGGCCATAGCGCTGCATTCAGTGAGTTCAGTGCCGACGGACAGTTGCTATGTAACACCCATTTCGGTGCCTCTGCCTTCTTCGGGTTTGGCAGAGTAGTATCTTACCGTGCCTATAAGGGCACCTGGGTTGGCCGACCGCAGACGGTCCCCGATGCCGAAGTACTAGGAAACCACGTGTATGTGAGCTGGAATGGCGCAACAGAGGTTGTTGCGTGGCGACTGGAAGTTTGGGACTCGGATGATCTGAATGACAATACGTTCCGTGTTGTGTCCCAATTCCAGAAAGATGGCTTCGAGACTGAGATCGAAATACCAGAGGGTCTCGAGCTTCCTTTGTTCCGCCTAGCGGCATTAGATTCCGATGGTAATGTTCTAGGCGCCACCGAACTACTCCAGCGAGAGCAGGGTGGAAGCTTTGAGCAAGTCATGAACCCTCAGTACTGGTTTATTGTCATGGCCTTTGTCATCAGTGGAGTCGGCTTGTTTGTTGGTCTCTATACGTGCTGCGGCTGGGGCCGTTATTTCCGTCGGTGTCGCTCACGGTCCAGTGAGTACCAATTGGTTGCCTTCAGCGACAGCGATGGTTCTGTTTGATGTGCGGATCGGACGTGACAAGCCGCTCCGTTTGTATATATCTGTCTCCATCTGTATATATGATACCCTCATTCCAAAATTTCATTGGGAGCATTACTGGTTTATTGCAGACTTTCACGTCTTGATCGATGGATGTAGGACAGAAAATTATCTGAAGAGGACATGGAGTTAGTCCATTATGTGTCTACGACGGTGAAGTTGAAGAACTCAATGTCTAGGACGCTCACAGCATGGGATCGTCATGGCCGTCCAGAGCGTGCCAGGGCACTGCTGGTGCTTTGAGAGCGATTCATTCGGATGGTAAACCATTCGCCATAAGGATATCACGACTTCAGTGGAAAATGCTACATTGAGATGAGAATGGAGAATGATGCAGAGGAGTAAAGGTAGTGAGACCTATGCAGACGAGAGTATAGATTCACCTGACTATCCCAATCCGGCCACCACCAGATGTGCTGACTCAGCCTCTCCGGCAGGCACACGGGCACCAAGGCCCTCAGGCCGCCAACCCCGGTTATCCACGGGGATCGGGGCGCATTCCCCGCATGAAGCAAGATGCCTTCATTGATAAACCAAGGGGGAGGGAGGTCTTTCCCGTACCTTCCTCGTTCTCCAGACGTTTTCATTCTACTGTCTGAACCTCTAACATCTCGCCAGTCCTCCATGATGCCTTCACTCCGTCTCCCCAAAATACCAATACCCCGACCCTCCTACCGGGGATACTCCACCTCCGCACCATCCCCTTCTTCACGACTGAACCTCCCCATCGACTACAGATCGACACCGCTCCTCCACCACACGGCCTCCAGCCTTTCAAATCACCCAGACCTACCCAGCAATCCTACCTCAAAATTTATCAATCTCTATCAGGCCATTAACTCCGCATTACGTACCGCCCTCTCCACCTCCAACAAGGTGATGCTCTTCGGCGAAGACGTCGCTTTTGGCGGCGTCTTCCGCTGCTCGATGGACCTACAGACTGAATTCGGCTCGGAACGAGTCTTTAACACACCGCTAACAGAGCAAGGGATCGTCGGCTTTGCCATCGGCGCAGCAGCTCAGGGGATGAAGCCCGTCGCGGAGATCCAATTCGCGGACTACGTGTTCCCGGCATTCGATCAGATCGTGAACGAGGCGGCGAAGTTTCGGTTCCGGGAGGGAGCAACAGGTGTAGATATTGGAGGGATGGTGGTGCGGATGCCGTGTGGTGCGGTCGGACATGGTGCTTTGTACGTGGCATACCGTCTCCCGCCTACTATTGCTTCTTGTGTACGGGGGAACTATGGCTAACGTGATTTATCACGAAACAGATACCACTCCCAATCACCGGAAGCACTATTCGCACACGTCCCAGGTGTACAAGTCGTCATGCCTCGCTCCCCATCCCAAGCCAAAGGCCTACTCCTATCCTCTATTTTCGAGTCTAAGAATCCCGTCATTTTCATGGAACCGAAAATCCTCTATCGTGCCGCAGTAGAACACGTCCCAAGCGAGTACTACACCATCCCACTAAACACAGCCGAAGTGGTTAAGCCAGGGAACGACCTGACGATAGTCTCGTACGGACAGCCTCTATACCTCTGCTCCGCGGCCATCGAAGCAGCGGAGAGGGCATTCGGGGCGAGTATCGAGCTGATCGATCTGCGTACAATCTACCCGTGGGATCGACCAACGGTATTGGATAGCGTAAGGAAGACCGGACGGGCGATCGTCGTCCACGAGAGCATGATCAACTACGGAGTTGGCGCTGAGGTGGCTGCTACCATTCAGGACGGGGCGTTCTTGCGTCTCGAGGCACCGGTTAAGAGAGTCGCGGGGTGGAGTACGCATACAGGTCTGATGTATGAGAAGTTTGTGATTCCGGATGTTGCGCGTACGTATATCTATCCCATGCATTTCTGAATCATGCTAACGATACCCAGGGATATACGATGCGATCAAGCAGACACTTGAGTATTGATGGACAGACATATTGGCCAGAGAAAGATGTACATACTAGGACCCGAGATCCAACCCCTTAGTGTCCTTGCTTATAAGACTACTACCGAGCGGCATTATGATAGACAATGTCAATTTACCTACATACATTTTCCCATTCTCCCACTCGTTATTCCTTATCATGTGCCCATATTGCAGCTCAGTCATAGATCATATGCATACATGCATACAATATCCACATCACCATCGGCAACTACTCCCACCCAGTGGCACGTCCAGGAAGTTTCCCAAACTATATAAGTACCCGACCGGCAAACAGCGAGCGCACCCCACCGAACTAAAGCTCCCGGGGTCAGCCGTAAAAGCCTGTGTTCCGGTACCCCCACGAATCTCCCAAGCCTGGAAACCTAAACTAGTCAACGGAGATATTCTACCAATAACTTACACAATATCTAATGTTGATTACCACCTTATCTTACTTGCAACGATATCAATATTCCCTTTGAGCCTTCCATACATATACATTTTATACTACTTTATACATACCTCCGACGAGGTAAGAACAAGAGGCAAAAATTGCAGCTGTCTAGCAGCCACAATGTCCCAAATCACATACATACATACACCATCAACCAGCTCCAATTTTCATCTCAGCCTAGTAGTCAGAAACAGTAGCGAAAGTGTCCTTGGAGATCTTGATAGCATCGGTGTGCCAGGTCTTGCCCTTATCGGAGGTGGTGAGGCCGTTGGAGGAGGAACCGCTGTACAGGGACAGGGTGTCACCGAAGTTCTCATCGGCGGCGCTCAGGTGGATGGTGAGGTTGTTCCAGCCTGATTATTCCATGTTAGATGTTTTATTTGTTAAGAGATTAGTGGGGGAGAAGAGGAGCGTACTGTAGGACTGGAGGGTACCGCAGTCACCGGAGCCAGTGTAGCACTCGTCTCCCGAGTAGAGGTAGAGGAGGGGATTGTCGAGGGCTATTTTATTTTCAGTTAGTATGATGTTCATCGATGTGAAAGTGGTATTAGGGGGAACATACCGTCGCTCTCCTTGGAGACGGTCTTGCCGTTCATGGTGACGACCTGGTAGACCTTGTCGTTTTCGACGTAGACTGTTTGGATTCTATGTTAGGACGGCGGTCCATACTATAATTTGACCTGGTGTTTGAGCTTACCCTCAAAGTCGACCTGGGTGTCCGCGGGGACAGTCACGTAGGCCTGGCCATTCTGACCATCTAAATAGATCATTAGTATACCAGTTCGGATCCAGGTTGGAGACTGGCATCACTGACCAGGAGTGTACGTGCTAGCGGCGACACACCACTCGTCATCCGGGGCGGGGCAGCCCCTTAGTTGATTCGTTAGCATACTCTTACTAGAATCATTGAGGTGATGAACGTACTGGGACTGGTTGTCGGGAGACCAATTCAGTAGGGGCTGGTAGAGATCGGCGTCGTAGTCACCGGCGGTGGAGGAGAGACCAATCCACAGGGACACCCAGACCTCATCGTCAGTGTTGTTCACGGTGTAGTTCGAGGGAACATCCGGGGGCACCAAGGACCAGGTGGCTCTGGTGATGTGCGCGTTGGTGGGAGGACCGGTGTAGAAGCCGTTTCCGAAGGCCCAGACATCACTCTCGACGGCAGCAGCGCGGGCAGCGAGGGCCAGAGGAATAGCGACGGAGGAGTAGCGCATGGTGATTGATATGGAGGACTTTGTTAAAGAACGTAAGGGTTGAAGCGAACCGGTCGCGAAGAAAAGAGTGACAAGGCAGGAAAATGGACGAATGCAGGAAGGATGAAGCAATGAGCCGACATGATCACCAAGGTGCCGGAGGGCAGTTATAAAGGTCTTGAAGGCTGCTCGAGACGAAGGCTATCTCCACCTTGAAATCAGGAAGGGTTCAAATCCCTTCTGGCGCAAGTATTGTCTCAGGAGCAATGGTGGATCCGCCAGGGAGTGGAGTCGGCAATCAAGCTTGTTTTAAGTTGAAACGTTAAATAATGCCGCCCTCGAATTGTGCTCACCACAATTCCTTTTCGAACCCACACAGCTGAACACGTCAGAGTTCAAAAACTAACCTTCCGGTGTTCGTTTTATACTGTAGTGATGGATTGGCGATCATTGAGCTACGATCATTTCGCTATCTCGCGGCATAAAGAACGGGCCTGCACCGGTTGCGAGCCGTGATGCGGTTCACCATTCTACCCGTATGTAGCCTTATAAAAAATCGACTTATGAGCCCCTAATGTATGGGGCCGGTCGAATTTCGGAGAAGGCGATGCCGCTTACTACTCAATTCGCCCTCCGGCACTGCCTATACGCACTATAATTGGCGTGACCAATCGAAAGGCATCTCCGCGGCCGGCCTAGCCCTGTGATCCTAAATAAACTTGGCTTTGGTGCTAATTAGGCTACATACAAGTAGCCTTTTGGTTGAGAAGCCTGATTACAGGACAGGATCCCAATCCTGTCCGGTTATTATTGACGTGATCCATTTACCATTAATATGGAACATGCTGACCAGACTCCGTGGATATGCCAAGGCAGATGCTGAGCCACTCACAAGCTCAGTGTTCCTTCGTCTAGACTACCCATGCCCATATGGAGGGTCATAACCTTTAGGTATCTGACTCGGCAGTTACTGATGGGAGTTTTGCATGCCGCTTGGAAAACCTTTTCCGTAGGTATTCCTCGATCAGTCAAGAAGGCATCTCTAACGGAGATGGCGAAACCCCGAAAGGCATACCCGCCTGAACGGAGCTGTACTATTTATCAGATGCCACTAAAAGAGCACACCCACCGGCCAATGCGGAGACGGGCGAAACTGGATGTGTGCTGTGTATTCGTCCAGCGACCCACAGACCATCATATTTCCCATCTCTCATGCTCCGGTGGCCATCTCAGGAGACTGGCTTCGTGGGGGTCCGGCCCGAGGAGAAATTTCGGACATGTTGCTCCCCCAAAGGCCTAGGGCATGCCGCCGCTCAACCAGTTTCAGCACCTCATACATGAACTGCCGTTCCGGCCCTCCATCCGGGAACACCTCCCAGGCCACCCTGACCGGGAACGCAAGTCGGTTAATCATGTTTCCTGGGGCATTGACTATGTACCATTCCAAGGACCGGCAGATGCCACAACCCAAGGAGTATTGTTCCAAAGGTCCAACGCGATCAGTTGGTCGCGTGTCGGCAGACGAGAGAATCACTCGGGTGGAGTAGTAGAGACACATGGTTTGTGCGAGACGGAGGTCCCGATAAACAAATATTGGGGGTGTGATTATACCCCCGGTGCGAAAGTCCCGGCAATGGAATCGAGGAAATGTGTCGTCCGGTGAGACTTCGACTTCCTGCGGTGGCCCATCCGGGTTGTTGTCAACCCATTGAACTTTCCACTGGCGGAAGCGGTCGGTCAGGTCAGCGACACCGTTCCATAGTGAGGCTTGCTTCACGCCAATCTCATGTGGGCTGCACATGCCCGATTTGAGAGCAGCCTCAATATCGTCAAATTGCCAAAGCAGGCCAGGGATCTCAACCGCCAAGTCTAGCAAGTAATGCAGGATGTCTCTTCGGTCAGGGTTGGCTGACCAAGGCAAATCGATCCAGTCCGGGCTTGCGAGGGCGGAAGGAGTTCGACTGACAATAGCCGCAGCGACCTGTTTTTATCTGAGCGAATAGATTCTAGAGAGACTAAAAGGAATACGTACCCAATAAGGACGCAGCTCGGTATACAGCAAATGCTCCACCCCATGTATGTGATTTTCCGGTCCTCGATGCTCAATCAGGCGCAGTGCACCGTGAACGTGCGCAATTAGCGACACTTGTGTAGTTCGTTCCACGCTCTACAAGCAGTCAGGACAGTCCCTAGAAAAAAAAAAAAAAAAAAAAAAAAAAAGGAAAGAAAAGAAAATCATACCTCAAAGGCCATCAAAAGGGTCACCGTCACTAGTGTCGACTCAGCCTTGCTGCGCTGGGGATCTTGCAACGCCTGCTGCAAACTCCGCAGCACACGGGGGTATAGGCGGAAGCCAGCTGCTTCAAGATTCTTATCCTGGATAGACCGTCCAAAGTATGCTATGGAGACGGATTCGAACGCATCTACGAGAATCGGCGAAAACATGCGTATCTCGGCAGCCCGTCGTAGTGCACCAGCCTGTCCTGTCTTAGATTGGACTACCGGACTGAAAGCATCCACGAAGCGTTCAATAAACACATCCAGCATCGGCTTCCAGGATCCAATGTGACTTATCGAACCATAGCTTGAGTCCTCGCTCTCTTCTGATGAAGACCGACTGCCAGAGAGCGAGAACACCTCGTCTTCCGAATCCAGTGAATCGTCGTCGCTATCGTATGAATGAGACCGACGAAGAACGACAGGGCCATGTTCTGCTGCGGATCATGACAACTTAGCCCTCAAAACAATAGCCTGTACCCCACCAGGATGCGACGGACACCCACCTTCCGTTCCATTCAACGGTCCCACCGGGATTGCCACTTCATTTGTTTCCCCGCGATGCTTTCGGATTTGGGCGACGAGCCGATTGACGGCATTTGGCGGGTCTAAGCGGATGGCGTTGACGAGGCCTTGTAGCTGGGCTCGTCGCCGTGAAGACTTGATCCGTTGTTCTAGAACGCCAATGTCAGTTGTTTACGCTGCAGAAGCACTTCCAAACCCACCGAGACTATCCGAGATCCAGATTGGGGCACGCACCAGAGTTATGAAGGCTGGCTGTTAGCTCACGGATTTCCTCCCGGAGGTTACGGATCTCATCGGCTTGACTGATGGGTTGCAGGAAATCTTCCGGACTGGTATCGTAGTGGCATTTGGACGGGTGACCATGCGCACAGCATGCATGACAGGGCTTGACTCGATCACACTGTCTCTCACGATCGTCAATTAGGTCGGATTACACATATGCAGGCAAGCCAGCAAAGTGGGTTGCACGGGCCTCCTCCCACCCAACTAGCAGCGCAGTTCGCTCCATATTCTTGTTTCCTCCATCATCCTATTCGTCTGCACAACTGTCTTGTTCTATTTCCCCCATAACGGAGACCCATGCCCACACCTTAATATCGGGTCGGGACGCACCTTGACTTTCCGGAACCGGCAGGCCTTGCAAGATCGCAATTGACGGGTCAATTGACCCGACGTAAGGGCGGGCTTACTCCGGAGGTGATCGGAGACCAAGATTGGTTGCGAATCGTGGGTGGCCATGTGCGGCAAGCCTAGACAATGAGCTCCAGTCGTACCAGGCCACGATGTCACGATAGGGGAAGGTCAACGTCAAGCTTGAGCGGATACGGGGCCAACAGAACGGCGAGATCACGACCAGCAAGATCTGAGGCAGACATGACCGAATTCCTCCGAAATTCCCACCCTCGCTTACGTCGAGCCCCGCGACAACCGTTACTGGCTGTGGCTTGAGGAGACCAATAACGAGTTGCGCTTGAGGCGACGGCGGCCGCAGAAGTGGGTTCGGTGGAGGACTCGTTAGTGTCGCCTTCAGCTTTCGAGCGCTCTTCCTGGGACCACCGTTGGGTGCCTCGGTGAATCGGGCATAGCGCGAATGGACAGCTTCCAGAATTGCCACGGAACATTAAAGGGCGGAAGAAGAAGAATGGAACCAAGCACAATCGCTTTCATTGGTAACCAATTAATAGATGTTGGGGAAAGGAGAGATCCAGTGGATGGTCGCCAACGGGAAACAGTATCCGGCCTGAGTCACCAATCAGGCCGATCGGCGGGTTCTGGTTACCCTCATCCAGTGAAGCATGATCACCTGAATAGTAGAGTAGTGACAGCACACATATTGATGATTGATCCGGTAATTAAAGATTCAACTATTATTTTTGTAGGTGAAAATGGTGCCATGATATCATGAAAAAGGATTGTTTTTGGAAAGGAACGAGTATTGGTAGAGTCAAGTAGTAGTTTATATATATCTTTGATTTATATGGATATTGTGCACAGCGCCAAAGATACCATGCAGATGTTGACCTTCATGGTGATAGGCATGGTCCGCGCCTTGACTTTTAGTTGATGATTCCTTGAATTACACGGCTGCATACCTTGTGCTGGACGATCTGGGACACACGATGGTGGATTCTATCGCCCAGTACCGCCAGCAGCACGGTTGCAGGGGCGTCTGAAGAGCCATCCACTGTGTTATCTTTGTTGAGCAGCCTTTTTGAGGAATTCGACCGGGAGTTCCCAACTGCGTGTGCCCACAAGCTGTTTGCAAGCGTGGTAAATTCGCTGTCCAGCCTCGAGCTGGAGTATGACGAGTCGGCAATATTCTCGTCAGTCGCCTCACCGACCTTTCCCAAGTATTTTCGGAACATGAATGGCAGTTCAGAGGCATATGTCTACTTTCTCCTACCCCACGAAATCAGCAGTATGTCACGACTCAAGCGCCTGTTGCAGGCAGCGCCCGAATTGCTAAACATCCCCGATGAGATCAATGTTTTGTTCTTTGGTTCTATAAGGAGTCTGTGGTGGGCTTGGAGCGGGAGACATTTGTCTATCAAAAGGCCCGCGTTGATGGGTCATCTACGTACCAGACCTTACAAATGTTGAGTGGCGAAACCCTACGCCGAGAGAGATTGATTCAATGCATTCTTCAGTCTGATTCAGTACTCTCGCACACTTGGCCTCGATGTACAAGACCATGATATTCTTTCTGCGCCAGAAACCTT